GCGACGGCAGTGCAGGACTGCTTGTGGGTGAAGCAGCCCCTGAATGAACTTGAGCTGCACGGCAAAGATGATAATATCGACTTGTACATCGACAACCAGAGCGCGATCAAGAACATGGAGAACGACGTGACGACTGCACGCATGAAGCACATCAACATAAAATTCCACTTCATACGCGACGCCATTCGCAAGAAGGAGGTCAGCGTGACCTATTGCCCTACGACTGAGATGAAGGCCGACATTTTCACGAGGCCCCTCGGCGCAACCCTACACGGGCGCATCCTGGCCATGATCAAGCTTATCAACCCGCACAACGAGAAGCTGTAGACTCGGATCATCTTGGTCGAGGAGGACTGTTGGAGATCGCAAGAGCTGGCGCCACCTGCGATGAGTGCAGTGGCGACGATAACGGCCTGCGACGACCACAACGACCCCTCCAGCTACACAACACGAAACTACCGATGCATATTAGCCTAGCACAGACATCCTAGCATCATCCAACCTAACTCATTCTGCAATACACCAGGTGCGAGGCACCACTACAAGGAGCAACCCGTGCAGGATCAACGAGTGCTCCCTTCAAAGAAGGACAATCACGATGATGATCACTGCTTTATGAACCCGGCATCGCCTGCGTTTCGCCCGCGTAGTTGCAACTACAACTCTCACTCGGGGCGACGCACTGGTGGCACGAATACCATGGCCGCAATGCAGGAGCAGATGGCCGAGATGGCGGCGATGGTGAGCGCGATGAAGAAGCGGCAGGACGAGGAGTTTGCTGCGATGCGCTTTTACAGCGCTGGTGAGGAGGACGAGATCGCCGTCATGCACGGCGTGCCTGACCGAGCTGCGCTGCGCCGCGATCAAGACCCTCGAATGGAGATCGGGCTCCTGTTGGGCAACCACCGTATCCCGGTCCTGCTGGACACTGGATGCACGAGATCGGCGATGGATCTGAAGACTTCGAAGCTGGTTCACCAGCACATTGAACTGCGGCGCGAGACTGCGCAATTTCGCAACGCGGACGGCTCGCTTGGGAAGACAACCCACTGCGCTGCCGCCACGTTCAAGCTCATCGATTTCTCGCAGACGCGGACCTGCTCGCACGAGTTCCGTGTAGCTGAGCAGCTTCTGTACCCCATCATGCTTGTGCGAGACTTCTTGGTCCAACAACGATTGGTGCTCGACTTTGAACGAGGGGTCATTGAATGGGATGGCATTGAACTGCAGATGGACATGTCCCCTCGAAGTGGTAGGCCGTTTGCAGCAGTGTTGAAAGCAGACACTGAGTGCCGAGCGGAGATTAACCTGACCCAGCCGGAGGAAGTGCCGCTCGAGACCATGTTCGAAGGGTGCAACTTGACGGAGGCTCAAAAGGCCAGGGCGATGAAACTGGTGGAGCGGTTCGCGGACCTCTTCACTGGTGCTCTGGGAACGATGAAGAAGGAACCATACGTATTGCCGCTGAAGCCTAACGCAAAGCCTGTGGCCGCCCGACCGTTCCCGATCCCGCGTGCGTACTACGACGCAACTCGCCGCGAGATCCAGCACCTGGTGGACATCGGTGTGTTGAAGAGAGACCCGTCATCAATGTGGGCTTCGCCTGCGTTCGTGGTGTCCAAGAAGGACGGTAGTGTGAGGCTGGTGTGCGACTTTCGGAAGTTGAACGAGTGGATGCAACGCAACTTCTACCCGACCCGTGACGCCAAGGAAATGGTGCGCTCCGTCGATAAGCCAAAGTACAAATCGGTGTTTGACGTCCCGTTGAGTTACTACACTCGCGTACTGGCCCCCGAAAGCCCACCTTGCACCGCGATCACGACCCCGCTGGGGAAGTTCGTGATCTTGCGGTTGCCGGTGGGTGGGTGTACCGCCCCTGATGAATTTCAGGCTCGCATGGACGAAGAGCTTGGCGACCTGGACTATGTGCGAGTCTATCTTGACGATATCTTGGTTACCTCGAACAGTTTCGAGGAGCACATGCAGCATCTGGAAGAGGTGTTTCGTCGCCTGCTCAACTTCGGTTTGACGCTGCACCGCAAGAAGTCCAAGATCTGCGCTTCCGTGGTCGAGTACCTGGGCTACCAGCTCAGTGAGGATGGCATCTCGGCGCTTCCGAACAAGGTGACGGCGATCCTGGCTATTGCGCCACCACGCAACCACCGCGAAGTACGCAGATTTGAGGGCATGGTCAATTTCTATAGCGACATGTTACCGCGACGAGCTTCGTTGCTGGCACCGCTGACTCGGCTCACCTCACCATCGCAGACATTCCAGTGGTCTGCTACTGAACAAGCCGCATTCGACGCCGTGAAAGACGCGCTGGCGCAACGCGTGCTGCTCGCATTTCCGGCAAACGGCCGCCCGTTCCACGTCTACACTGACGCGTCCAAGCTGCAACTTGGTGCAGTGATCACGCAAGACGACCAGCCTCTTGCCTTTTGGTCCAAGAAATGCAACCAGGCACAGACAGCGTATCCGGCCAATCGATTGGAACTCTTGAGCATCCTGATGGTGCTCCGCGAATTTCGCAGCATGCTGCTGGGGCAGGAGCTTCGCCTGCATACCGACCACCTCAACTTGACCTACTCGACATTCCACGACGTCCACATGATGCGGTGGCGTCTGGAGATTGAGGAGTTCGGCCCGACCTTCCACTACATCCCGGGTAGCAGCAACGTCGTCGCCGACGCGCTGTCGCGACTGCCCATTTCTGATGAAGCTAGTGCCGAACTGGAGGAGAAGGCCGCGCTGCTGATGGTAGCAGCATCGGAAGTGGAGGAGACTGCCACGCCGACGATGACAGCCGTTGCAGAGACGGCAATGGACGACGGGTTTGCTGTGGACCTGCGTGTGATCACAGATGAACAACGGCGTGATACAAGTCTTGTAGACAGTGACGAACAAGAGATTGCAGGCACGATGCTGCGGGTGCACCCCGAGTCGAAGAAGGTCTTGGTGCCCACGCGACTACAACAGCGACTCGTTCAAAGCTACCACGACCTACTCTTGCATCCAGGCGCAGCCACAATGCTGCACACGATTGCCCAAGTGTTCTACTGGCGGGGCATGGAAGCCGACGTGCGTAAACTCGTGGACAACTGCATCGTGTGCTTGAAGGCCAAGCACCCTACGACTCGATTCGGCAAGTTGCCGCCAAAGTCGGTCGAAGTCCGGCCGTGGTTCGAGATTGCGGTCGACTCGATCGGCCCGTACGGCAAGAAGCGTTTCAGCGCGCTGACTATCATCGACACTGCGACCCGCCTCATTGAGATCCTTCCTACACTCGATGCAACGAGTATGGAAGCGGCGTACCTGATGGATCGGTACTGGTTCGCACGCTACCCTCGCCCCGCACGCTGCATTCACGACGGCGGCAGCGAGTTCAAGTGGGAGTTCGCGGAACTGCTCGACAGCTACGGAGTGGAGAGCGTGCCCACGACAACGAGGAACCCGCAAGCCAACGCGGTCATCGAACGCGTGCACCGCGTGATCGGTGAGAAGATGCGGACGAAGGACCTCCAGACGCAAGAAGACTGGGCCAACTTCCTGAACAACACGATGTTCGCCTTGAGGGCCTCCAACCACTCCATGTTGAAGGCGTCACCAGCCCAGCTCGCATTCGGCCGCGACATGCTTGTGGACGTCGCTCACGCTACTGACTGGACTGCTGAGCATCGACGCAAGGTGGAGCGGGTGCGCGCACACAACGAGCGCGAGAACCAAGGGCGTGCGAAGTGGACGTACCGCCCTGGAGACCACGTGCTTCTGCGCCGTGACGCCGGCGTCCAAGGCAAGATGCAACCGCTGTTCGACGGCCCGTTCGAAGTCATCGCGGTGCAAGAACACGGGACGCTCACCCTCGACAAAGGCCGCTACCTGGAGAAGGTACACATCCGTCGTGTGCGGCCTTGCAAGGGCAAGCGTGGAGGAGACTGTGAGCAGCCGCAGTGACGTGCTGCTCAGAACGCTCGTGCTGCTCTCCGAGACCAGCAGCACGGCTGCGTGTTTGATGTTTACCAGGCTTCAGGTGAGAAGCCTTGACACATGCTTGATGTTGATGTTGAAGTAGGATTAGTTTGCCAGGAGAACTACGAAGAGATCTAGGAGAACGAAGAGCGTAGATAAACCTTCAGGCAGCTAATTCAGACTCAGTTGTGGATTTACACTCAAGAGCTCAAAACATTCAACAGCCACGTGACACGCCTTCAATAATCCAGAACGACTGCTGACCCCCCCACCAACGCTTTAGTATGCTCAAAGGAAAGTTCGTATATCGCGATAAAGTACGATATACATTGGACAAATCTAGGCCTGGAGTATTCCGGTGAGAGGGTGAGAGGTACATATCGGATACCAGAAGGCGTCAATCCCCAGCTTGGGGTGAACTCAATGAATTGCGACACTGATCGTCGCGTCGAGGTAGTGTGCATGTACACTTCAAAGCAACCCGCTGACGGACTGATGACCTAACGAGACCTGCGGGAGGTATCCAATGCGTCAATTACTCAGCGTTGCAGGGCTGCATCAGCGCCAAGTGCTGCCACCGGACACAAACACTCGGTGAACTTGCGGTGGTGCGAAGGGACTGCGCAATACTGTACTTTCTGTATTGCATTGCCAATACAAAATGCAAGTGAAATGAATGGATAGGCCTCACTAGTACAGGCCTGAGCAGATCACGGCGGAAAATTTCGGCCGGAAGTGCATAACTTGGCAGTGGCGTGGCGTTGGCAACGCGGGGGCACATCGGCCACCTGATCACGTCAAATCGGGGATTTTTACCACGTGTTATCCGCGTTCTGGCTTTCTGAGACACAACTGTTTGCGGTCAGCCCTCCCCATAGATCAGGATGCTTCAGAGTCCACTTTATCATCCACGCCACCCCGATCAAGACACCGCTTTATTCATGACAGACAGCGCGCTCTTCCCTCTACACCGACAGCACGTTCGAGGCATGCCAGTCCCGCACTTGTCGTACCCTCATGCCATCATGAACATGGAGTCGCCACAACCAACGCCGCTGCCATCATTAGCTGCGAACATCCAGAGTCTCTCCGGCAGGAAGCGGCATCAACCTGAGCTGCTCACCGCAGCGGAGATGGAGCTCGCTAAAGCAGTCAGCCAAGTTGAGCGCCGCCGAGAGCGCAACCGCATGCACCAGGCGCGACACAAGCTGAAGCAGCAGAAGTTCGTGGCCGACCTCGAGAGACCCTGCGGCCCGCAGGCTCTTCCCGCAGGCTGCGGGAAGAGGTCCAGGAGCTCACACTCAAGCGACAGCTCATTCACTACGGAGTCCCAACGACGTCGAACGTGTGGAGTGTGGCGGCCGAGTTCTTCCGCCTCTTTCGACGCAGTGTGCGTCCAGTCGAGCCGCCGAACGCTTTGACACCGTGCAACAACTACAACGCGCAGCGGGACTTCCTCAAGTCGACCATGGCAACGGACGTAACGGATGGTGAAGTGTACGGGGTCGAGGCGTTGCTGGAGACCTGGGCGCTCCAGTCGGTCTGCTATGACGATATCGATCTGCAGCCTGTGCGGTTGGAGGAGAGTCCCAGAGGCTCCGTGCTGGCCACCACCAAGGGCACGCTCACAATCAACGAGAACACTCTGCGATTCGCGTTCCCACATCTCGTCGACAGCACCGAGTGGTCGAATCTCGCAGTGAAGATGCTAGGACAGCGACTAGCGCTGCGCGGCTCCGTGGAGTTCGAGTGGGACGCCGCGAGCGCGCGCGTGACCAGCATCGTGTGCAAGGCGGACATTTTGACGCCGCTGCTGCAGCTCTTTGGCAGTTTGGACGACGTGTCCCGCGTCTTCGAGCAGGCACAGCTTACAACGGAAGGCAGACTCGTCTCAAGCGGAGAAGGGCTTGAGTGTGCTAGGTAGCAGTTTCCCTTTTGTTGAATAGATAAAGTAGAATTCCCCTCAAGTTGGTTGGTAGACTGTTATGCGTAGACGCGTTGGTCGGGGGGTTATTGGTTCCATCGCATCGCATTGTCCTTGCTATTTTCGTGGACACCCACCCTTTCGAATCGACCTGAGTGATCGAAAGTTTCGATCATTCAGGTGTGAGTGGACATTTAACTTCGACGCCGGACGCTCATGGACGACAGCGCGCTCTCCCCTCCTAACAGCGAGTGGCTTAGTGACAGCGTCATCGGCGACGTCATGCAGCGCGCGCGGCCCGAGCGCGCGTTCGTCCAGGGCGCGGACGCCCATAAGCGAGCGCCCGTCTCCTATAAGCACCCGCGCTCTTTCGCGTCGATCAGCGCGCGACCCGTCACAGCCGACGCGAATGCGGCTTTGCCCCCGCTGTCCAAGATGGGTCCGACAAAGACAAGAACCATGCCGCCAGGTCAATCCTTCGCTGGGGATGTCGAGGCTCGAGCACCCAGCACTACGCGTCAAGGAGACAGCCAAGAGGTCAACAGGGCAATTGAGCTCCGTCGAGAGCGCAACCGGATCCACCAGGCGCGACACAAGATGCGGCAGCGCCAGCTGGTGACTGACCTCGAAGACAGCATCGTCCAGCTGCGTGAGGAGATCCAGGAGCTCAAGCACCAACGAGAGCTCATCGGCCGCGGAGTCCCCACTACCAGCAATCTGTGGGGCGTGGCGGTGGAGTTTTTCCGGCTTTTCAGACATGGTGTGAAGCCCATTGTGTCTAATGAGGGGGAGCGTACGTCGATGCGCAGCGAATACGACGCGCAGAGGGATTTCATGCTGTCTACGATGATGCCCGACGTGACGGACGGCGACGTGTTCGGGGTGGACGCGCTGCTCGAGAACTGGGCGCTGCAGTCGCTGTGCTATGACGAGTTCGACCTGCAGCCTGTTCGGATGGAGAAGAGGGCAAACGACTCGCTGCTCGCCAAGACCCAAGCCACACTCGTTATCAGCGAGAACACGATCAGATACGCGTTCCCGCAGCTTATAGTCGACGACGGACAGCCGTCTCCACTGGTGTCCAAGATGCTGGGCCAGACTCTTTCGTTGTGGGGGTCGGTGGTCTTTGAGTGGGACGCAGCAACCAACCGAGTGGCTGGCGTGTACTGCAGGTCAGATCATCTGACGCCTCTGCTCAACCTGCTAGGTAGTTTGGAAGATGTAGCGTGCGTCTTTGACAAGGCTCCCATAACCCCGGAAGGAAGGATCGTGTCGAACGAGGAATTTTGAGACCATCTACACCATCAAAGTCGAGATTCACCACTAAAACTAACGAACTCCGTTTGAAGATTGAAGCAGCTCAAGTGGAGAGCATGACGTTAATACCAAGCGGCGTGGAAATTATTCTTCTGAACGCAACGATTTACATTTATTTCCGGGCGAGTGACGGCAAACAAACGAGCGTACAAAGTGAGCTTCCCGCTTGTTGTTCGCTTTTATTTTGCATTTCATGGGAAGCGGGGTGCAGATTCGGCGGAGATCAAGCACGGCGGCCGCTAACGCATCCATAACGTTAATTATGATCCCGCCAAGAAACTAGCTGTGAGCTTGTGGGAGCTCGTTCTTTTCTTTTTACCGGACCTATGATGACAGCCCGAAATGACTTCCAAACTTACAAAAAAAACTTATCTTATACCGAAAGCGTCAATCTCATCAAGTCCGGTTGCACAACAAAATGGGCGTTGATCGTACGTTACTGGAGCCAGCAAAACGACAACCTAGTTATCCAACCTCTTCCTTTTGATTTGGTCATCTCATCTCAGACTACTATGTAAGAAAAAATAGGTTTGGTACGTCATAATGTGTACTTAGCGTTATGATTCTGAGATCGTTCGAGCACTACCGAGCGCTTTGCGTTATTTAGACACGAAACTAACTCGTTTTACTATTGCTGTGCTATCTTGCGTGACTGGATACACACACAGACGTCACTAACTCCTGTGCTATCCGTCGCGGCACCATATCGTCATCGACAACGCGATATAGTTTACCGAGCGAGCTCATGATTTCATAGGTACGCGGTTAGTGGAAATACCAGTAACAAGTACGCGCAGTCGCAACGCTGAGGGCGTTTAAACGATTCAACTATTAACTCGCCGGTGATCACATCGCACGAAGAACACGACAGCATGGCTTAGGTGCTAAAAGTTGTGTCCTTAGGCAGAAGTAAGTGTAGAATACTTCAAGAATCATCAACTCCGCACACAGAAAGTAGTAAACCGATCGAGCTCGAAGGTGGTAACACCTAGGTCGCCGCGCAGAATGGTAGCTGCTGGTAACACCAGCCTGGTGTGTGGGATTTTGTTGGTCGAGCGCTTTCGACTGTTTTGCAGCGGCTGCAAGGCCCATGCTCACCTGCACTGAATCGGACGCGTTCCGAAGTGTGGAGTGATAACTAGCATTGGAGCAAACTTATTGCAAGCAGATTGGGTACGTGTCTTTCACCTTCATGGAAATTGCAGCTTAATATGGGAAATACTCAACAGGTAATGCCCTCTTGACACTTGCACTCAGGAGTAACGTGAGCCTCGCTAAACACGTAGGTACATATTCCAAATTGCCAAGCATCTGCAGCAACACGGTCAATTTCAATCGTGAGTGGTTGTTCCAGGAGACAGCGGAGTGACCAAGTCGGGAGTCATTTGGAGGGCAGCTTGTCCTCATTTGAACTAGGCCGATCCATTCATTATGAGGCGTTGCCCGAGCATTTGGCTGAAATGGGGTGCAGCGAGCCGCTGTCTTCGCGCCATGCGCAGCGTATTTTCATTCATGATAAAGTGGCTGGTAACCGCGGCCTTGATCTCTCCTCCAGGAACGTTCTGCAGGGACTGCCTGTATGTCAATGCCAATGCCAATGCCTCGGCAGCAGAAGCTCACAGTCAGCTCTTCAGCAGCACACCCACACCCCGAAATACGCCGTCAGTCACGTCTTGTGCCATGCAGAGCTCCTTTGTACCTGAGCTTGGAACGACATGAAGTTCGATTCAAGCTGTTTAGCACAAAATCGGAAGAGACAGACGATCCTGGCGCTGCTGGGTCCGATGTCGTTCTTGCTGACACCGGAACGCGAACGTTTCACGTCGATTTTCCCATCTTGTTCTGGCACAACGATCTCAGTCGGACTGGGCGGACTCGAGACTTGGCCCTTGGAGCGCCTGGAGCGGCGTAGATAGAGCAGAGGAGATCGTTCTGATCAATTTTACCCATGTGAACCTCACTGGGCCGTGGACTCTGGCTAGCCTTTAGTCTCGATGGGGTTGACGTCCTTAGCGCGCTGCACCCCTCGTTGTTGGGAATGTCAATGATGTTGGGCAGAGGACCCTGTCGGTGCTCATACTGAGAAGAGTAGAGTATGAGGAGGAATCTTGTTGGTTCAAGGGGTGTTTCAGAATGTGATGCTACATGTACTAATCACGTTTGAGGTGAGTTGCGTTTGAGGACAGTCACATCAGACTAGGTGATGAGGCCTCGGTGCCTCGATACGACGACGAGCTGGCTTGGCCGGTTCACTCCAAACACTGTTAACGGTCTATGACCCATATGTTTAGAGCCAAACGTTGGTCTTGCGCGTCTCCTATGCGCAACTTGATAATATGAATCACATGTCTCCAACAAAGTGTGTTGAGTTTGAGGCTCATTCTCTAGGCTGCCCAACCTCTCGCGTCATCGTGCCAACAACACACACAACCACACCAGCACGCTCCACCCTCCCAACGGCCCGCAACTGAGTGATGAAGTTATCGGAGACGTGGCTCAGCGAGCGAGACCGCTGCGCTCCACTGCTGCCGTTATTTTTAATTTAACCAGAGTAACGTGGATTCAACTCAACATCAGACTCACCAAAAGATGTTCTTTGTTATCGCACACGAATCATCGGGTGTGTCTTCCTGCAATGCTCCTGGCGGTCTTCTTTGATGTGCACCGAAAACTGCCGAAGGAATGCTTACCGCGAAGTTTGCGATTACCAGAAGGTGCCGCATTGCAAATGCGGCATTTGCAGCCATACGCAAGTATGCAGTGTAGGAGGTACCCTACCTCGAGTTGAGTTGATAGTTGCCGAGTTATTAGGCAACCATAATACCTAGTATGGGTATGTTTGCGCTGAACTAAAAGAGCCGGCAAGATCGCATCTCTCTGCCCCGCGTTTACTGCCGCAGTCTGTCGGCGTTCCCCAAGTACTTAGGCCATGTGCCACATGATGTGGAGATCCAAGAAGACTGTCGCTACATTTACACGAGGTAGTCTGGTAAATAGTCTGACCTTTCCTCAGTCTGATAAAGGTGGCGCTGAAGTACTCCATTTTGTTTGTATGCGCTGCATTACAGGTACGTGTACGCTTACATGTAGTTGGCTGCGACCGAGGCGATGTCGCGACAAGAAGCAGAGCTCAACCGATCACGTCAAATCCTTATCCTGGCCCAGCTGGTCTAGACTATACCGGCTGTCTGCCAACGTATGGATCACGTGCGAATGACCACGCACGAATGACACTCCCCCTCCCGCAGCCTCTACCTCTTAACACTCAATTTTACAAAAGCTTTATCATTCGCAATCTCACTCGACGCCTCCGACCTCAATCTAGGTCAGTCACGACCTACAATGGGATCCCTTCGCGTCGACGGAATGTACGAGCTCAAGCAGCCGATGGGTCTACCGATGAGCCGTCTCCTGAGCAGCGAGAGTCTCCCTCCCATGGCAGACACAAGTTCCTGCGCTGCCGATGACAGCACGAGAGTCGCTTCTACCCGAAAGTCGAAGAAATCACGAGCTGCTACAGGCACGGAGCTCCGTCGACAGCGGAATCGGGAGCACCAGGCTCGGTACAAGACCAAGCAGAAAAACAGAGTGCTGGACCTCGAGAATGGAATTGAGCGGCTTCAGCAAGAGATCCAAGAGCTCAAACTGCAGCGCCAGATCATCTCCATCGGAGTGCCTGGAAGACAGACGAAGTGGGGTGTAGCGGCCGAGTACTTCAGGCTGTTTCGGAACGGTCTGCGAGCGCCGAGCAGGATGAATCTCCCTGTTGGCACGGTGGCTGCAGAATTTCCGGTGCAGCGGCATTTCCTGCAGACTACCATGACCTCCGACGTCGTCGGGTCTTTAGGGTGCGGCGTGGACGCGTTGCTGCAGAACTGGAGGCTCATCACGCTCTGCCACCCGGATGTCGATATCCAACTCATGCGGTTACAAGCCGGCCCTGGGGAGCGTGTGGTGGCGTATACCAGAGGAACTCACACGATCACGGAAGACACGCTTCGCTATGCGTTCCCGCACTTGAATGATGGTTCCAACGACTCCGCGTGGCTCGCGTCCAGACTCTTGGGTTACAAGTTGGTGATTAATGGCTGCACGCACTTGCTGTGGGATGCAGACGCAGGCCGCATGATCAGCATCCAGTACACTGCGGATATACTCACTCCGATGCTGCAACTGCTGGGTAACTTGGACGAAGTTTCCAAGCTGTTTTCAAAGGCTCGGGTGAACCCGCAGTGTAGATTTTGTGGCATGAGCCTAGCTATCTTTGCAGGTAGAATCTCCAAAGGGTTTCGCGCCGGAAACCATTGCTGTCGTATGCAAACCATACCATTTGAGCAAACGTTATACATGCTATTTCACTTATCCATTAGGTTTGTATTTTCTAGTCAAGATTGAGCGCGAGGAGCAAAGTTCGCGACTGAGCTCCCTTACTGCGAGCATGTTGTTGAGAATTGGGCTTCCCAATCGAACAAGTACGCCTAACCTCCAATGACGAAACATCGAGAACTCCGTTTCAGGAGATCGCTCCAGGACCTCCGTCATCATGGCCTAGGTCTGGCATTCAGAAAACAAAAGCGTCCGACACCTAGTAATATTAGCTCAGCAGGTGCATCAGCGGCGTCAGCATGTCCGCATTGTAGCCCATACGCACCATTCGACCTTCGTCTTCGTCCCAGTCAAAGTGCATGAATCCATGAACCAAGAACGTCTTTCCGAGGAGCCTGGGTGTCGGCGTCATCGGAGTGCCGACCAAGTCCACGTTGTGGAACGTTGTCGCCGAGTACTTCCGCCTCTTTCGCCACGGCTACAAGGCGTCTTTGGTTGCAGCCTCCACCAACCAAGAACCAAGCAAATCGGTTGTGCAACGTAAGTTATTGCGCGATGTCATCCAATGTAGGGTGCAGCACAGCTCTGCGAGCTTGACATTGGCATGGCTACAATCTGCTCACACGTCGCAGATTTGGCTATACCGTATTTATTTAGTTATTGTGGGGGTTTAGTCATAATGGGGTTGCCAAAAAAGGAGCCACTTTGGAGACGGGCGAAGTCTTTATGAAGAAGTTTGTATGGAGTGATTGATGATCGAGGTAGGAAAGTACTCATTCCCATTTTGTACCACCCCCATTATAACTAAATAGGCACTTGTTGCTGCACCCGTCCACCATATGGAAAACTGGGATGTGACGAGACTATTGTACCCGTTTGCGCCCGACCACGACCGTCAAGAACCGACCAAAACTGAAGCAAGTTGTATACTCCATGTATAGACCGGTTAGATGAAGAATGTTCGAGAAGGCTCAATGCCGACCACCAAAGCGACTAAGCACTTGTTACTTGATGTTAAAGAGGGTAGGACACTCTCACGTTGCCTCTCGCCTGTGGACTTAGCAACGGCACTTCGAGGGGCGCCGCTGCGCGACCTGCCCCACCCCCTCGTACCTTACGCTAAGTCCTCGGCTCGGCCAGGCGAGGTATCTGGATTAGATAGAAACTCCTACTTAGGCATACCTTCCGGCCCACGCGCCGAACATTGCAGACCTATGCTTTGCTTCGGTTGCAAATGGTCTCTCTGAGGCCTCTAAGTGAAATGACTAAGTGCATAGCTTACGGGGAGCGAATTTTCGAACAGTACAGGACACTACACATCTCGGACAGTCCATTACATTGTTTTTTCCATCGTTCTCTTACGTTAACTCCTACCAACAGCTCGCAAGATTCTTGTGGCCACGCCACGAGCTGTAGTCTTGTACAGGTAAACAACTTGAGCGCATGCGTTGACCTAGCCAAGCAAACAACAAACATCACCACCGGTACCCGACTGAGAACACCGTCACCCGTCACCGCCCGACTGGAAGCTTATTTTCCCCGACTGATACCGCTGTACCCGACTGACGATAGCCATAGCGAGCCCCGCCCTCGAACTGATCCCAAACGCTGAAGTCTCACGCATTCTGCTTGCGCTCTTTCGCTTGTTCTCCTGGTAAAGCTGTTTGAAAGCGGAGCAGGAAGTGCCTTCTGTCTCCGCCGGTTAAAGCTGGCCGCTGCGCGTACAGACACGACTATGAATACACCAAGTAATGCATAGATCTCCCCCGAACAGTTACTTGCCTGACAGGACTGAGAGGTGGCCTGATGCTCGTGCATCTCTTCAAACGCGCGCAGGGAGGAAGGGGTTCTGACGCCTTTTGTGTTGCGTCGACCGCAGTCTTGCAGCCAGCCAGGGAGCGCTCCACGTCATCGTCGCCACGAGGTGTCGCTGCAGCACCACTAGGCGCTACCGGTAGTCGTCGACATCATGCGCATGCTTGTACGGCCAACAGGGCGACCGCGCGGCGGGGGGGGGATTCATGCGTGTGGCGGCTCGCCGCAGTTTTACGAATGAATGGTTGAAAGTCGAAAGTATACCGCGTATACGAAGTTCGGATGGAGGTCAGAAGCGTGGTTAGGTTATTGGTGCGGACAATTCAAAAGATGACTCCAGTAGACGGGTGCAGCAACCACTCTCAACTAAATATGGTAGGTAATTTTCATCTTCCACATTTCATCCAATCGCATACGTTTCACTTTGTCTTCTTCCAGCACCATACTCAGATCAAGATCTCTCAAAAATGGGGTGGAAGGCCGTAGAATCAGAAGAGTACGAGAGCTCGGCGCCCGCCGTGCAGGCGCATTTCCACGCCGTCCGCGCCGAGGAAGCGCTGCGCCGCGATGACGTACGTGTAGCGCGCTCTTTCCTCTACCAAACGCACTGAGTTGCAATGAAATTAACGTTATATTCGCTGCGCTATCGCCACTTTCCCGCGCCCAGTACGTCCAGGCCGAGAAGGAGGGCCACCTGGCCAGCGAGAAGTTCCTGCAGGCGGCGCAGCGCGTCTCGGACCGGCGCACGATCGATGCGCTGATGCTATTGGCGGAAAACTACGAGTACAGGGCCAAGGTGGCGCGCGCCAGGAACCCGCGGCCCGTGGAGGCGGAGGAGGAGGAGGAGGAGGCCAAGACGCAGCCAGAAGAAGACAAGGACACAGACGCAGAGCAAGTGCAGACGCAGGGTGGGTCTGGAGTTGAGGCTGAAGTGGCGGAGCCCCCGGACCCGAAGGAGGGGCAGAAGGCCGAGACGCAGCTCAATGTGGCGGCGGCGGAGATGGAGGAGCTCTGGAGACGCCTCAACGAGATCGGACTGTCGAGTCCCGGCTCGGCGGACAAGGTGGGCGGATCCACAGAGATGGAGATGTGGAGAGGAGGCTGATGATTGATGTGGATGGTGTGCTGTCTGTAGAACTTGTTGATGTCGTCACGCCACTTGTCGTCGTCGTTGGGAGATTCCTTTTGTCTGTTGCCGGCAAAGGCGAGGTGGGGAGGTGACAACGGTGGTGGTGGTCTTGGGGGTGGAATTTTGTTTGCTGATGGTGTGTGGTGTTTTGATTTGGCTGACAGAACAACGATTGGCGTGGTGGCGACTGCGGTGGATGGAGGATCGACGTTGAGAGCTGCGGTGGCGTCCAGGATGAGGAATCAGCGTCAACGGTGAGTCGAGGGCATATTATCTTGCTACGTTCTGTGTTAATTGCTAACTGAGTTTACGTTGTGGTTTTTCGTGGTAGGTTGATGGAGCAGCAGCTGGGTGGGCGAGCTCCGTTGGACCCGCGGAGGTCGAGTGGCGGCACTCCTACGAGTGGAAGTGGTCCGATGTCTTATCGAGATAGGCAGACTTCTACGGGCAATGGAAATGAAAGCTCTGGCGACGACGAGGCCTTGCAGGAGATGGTTGCGCAACAGAAGATGGAGATTGTGCGACTATTGAACACGGTGAAGACGCTCAGCAGCGAGAACACCAAGCTTGTGAAGGTACGGCAACTGACGAATTTATTCGGTTGTTAGAGCTTGCTAACTATGAGCTTGTGCGTAGAAATGCGAGGCGTTGACAAATGTACAAGCTGAAAACCGCGGGATCCGTGAGTCCATGGACCACTTCAAGAAGGACTACAACCAAAAGGTGGCCATTTGGGCATTTTGGATATCTTTCCGCGAAGTACGGTGCTCACGAGTGTGTCTTTATTCCAGCTTGTTATGATCAAGAGGGCTCTCGAAGAGTGGCGACGACAGCGAAATAGTGGAGTCCAAGGTTCATCGACGAGCAATGTGGGAGGGTGCGTCTGTAAGGTGTCAGAAAGACTGCGATACTAGCGTGACAAATTCACTAACTCTTTGTGCTTGCTATCGACAGGGACTCGGCGCTGGAAGACAGAATTAAAATGCAGGAGGAGCAAATTGCCAAGTTGATGGAAGAAGGGAGGATTAAGGTGCGTCACCGTCAAGGCTGGCGTAGTTCGAGCATTAACTGATCATTCTTCTGCATATTTCAAAATAGGACGATCGTATCGCGAAGTATGATAAGTGGTACAAGACGTTGAAAGCAGGCGCGAAGGCGAAACAGCTCAGCCAGAGTCGCGATGGCAGAAGTGGGGCCAACAGCAGCTTCAGCAGCTCGAGTAGTTTCGTGCAGAATGGCAGTGGTCCCAGCAACTCCTTCACCAACAGCAGCAGCTTCCACGATTACAGTCCAGGGTCAGGAGACTCCCCAGGAAGCAGCAGCTCAGGCACGTCGCGGCAATTCAGTCGCCCACCTGCTCATCCAAACCGACGGGCATTGTGAGGTTGAGCTGCGGCACTACACTGCATTGTGGTAGACTAGAGAAGAACGAACTTGATGTTAAACAAAGATTTTCTTTTGCTTTATGTAAAGCTGCTCTGTCATCCGAGCGCGCCGCACACCCGAGCTACACCTTCAACGTCCCCAAAGGAGCGAGAGGACCCACGATCCCATCGCGCACCTAAGAGCAGCCGAGATGACGTCCGCCTCGCTCGTCTCCGAACCAGGCAGCGGGGAAGGACCTCTCACCTCGGTCGCTCAACTTTTGCTGATGATCCTAACCAAATTCTACTATTAATTCAGCAAAGAGCACCTGATAGTACTCCTTGAACGGGAACAAACACACCCTGTTGGGAAGTGCGTCCTCTCCTCTCCTTTGGTTGTCGTTGTCGATGCTGGTCGGCTGCGCGGGCTGCTCTGCAAGTCCAGATGACTTATAGATGCGTCGCAGCGCTAGAGTGAGGCGCTTAGAAGCCGAAGAGGCCGCTGAGCGGCATCTCCGCCTGCTCCCGTGCGAACGTCTCGAAGTACTGGTAGATGATGGTCACAGCCAGCAGGATACCGGTGCCCGAGCCGATGGCGCCCAGCAGGTCAGCAACCATGGACAGCGCGCCAATGCACATGCCGCCAAAGGCAGCGGCCGTGGGGATGTAGCGGTTGAGCACGTGCACGATGGACGAGTCGCGGTGGCCCTTCATGACCATCTGCTGGTCGCGCAGCTGCTTGGCCACGTCACGAGCCGACGAGCCCGAGATCTCGATCCACGTCTTGGAGAAGAGCGCGCACGAGCCAAGGATGAAGATGACGTAGATGACGAAGCGCAGCGGGTCGTACATGATCTGCGCCAGGTTGCTGGGGGCCGACATGTAGTACGCGGCACCGCCTACGGGCACCGTCTGGCCAGCGCTGCCCTCCACGTCCTGCCACACACCGAGCAGACGCACGAGGAAGTTGCCGCTGAACTTCTTGTAGAGCAGCTGCGAGATGAAGTACAGGTTGGACACCAGGGCGGTCTGCAGGATGATGGGCATGTTGCTCGTGTAGAAGAGCTTGATGGGGTACGTGCCCTGCTGGCCGCGGAGCTTCTGGTACTTGACGGGGAGGTCCACGCGGAAGCCCTGGAAGTAGATGACCACGACGAAGACGAACATGGTGGCCAGCAGATTGGTGATGTTGGGCAGGTTCTGGCGGTAGAAGGCCTCCTTGAGCGCGCGTAGCTTGTCCGAGCGGGTAATCAGCAGGTGGAACAGAGCGATGATGGCGCCCTCGAACTCCGTGCCGCGGCCAGTGTTGATGGTCGTGGGGGAGAAGGCCTTCCACACAATGTTCTCGCAGATGTTGGTGGCGATGAAGAGCGAGATGCCCGAGCCGAGGCCGTAGCCCTTCTGCAACATCTCATCCAGGATGATCACGAGCACGCCGGCGCACAGCAGCTGCACGATGATCAGGATGGCGTTGAAGGCGCCGATGTCCGAGATGTTGCCGTACATGCCCGAGACCACGTAGGCCACGGCCTCGCCGAGCGTGATGAGGATGCCGAAGAGCTTCTGCGCGCCGCTGAACAGCGCGCGGTCCTCCTTGAGCGACTGGTCCACCTCGATCATCTTGGAGCCGGCCAGCAGCTGCATGACGAGGCCCGAGGTCACGATGGGGCTGATGCCCAGCTCCATGAGCGTGCCGCGGTTGGAGGCCAGGATCACGCGCATCCAGTAGAGCGGGTCGGACGACTTGGACGTCTGGATGCCGTAGAGCGGGATCTGGCAGCACACGAGGAAGATGAAGAGCGTGATGATCGTCCACAGCACTTTCTCGCGGAACGGGATCTTGCGGTCGGGCTGCGCCACCTCGGGCAGCACGCACATGACGGGCCGGATCAGGTGCAGGAAGCGCATCGTGATCCTCCTCTTCGCCTACAAGGAAGCAGTGTCTCTCTTGATACTCTTTGGGGAATGAGCCCTGGGCACGCGGGATCTTGTCTTTTTGAGGGGGGCTGGCAGCGAGCGACACGTATGTCTCCGCCGTACCGTCGGCGACCGCAGTTTGATGCCAATGAAACCTTATACACTATCTTCAAGCATATTCCCTTAGGTGAAAAGTGGCTTAATTTCTTCCTGTGAGATTAGCAATACCTGTTTTCGGGAGTTGGAGGTACTTGCTCGAGTTGGTGAGAGCTCTACAGTGCCTGTAAAAAGGCAGTAAAAAGACGTAATTACAGAATCACGCTGAAAATGCATATCCGGGCATAGCCGGGATGGCGGTCGTGATTGAAACCTGGCAGAATGCACCTTGCACCGCGTGTCGCTTCGTGCGCAATCGACGACAAGGCTGTCGACTTGCTCGCGCTGGTTGTCGGGCGCCTCGTGCGATCGCGCAGCCAGCGGAAGCCAAGCCGGTGCAGAGGTTGCAGTGCGCGAACGAAAGCTAAAAGTCGGCGTCGAACGAGTCGTCGTCTTCCTCGACTGCCGCCTTCTTCTTCTGCGCTGAGTTGCCCATGGTGGACGCCTTGGCGGCTTGGTACGAGCCTCTGCCCATGCTTGACGATGCAGACGCGAAGGCCGACTTGGTGCCGATGAGGTTCTGCAGGTCCACCTCCTCCTCCTCCTCGAACTCGGAGTAGTCGTTCATCTTGCCACCGCTCATCAACTGCTCGCAACGATTGACGAGGCCATGAGAGATCAGATCGGCAGCAAGATACGACCGCAGGTGAGCAGATCAACGCACCTTTTGGGAGAGCTTCATGGGGCCTGCGCTCATCGATGCCAGCACGTCGGAAGATCCGCTTGACCTGTCCTTGAAGCTGCTGTGTAACATGAGACGGACACGATAGTAAACGTGGTGCACAACCATCTGACAGCGTTGTGTAGCGCGAAACCGACCTTGAAGACGCGATCCCGAACACCTTGGGTTTTGGCGGGCTTTGCCGCTGGAGGAAAGCTGTTTGCAGGAGCTGCGGAGTCCCGATTCTGTCTTCGGATTCGGTGGTCTTGGCCGGCTCTGGACTTGATGAGCGTTGCTCTTGTTTGGGTGGGGAAGGCGACGGAGAAGCTCGCGAGGTTTCTTTCCGTGGGCTCGGGGTCCGGCTGCCGCTGCCACCCCCACCGCCTCCGCACACGGTCCCTAGGAATTCACGGAGCTACGATGCGCGGTGTCAGTGCAATAGTTTGCGTGTATGCTGCTGCTGATCTTTTTGAATACCTTTCGCTGGGATCGCTGATTGTCAGGATCGTGAGCCAGGAATGCAGCAACAAACAGATCCACCAGCGCAGCCGATGATATCACCTTCAGCTGCACGAGCTGCTTCAAATGACCTGACAATGCTTTCCACAGATCTGCACGACAAAAGCATTAGAGATAAGAATTGACGCCTCACCGAGATTCTGGCAGTTTGTTCCTTACCAAGTTGTTTTTCCTTGTTGCTCTGGTGGAGTTTGCGAATCTTTTGGTCGTTCATGATTCCTTCAAATGCTTTCGGTGGGAAGAGCACTGTAGATAGCACCATGCGTCAGTGCTTCCCGTTCAGCAGTCACTTTGTTTCGATATGTGCGTACCTGGTCCAAGGTCTCGCGAGATGTCAAGGATTAGCTCGAAGCAAATATCGGAGCCAAAGAACGCAATCTGCGCTTTCCGTCCTCCCACCGCCATTCTAGTAAATGCACGCACCGATTAATACCAGGCTATCCCTTCAACAGGCAGTCTCACTTACTTCAGCAGGTCGCGTTTTGACTCGTTTGATGAACCTGTGTCTGTAGATCCGCCCAGCGTATCTCCTTCAGTTGCACCCTCCTCCACCCGGCTGATCAGAGCTCCAAGTGCCTTCACACGGTCGACTGGCGACAACTTTTCTGTGATCGATACAGTGATCGTCTGCAATGCCAGCAGAAGATCGTAAGTTCAGTGTGGATGTATGTTCAAAGCCAACCATACCTCTTCCAATGCTGCCGCCGGAGCTGGGGTTTCCGAAGGACTCGCATGAGCCTCAACAGCATCTATGGCGGCCGTGATACTAGCTGTAGTGGGCTTTTCTTCAATATCTGCTGGTATGATTGGTTTCGTGTCTGCAACTTCTTCAATAGGCTTGGTGTCGTTGGTTTCCGAGAAGTCGAAGTCGTCACTTTGCATACTTGTTAGCAGCATTTCATTTTCGGTCGACTGTGCATTGGCTGGCGTCGAGGCTGCCGGTGAAAACGGTTCCAACAAATCGGTGGCGTAAGCAATTGACGCTGGTGGAGATTCTGGTAGTTCTGCCGGAACTTCGTCGTTGATGCTTGCTGCTGCTTCCTGAACTGGTGAGTTTTCAACCGTATCCAGCGTAGGGGTAGTAACCACAGTCGTAATACTTGTATCTCTCGTGTCGGCTATGGCATTGGTGTCATGGAAGGAGTCGATCCTGCTAGTTTTATCGTCGTTGGGGCCCTCCTCGGTCGCTTGATCTTCCTCGACGTCAACTATTAATGGTGCGCGTGGTGCAACTTCAATAGTTTGCTTGATGTCCATTGACTCGGCAACCACGGATTTCGTCTCGAATGGTTTCTCAGAAGGCAGGTCTGTACTGCTTTCAGTCGGTGGCTGGGTTGGGGTGCTCACGTCGTCTGCATTCAGCACGGTATCACCTTCAACACTTGAAGAAGTTTCATGATTCGCAGCATCGACTTCATCGGAATCTCCACCAGTGGAAAGCTTGCCCAGGGGCTCCTGTGCCGGCCTATCGACAATCTTTGTAGTGCTTTCAGCAATGTCTGGACTCGTCATAAAAGCCTCCTTAGACTCCAAAATGCTAGTAGCTGCTTGATCCCGAGGCACAGGTATGTCGTTGATACCAGGTTCTGGCCCAGCATGACGCTCACCAGGTACTTGAACTTCCACCCGAGACCGAAATGGATCTACGACTGAGGCAGCAGTGCTGAGAGTAGTAGGTAAACTGGCTACTCGATTTTCTTCCAGTTTAGTCGAGGAAGTATCTGCAGGTGGAGCTGGAGCACTTGTGTGAGGGCCCGAAGCTAGATTGGAGGTGATTGAACTAATTCCACCGGCACGAGTAATTTCAGGTCCAATTCCCCTATCAGCACCTGAAGATATATTCTCATTGGCTTCGGGGATGGATGCTAGCCTTCCAGTCACCAATGTCGGTAACACAGCAGATCGTTCTCGGGGCAGCTCGATAGGATTGAGCTGTCTACCATTGCTGAAAGGCTCGGTGCGCTGTTGCTCGATTGCGGAGTTGCCCCCTGTCGGCGAAATGGTGGCACCACGTACAGCGTCAACGCTTCTGGGTCCAATAGCGGGTACAATAGTTGGGGGCTGGTCACGCTGGGCCACCAATTCGGGTTGGTGGCTGTTGATACTTTGTTTGAAAGTAATGTAGTCATTTTCAGCATGTGTGATCGTTGACGCTTGGTGCTTTTCAGTTCTTGGGGAAGTTGAATAGACAGGTCTATCGTCGAACTCGCTTGCGATCTCATCAACGTAGTCGCCGTGGAACTCGCCGTCATCAGTGTAAAATACTTGGCTTGAGCCCGGGTGGGTTACATCCGGATAGTAAGACCGTGTAGGTGTGTTCATCCGCGCTGGAATCTCCACGCGGATCTGACGAGCAGGTTTCTCTTCTTCATACTGTTGGTTCTCCTCGAATGCAAGCGAGCTAGACAGCACGACAGCAAGCACGTAAGCAGCAACTCAACATTAGTCAACCTTGCTATGGAAGAGATATCTGAACCTGCTGCCTTCTCGTAGAGCACGTAGGGTATTCCGTGGCGAGAACGTTTCAGACAATTTTTCTGCGTGAAGTGGCAGGGAATCGTTAGTAAATGTTTGTTTCGCCATATTGCACATAAATGCATTGATCTGCCCGTACCTGCAAGCTCCTCGTCGAGTTCAGGCCTCATTTCAAGGTGCTTCGCTGCTTGTTGCTGGAGGTGGCTCCTAGCCTCCAGGGCCACTTCGCGGATGTTCTGGTCAACTTCCTTGGCTGTAGTGCAGATTAACATTTAGCTACCAAAGCTCAAAAACACTCGTAATAGCCGCACGAAAGCGACATTTACCTTGATTCGTACTCTGCGTGCGTAGTAACTCCCTTTCGTACAGTTCGTTCTGTTCCAAGTTCTCAGCCATCTCCACCTCATGGCGCTTGAGAAACAAACACTCGTCAACCGAGATGTCAGCATCACCGATTCACCATGATAATCAACCCACCGTCTTCCGGATCAAATCGTCCAGTGTCTGCTCCTTCTCAAAACTCTGTATCGCACAGTACACAACAACTTGTAACCAACCACTTCGCGTCGCAATCTCTTCACCACTAGGTGCAGCCGCACCTTCTTGGCGAGGTATCTTCGTCTCTCGACTGCCCTCTTCTTGTCCTCGAGCTCCCGGAGCTTCTGCACGCGCTGGCGCTGCAGCTGTTCCTGCCACGCAGGGTACACCTGCTCGATGCGGCGGTTGTAGCGCGCCTTCTCCTGCGCCAGCAGCGCGCCGCTGCGGGACTGGTCGCCCTGCAGCTTGGCACATGCATCGTGCACCTGCCTCTGCGCCCCCCGCACTGAGCGCGCGAGCTCGTCGTTGCGCTTTTGGGCGGCGATGGCGGAGCTGCGCTGCGCCTTCCACTTCTGGCGGCAGCTCTGTAGCGCCACGGCACTGAACTCGGCGGCCGTGGCCTCTCGAAGCGCCATCCGCTTCTCGACCGCCTGCCGCTGCGCCGTCCTGTCCAAAGCCACCAACACAGGAACACGTCAGAGAGACCTCGTACCCTAGTGATTCAGCACTTATATGGATACGCACAGCTCCTCGCGCCGGCGCTGGAGCACCTCCATGCGAGCCGCATACTCGGCCGACATGCGGCTGCTCGTGACTTCAACTTTACACACACTCTTGACAATTTCTAAATACGATCCTCAGACAGAAACATTTCTTAATATCTAGAAACACTTCTAAATTGAAAAGCGCGCACTCGCCAGAGGAAAGAGGAGCCAAGCCGAGTGGAGCCAAGCCAAGCTACGCGTCTCGCCGCCGGCCGCCATGCACATCGAGGAGATCATCCTGGACGGCTTCAAGTCGTACGCGACGCGCACGGTGGTGAGCGGGTTCGACCCGCGCTTCAACGCCATCACGGGGCTCAACGGCAGCGGCAAGTCGAACGTGCTGGACGCCATCTGCTTCGTGCTGGGCATCACCAACCTGTCGCAGGTGCGCGCCAACAACCTGCAGGAGCTCGTGTACAAGCAGGGCCAGGCGGGCGTGACCAAGGCCAGCGTGACCATCGTGTTCAACAACCAGGACGCCAAGGCCTCGCCCGTGGGCTACGAGCAGTACGAGCAGATCTCGGTGGCGCGCCAGGTCGTGATCGGCGGCCGCAACAAGTACCTGATCAACGGCCACACTGCCCAAGTGAGCCAGGTGCAGAACCTCTTCCACTCGGTGCAGCTCAACGTCAACAACCCGCACTTCCTCATCATGCAGGGCCGCATCACCAAGGTGCTCAACATGAAGCCGCCCGAGATCCTCGGCATGATCGAGGAGGCCGCGGGCACGCGCATGTACGAGAACAAGAAGCTGGCGGCGCTCAAGACCATGGCCAAGAAGGAGAAGAAGGTGGACGAGATCAACAGCATCCTGGCCAACGAGATCACCCCCACGCTCGAGAAGCTGCGCGCCGAGAAGACCCACTACCTCAAATGGGCGGCCAACAACACGGAGATGGAGCGCCTGCAGCGCTTCTGCGTGGCGCACGACTACCAGAAGGCGCAGGACGCGCTCACCAACACGGCGCAGCACGTCGAGAAGATGCAGCAGGCCCAGCGCGCCGCCAAGGAGCAGGAGGAGCAGATCGGGCAGGAGATTGAGCAGGTCGAGGACGAGATCGAGGCCCTGCACGAGCAGAGGGAGAAGGAGATGGGCAAGGAGTTCCAGCAGCTCAAGGAAAACGTCGAGAAGATCGGCAAGGAGGTTGTCAAGTTCACCACCAAGCTCAAGCACTGCAAGGCGTCCATCGAGCAGCAGGTCAAGGCGGAAGCGGGCATGAACGAGCAGCAAGCCGAGACGGAGCAGGCCATGGCCAAGCTCGCCAAGGACATCGAGAAGGCCAAGAAGAAGGTGAACCAGGTCGAGGAGACGTACACGGCCAAGGAGACTGAAGCCAACGACTACCAGCGCCAGATCCAGGCGCTGAATGCTGGTATGGAGCAGAGCGGAGACAGCGATGAGTCCCTGTCTGAGCGCCTTGCGGCCAAGCAGCGGGAACTGCAGGAGAACAACACCGCCATTAAGCAGATTAATCTCAAGCTGAAGCACGCGGAGGAAAGTATTAAGCACAAGCGTCGCGAGATCGAGCAGACGCGTCAGAACAACCGCAGCATGGACGAAGAGCGGAAGCGCAAGATTGGAGAGTTAGAGCACATGCAACACAAGGTTGACCAGCTTACTAGCAGATTTAACCCTGACGAAGAGCGCCAGCTCCATGACCGTGTTCGTGGACTGCAAGACCGCATTATGGACGGCGAGAGGGAGGTGGATGAGATCTCGTCGGGGCTGTCGTCCCGCCTGGATTTCAAGTACACGGACCCGTACCGCAATTTCGACCGAGAAAGCGTCATGGGTGTGCTAGCCAACCTGCTGGAGACCAAGCACGAGTGGTCTGCGCTTGCCCTTGAAATCGCTGCTGGCGGCAAGTTATACCAGATTGTGGTGGACAACGAGAAGACTGCGAAGGACATTCTTAAGTTTGGCCGTCTCATGAACCGCGTCACAATCATTCCGCTTAACCGTATTTCACGCAAGACGGTTGATCGTCGTAAGATGGACAAGGCTCGGCAGGTGGCTGATCAGCAAGGTGGCAAGGTGTGGGAGGCAATGGAGTTGATCCACTTCAAGCCGGACCTGCTGCCAGCGATGGAGTACGCTTTTGGCTCCTCAATTATTTGTGAGACGAGCGAGCTTGCCAAGAACGTCACCTTCCACAGGGACATCAAGGTCCGAACGGTAACTCTTGATGGTGATTCGTACGATCCAGCTGGTACACTTCAAGGAGGTTCTGCACCCTCCAGCGGCACTCCAATCCTGCTGAAGCTTCACCATCTTATCAACCGCACGAGGGAACTCAGTGACATGAGACGGGAGCTGCACGATGCCTCCCGAGCCTTGGATGCGATGAAGCAGGTAGTTTGTCATGTTTTCATTTTTGACCCGAACTCTAGTCCTAAGGGTTGTCTCTGTTTTGCCATGCCTAGGATTCCGGGCACTTTCGTCAGTTAAAACACCAGATTGAGCTGAAGGAGCACGAGCTTCGTTTGCTTGACGAGCGTATTGCTGACAGTGTCTTTGCGCAGTTGGAACGCGATGTTGTTGCATCAGAAGAGCAATATGCTCAGGATAAAGAACTTCTGATCACGAAGAAGGAGGCTGTTGTTCAGTTCACCAAGGAAGTGAAGAGTCTGGATGCGGATATCGCCAATCTCAAGGAATCGCGTCAGTCGAAGATTGGCGTCCTGGAGAAGCGCTTTGCAGAGGCGAAGAAGGAAACGCAAAAGATTGGTGTACAACTCAAAAATGCCCAGCAGGAGCTGTCCGAGCTGGTTCTAGAGTCAGAGTCGGCTGAACAGGAGCTTGCGGGCAATAACGAAAGCGTCTCAGGTATTCAAAAAGAGCTTGCCGCGCTCCGTAAAGAGGAGAAAAAGGTGGAGAACAAGCTCGCTGAGGTCCAGGAGACTTACGAGAAGGCATCGCAGAAGCTGGAGGAACGTCGGAGCAATTTGTCGCTGTGCGACCAGCAACTGAAGGAGTTGAGTGCTCGTCAGAGTGCGCTTTCCAAAAAGAAGAGCGACCTCGAGATCGAACGTAAGAAGGCGGAGCATAAGATTTCTCGCATGGCCAAGGACGAGAGCGACGCCAAGATGATGGTGAAGAAGTTGGAGAAGGCACACCCATGGATTGAGACTGAGAAGGAATTCTTCGGCCGCGAGCACACTGACTATGATTTCCAGCGACGGGATCCCTCCAGCGCCAATCGCCGCCTGCTTGAGCTGAAGGAAACACAGGGTGCGCTGTCCAAGAAGATCAACAAAAAGGTTATGGGTATGATTGAAAAGGCTGAGCAGGAGTACCAGGGTCTGATGAATAAGCGCCACATTATCGAGAACGATAAGGAAAAGATCACGTCGGTTATCAAGGAACTCGACGCAAAGAAGAACGAGGCCCTCAAGACTACATGGGTGAAGGTGAACAAGGACTTCGGCTCCATTTTTGGTACACTCCTACCTGGAACCCACGCAAAGCTGGACCCGCCAACAAACGGTAAGATTTATAGTTGTTTTTGCTGCGTTTGATGAAGTATGCACATACTGACTTTTGCATTTTTGTTACAGGAACCATCTTGGATGGCCTCCAAGTGCGTGTGTCCTTCGGTGGCGTGTGGAAAGATAGTTTGACGGAGCTGAGTGGTGGCCAGCGCTCATTACTCGCTCTGTCACTCATTCTGTCGCTGCTGCTATTCAAGCCTGCGCCGATGTACATCCTGGATGAAGTCGACGCCGCTCTGGATCTGTCGCACACCCAGAACATTGGCCAGATGATCCGGTCACACTTCTCACACTCGCAGTTCATTGTTGTGTCGCTCAAGGAGGGAATGTTCAACAACGCCAATGTCGTATTCCGGACCAAGTTCGTCGACGGTGTTTCTACAGTTACTCGCACGGTCCCGAAGTCCCGGGCTCGGTAAGCACGTGCACGGTAAATGTGTGGACTGGAGATAAATTGGCGATGGTAAGACTTCCGCTGAAGTCGGGCATTTACAGATGAAACATTGCTTACATTCAATACATGAGTGACTGTGTTACACCGCTGCCTCTTCATCTCACAATAACATAAACCCTCAGATGTTGCCTACTCCATAGGTTCAAGGATCTTCTTAGCTGCATCATCGTCCACGACTTGCTCTCCAGCGCCGGGTTGATCATCTGGGTCGGTATCTTCATCCAGGGCATCAGCTTGAGATGCGGGTGCTAAGTTCGGATGCTCGACGGTCACACTAGGATCTACTGCAGACATCAGTTCGTCGATCTCATCGGGTGCTGCATCTTCTTCCAATACGTCGACCTGCGACGCTGCCAGTATTCCCTCTTGGTGCTCGTCAGGCGATGGAGGTGGCAGCATCGCCGCGGTAAGTTCCAATTGGGCGTTGAGATCATCCATCTCCTGCTGGTGTTTTTCCCGACGAGCAAGCTCTTTCATCACGAGAAACGGCATCGGACCCGGGTCTGGATTGCTCAAGTATATCTCTGTGAGAGCGTAGCCATACGCATTCCGCCACAGTTTCCGGACATGAGCTGCCAGTGCGCGACGGTGATCATCTCGACTTTGTCGTTGTGCCATCTTCCAGGCTGTGCGCTTCTCGTTGAGAATACTGAAGACCGCGTAGATCAAGGTCAAAATGTTTGAGACGATGGCTGCACTCGTCACCAGTCGAACAACACGCGCGTCAAGGTACAAAGCCCCCATCTTCAAGATCAAACCACCTGCAAGTGTTATCCACAGCAGCGATCGGTTAGTCATCAGTATCAAACACCCTTCTGTGGCTATCAAGAAAAGAACTCTACGTACAGAACAAGGTGATGAAGAGCTGGATGTTCGTCACTCCAGCGAGTGCACTATCGGAGCGCTCTCGGTACGGCTGGTAAAAGAGCATCACGGAGAGATACACGAGCCTGGGCGCATCGCAACAATTCGTTAGCAGCGATACTAAAGTGATAAAAGGATACGCTGAAATGCACGCGCACATGACGACGAGCCCGCAAATAATCCGATTCGCGTCAGCCTTTGCCAGGAGACTGATGACACAGTTCAGCAAGAGCTTGCGACCAAGGTCCCAGACCTCGAACCACCAGAAGTGCGTGTCATCTATACGAACGAAGCGCTTAGATAATTGTACGCAAATTAATGGAAAAGAGCTTCACAAACTCACATGAATGATAGATGAAGCCCACTTGCGCGACTGTGCTTGGTTCCTACAGAAAAGGACACGGCATCGAGTAAGACCAGGTAGATACAAAATGAGCAAAACCTACTCTATCGACCCTCCTTACGTTCAGATTTCTGTCGCGTAAGAAATGAGTGAGCATTTCCGTCTCGAAGAGCTTGATCTTTTCTTCGTTGACGATATGGCCGTGGTTAATGATATCGAGCCGCATCTTCAGGAGCAATCTCTGTTTCAGCACGTCTTGAGATGGATCGGAAATCAGGAGGATCGTATCGCTCACACCACGCGACCTCTTCATTGCAATAATCACCCAGAACAACAGCGGAACCCCTGGGGCAATCGTAGGACGCGTTAGATTTGACACCTTCGCGTAAAAAAGATAGCCAAACAACGTACCTAAGACCCAGAAGACGATAAGTGTAATACTGATGGGGAGGTAGTACAACCATGTGCCCTCATAGCACAAATTGCTGCGGTCGAGACTCAAATAGTAGTGGTCCCCCACTTCGTCGCAGTAGAACATGCCGATCACACGCTGGCAGAACATTGGGTAGAACAGCAACGAAACCCTGAAGAAACAATTACACTGTCAGTGCCGTTCTACATGTAGAAAATCAGTACGCTACTACTCACCAGAAGAGCAGCTTGATGCACCTGTTCTGATAGGCCTTGTAGTAGAGGCGCATCCAGACACGCGCGCGCCACAGCCGAATATTACTGTGCACGACCATGTCTCGGACCTCATTTTTAATCCTCTGCGACGTCGGACACCGCGGCTTGTGGGTCGGTATGGAAGCAGGGAGTTGAGTCTTGTGATCCACCCAGTTCAGCAAACGTACAACGAGCTGCACAACCCGCCAGGAATTTGCGTTTTCAAACGCTTGGTTTGAGGATACAGAGAACTTGGCCTTGACCCGTGCAAGTAAATTTTTGGGTCCGGCCTTCTTTCTGACACTTTCGGCTAGCGATTTCTGCTCCATCTTGAGTTTAGTCAGCAGCGTCGCTCGTCGCGCTAGAAGCGAATGTGAACGGTGCTCCAAGGTGAACACTGGGAGGCCACAGCTCACACAGTGACGCGGTAATGTCGACAGCTTGACACGATACTTCAAAATTCCCCAAAATGTAACCAGAAACACCAGTGTCAACATTCCAACGAGCGCAAACAATGCTAAGCTGTTGCAATAAAATGTTAGAAAAAAATGGTGCAAGTGCGTAAGAAGTAACCTGAGAGCGATACAACCCACTTACCGATAGTTTGCAAAGTAATCGCGCTTGAATAAACACTCGGCGGCTGTCGTGTCCACAAAGTTGAAGTCCGCCAAGGAGCAGATGTCCATGAGGCGACTCATGTCGTCCGGCCACGGGATCTCGTAAACCTCCTTGAAGCTGCCCATGACCTGGAAAAATCCCAGCATGATTTTAAACTTCTCCGGTCTCCACGATGGAACAGGGATATGCCTAGGCTCAATCTGGAAAAGCCGCGGCGCAGTCTGTGCCCCGAGCCTTGTACGCTTCACTACTGCTTGCATCATCGCGTGAACTTGTTGTTGAATCTTTGCCTTCGCCGCCAGCAGCAGAGCTCTCGACCACGACTGATGATCGTAGACCTCAAATCGCTTAGCGGCTTGGGCGTGGCTCACAATGCGCTGCTCAGCTGCGTTTGAAAAGAGATAACAGAGGAACACAAGCGCAGCGATCGCAACGAAGATGGGGAGCATGGCCAGCAGGTGTGTGGTTCGATCGACGGTCGGGTCGTTGGGATCGTGGCATACTGCAAGCAAGAGTTCATGCGTAAAATCGCAAGCACATCACATCGAAGTAAATTCTGAGCACGTACTCTTGCAGGTCCCGCTTGAACCCTTATAGTAGTCGTCGGCACACGTAGCACACATAACTCCCGTATACCCAACAGCGCACTGCTCAGCAGTCGTTTGGACGGATGCTGTGCTGATCGAGACATTCGGCGCTTCGACACACGCTGTGTTTGTCTAGAGAATATCACGACAGTTAAATGGTCAGCAGTCCAGCAAATTTATTGGGCATCGATCAGCATAACTTTGCGCTTACATCACACGCGTAATACTCGTTGCCTGAGAGGCACGAGAAAATTCTGTTTTGGCCCCAGAACTTGTCAAAATCCTCTGCACCCGAGCAATTAAGAAGGCGGTCGGCAAGGTTCGTCTGATTCACCGACTTGCAGGGGTCATCAGATGACCAGGAGTCGGGGTCGTCACATTTCGACGTAGCAAAAGTCGAACGAGTCTTCGTCATGAAGTAGCCCTGCTGTCGCTGAGGGAACACGACGCCAATTGTAGCCCCGCTTTCGTCTTTTCCCTCACACGTGGCCCCTGCGGGACACAAGTAGCACTTCCCACCGTCCAAGCTACAGCATTAGCAGCACAGCACATCAGAACCTTAAAATCTAATGTAGTAGTCTAGCAAAACATACTGCACCTTACCTGTACGTTCCTTTCACACAGGGTTTGCACACGCTGCCATATACCAGAAACAACAATAATACATCAGCACGGGCAGCAAAAGACACATGGACATATTATGATTGAACGTACCCTCGAATGTTTTCGTATCCAGGATTGCACTTGTCAACCGTGATATCGACAAGAGTTGGCGAGTCGACCACCGGCGAGAGCGTACAGCTAACATTTAGCTGATAAGGAGTGTCTCTGAAGTCGGAAAACACCTCGGCACCTTCGAAGACGATGTATCCTCGGTCGACCCATATACACGTCGGTGGATTAAATGTAAAGGAAGCACTTTCGCCGCTTGAGAGAGCGGCTCGACAGCGCGTCACATTGTCGTAGCTCGCAATCGCACCGTAGTAATCGCGAACTACCATCGTGGGCCAAAGTACAGTTGAATTCGGCTTAATCAAGCTCGCGTTTAGGCTTGCTTCTGTAGCTGCCACTGCATCCGACGATGACGACGACGAAGAAGAAGAAACTGTAGCCAGCCTTCGAGCCGTAGTCGACTCCAGAGACCCGGAGCTTGACCTTGTCGATAGTTTAACTCCTAAACTCACTCCACTCGTGACGGTGGTTGGCCACCATCCCTGCGTAACAGTCATCGCACTCGTGGACATTTGAATGGCGCTTTCTCCTGTAGGCGTCGTGCACGCGATGCAGTCGAAAACAAACCACGGATAGTAGACCCAGTAGATATCGTTCCCAGCTACCGCCGTGTGATTACCAAAGCGTGAAGACGTGCAAAATACCGTTTGCGTTTTTGTTTCCGTTTCCTTGTTGATATAAATTCCAGCTCCGTAGTCAACGGCGATATTTTCTTGAAAAGTACCGTCTGTGACTGAAAGCGAGGCGTTTTCTTGAATAGAGACGGCACCACCAGTGTACGCCGCGTTGCTCTCGAATACGTTGCTTGTAGCAGTCAATACTGCACTCCCTCTCATGGCGATGGCGCCTCCAAACGAGCTCGCGTTGTTCTCTGTAAAGTTAGTGCCCTCCAGAGTTATCCTCGCTGACCCCATTCCATACACGGCACCCCCTTCAAGAGCGATATTCCTCTCAATCGTCGAGTTGATAAAAGTAGCAACCGCTCGGATAGAGGCGTGCAGAGCGCCACCCTCAATTGTAGCGTGGTTACTTCGAATCGTTGAATCCGTCACTGTAACGCTCGCTGCTCGGCTAATCTGAATCGCGGCTCCTTTCGTCGCAGTATTTGATTCAAACACCGAGTTATCGATGTCCACCACCGCATCAACCACGCTAAGAGACCCTCCATCGGTCCACTCTCCACCGTTATCGTAGACGTAGCAGCCTGTCAGCCTCGCATAATTTTTCCTGCCGACAAATATGGTTGAACCGGGGCCGGCGTTCGTGTTACGCGTAAAATTTGAACCGGAAACGATGCATCTCAGCGCTGCTCCAGGGTTTAGGAATATCGCGCCACCACTGTCCTCAACGGCGTTGGAGTCGAAGAACGAGTTTCGAACTATCAACCCGCCTCCATCTTTGATAAATATCCCACCTCCACCAAAGAACGCAAAGTTGTCGTAGAAAATGCTGTCCGAGACGTCCAGCGTGGTTGTCACTGCAAAAATCCCAGCTCCAAAGTTGAACGCGTATCCGCGATGCAGCGTCGAATACCGAAGGTAAACAGTGGCGTCTACAGAGTAAATCAAGCCACCGGAATACGCCTGTCCGAATTCAAGCGTAGAATTGGCGACAGTTAACGTCGAAGCTGCGTTTTCGACGTAAATGAGTCCGCCGGTCAGCATCCTCGTAGCGTTCTCATTACTCGCGACGTGCGAGTCTGCTATCGTGACCGTCGCACCGCTCGTGATGAAAATGGAGCCTCCTCGCCCCGTAACGCTACTTTGTACCGAGTTATTCACTAGCTTCCAGTTCAGAAGAGTTGCCGAACCTTGGTTGAGGAACGCGATGGCCCCGCCAGATGAGTTAACCGCGATATTTTCCCTCAAACTGTTGTCCGATCCAGTGAGGTTTGTCGTCGATACACTGATTCCTCCAGCGGAAATGCTGGCCGTGTTGGCAACAATCGAACAATTATTTAGGTTCAGAATATTGCTGGTGACTTCGCCTCCGCTCGATTGGATGGCACCGCCCGACTGTGACGCGTAATTCCCCACAAACGAACAATTCCGCACCTGAACGTTGCTGACTGCCGCCATACACAGGCCGCCTCCATAGGACGCATTTCCATTTTGTATCAATGAGTCACTGAGAACAAGAACCGCGCCATCAACGAATACTCCGGCGCCTCGGTCAGCCGAGCCGTCCAGGAGATCAAGCCCACTGACCTCCACGTGACTAGAAGGTGCAACATAAAGTCCACCACCGATCCCTGTAGCTGGCTCGGAGTACGTCGCAGTATTGCTTCGGATGATTGCTTGGGCTGAAGTTTCATTCTGTCTGTTGATGCGTGATCTTCCGGTTACGAATACCCCGCCGCCCGATGGAGCAGTGTTCGACCGAATTGAAAGCCCGTCGTGAATGATAACCGAATCGAGAGCGTCGATACCGCCACCTTCATTCAAGGCAGAGTTCATCGAAATGTCCGAGTCTGCCAAAGTGCAAACCGACCCAGGCTGTGTATACAAACCTCCACCAGAAGTGGCCGAGTTATTCACGATGGAGCACCCTGTTATTGTCGCCAAGGTACCATCCTGATAGACTCCACCGCCGTGTTCAGCATCCCCATGTGACACAACCAGATTCTCGACACTCGAATTTGTATCAAGGAAAACGTTCCCACCGGAGCTGGTGGCCTCATTATCTGAGATCTGTGACGATGACGTCGAAGCCAATGCCAGAATGTGGCTTTCATCCAAGTAGAGACCTCCCCCGGCGTCTGCGTTGCAGTTTTCGACAGTAGCACCATCGTGGTTCATAGTCGATAAGTCAAGGTAAACACCCCCACCCAATGCGTTGCACGTGCACTCTTGCACTGTAGTTTCCGTCAAGTCAATCAATGAGTTTGTACCGTAGAGACCCCCTCCCTTTTCGGACGCGTGTGAACTTGATAGGCTGCATTTATCCATGCCAAGATGAGCGTCCACTGCGTACGCAGCCCCTCCTTCTTTCGCTGTACCGTTCATCACGTCAACTCCAGTAATATTCGTGGCTCCTGTCAAGTACATTCCTCCCCCGTAATAGTCTCCAGTACAAGAGTCAACCGTCATTTCTCCTTCAATAGTACTCGCACTTACATATAGCCCTCCTCCATCCGGGGCGGTACTTCGTTTGACAGAAACGTCACTTACAGTAACGCTACTATCTGCCGTCCAGATTCCACCTCCGGACACGTTAGCTGAACAACTTGTAAGCGTGGACCCTGCCAGGGAGAGAGTTGCGTTTTTCACGTGCATGCATCCTCCACGCGGAGCTTTGTTCAAATCTTGATCCACATTGTCCACGGTCGTATTCCCGACAACAAATATTGAGCCGCCACTCATGGTAGCGTTGTTGGAAACGCAGCGAGTGCCAACAACTCCCGTCATAGTACTCGAATTCACCCAGACCGCCCCTCCGTCTTCTGCTGTGTTGTTCTTAAGAAGAACTGGACCTTTGCAAGTCAAACGTGAGTTGTCTAGCACGAGCCCTCCTCCTTCCAGCGCCTGGTTGTCTTGAATTACGACATTCGACCAGTCGACAGTACTATAGACAATGGCGACTCCACCAGCAGATACATTTGCGGATCCGTTTTCCACTTTGATGCCTACAAATGCTGCATCTGACTCGAAAATATACATTCCAGCACCACGCACTACGCCCAACGAATAAATTAATTAGTGAACATACGTCGAAATATGAAACAAAAGGAAATACTTACATGCCGTGTTGCCCAGAACTGAAGAAGGGCCAGTGGCTTGCTTGTCGAAAGTAATGTTGATGGTGCCTGAAGCGTATACCCCTCCCCCGCTGGTACCAGCATCATTGATGTGGATGGAGGTGGCAGTGGCGGTCACTGTAGACTTGCCTCCTAGCAACAGTCCTCCACCAGTTACCACGGCACTGTTGTTCTCAACGACGCAGTTTTCCATCGTGAGAATCCCATTATCCATTGCAATTCCACCACCATTCGGTGCTCTATTTCTTAACAGCACCACGCCGTCGAGCGAGACATCCCCGTTAACGTAAAGCGCGCCTCCGATGTCTGTTGCATTATTCTCCTCAAAGGTAGTGTCGTCTGTGGAAAGGGAGCTAGTTCCGCGCAGAGCTAACGCTCCACCCCGAAGAGCAGTACTTTGCGTCACGTTGGAGGAAATCATCGTGACATTCGAACCCTCGAAATGCAGCGCCCCTCCTTCAGTACCAGCTGAGCTTTGTTCTATCCGCACTTGGTCCAGAGAGACATTGCTGCCACTTGTATACAGCGCACCACCCCTCCCCACCGCTTTGGAGTTAGTTATGAGCATATTTCTGGCTGTAAAATGCCCATCAGTGGCACTAAAAACTCCCCCATCTCCCGCGATACAGTTCTGTAGCGTTAGCCCCTCCACTACTAAAATCGAGGAGGCGCTCTGAATAAACCGTGACAGCTCTTCACAGTCGACACTAGTCCAAAACGGCCCTTTCAGCGTAGTAAATGTCAAATTTGACGAACTGATTTCCAGGTCACGGTTTGATGAGCCAGAATATTCCCCAGGATGGATGAGAATTGCACATCCACGGCTACTCAACGCCACAGCGCGAGAAAGCGTCTTGACCGCCTTTGAGGCTGTTCCCTTTTCACCTGCATTCATCAGTTGGCCGGTTCCTTGGATGTCGTCACCGAACTCTCCGGACACAACGATCACATCTGCGGGGTCCATGTCACACACGGAATGGTGACACCGATCGGGGTCAGAGCAGCAAACGACGCGATTGTTGCAACCTTCGCCTGTAAACCCGACGCTACACTTGCAAGTGCCGTCGCTTTGGCTCCGACCATGACCGGAACATGCTAAGACTCCTCCTGGAGGGGGGATGCGGGTATCTCCAGAGTCTCCATCGATCTCGTATGACAATTCGAAACCTTTTTGAGTGACGCTGGCATCGCTAGAGAATCGTACAATGACCGAACTCTTTGCTTGGTAGACGAAGCGCCCTGTTCGCACACAGCCTCCTTTCCACAGACTTACGTTTGATAATTTGTCGAGAATTTCCACGAAGTCGTGGTCGCACTCGAGAGCGAAGGAGGAAAACTGCGCAAAGACGAGGTAGAAGTCAGCTAAAACGCCTTACGATAAATAAGGACTGTCCAGCATACCTTAAGAGTGATGTATGAATGTCTAGACGTTGGGTCTATGAGCCACTGCTGCGACACGTTGTTCGCGTAGTTGAGTACGCTGATATGACCTGACTTTCCTTGGCAGCGAACATCAACAGTAGCGTACTGTGGATCGATCGTCGTCACTGCCACGGATTCACTTGGTCCAACTCCGGACGAAGTCTGAATTGTATAGGTTGTCACTGATGAGAACACCCCGGTATCTGTAAACGTCGAGCTCGTCGTTGTGCCGATATCCGTCCCACCGCGAAAAACGTGGTAGGATGCAGCAGCAGGATATGGGTACCACAAGAGCTCGACGCTATCGACTGACACTGTTATTAACGACACCAAATAATGCGTCAGAAAGTTTAACAACACGTAGGGTAACGAAGATAGTTCTCCTTACCGCATCCGATCTGTGGCACCGATACGATGTCTTGACCGGGTGAAGTCTTGGCATATCTTGTCACACTTGAGGGACTTGGGTCACCGAAAGAGTTGAGCGCAATCTGAAATAGGGCATCAGAGGGTGAGAATCTTGGAAAGCGTAGCCACAAAAAAACACTTACCACAGAAATTGAGTACGCTGTAGCCGATTTCAGCCCGGTCAAGACAGCAGAGAAAGCATTCACTGGGAATTCCAGAGGGTCTGCTAGCGAATCCGTTTCTCTCGCCCTGACGATGGAACCCTTGATTGTGTCTCCACCGACATCATCCGGGGCTTCCCACATACACTCGATAGAATCAAATCCTACAGACACGATCTGGGGGTTTCGGGGGGAGCTCGGTGGGGTTATGGTTCGAGTTGTGAACGGGATCACGGGGCTTGAAGGCGACGTTCCCTCATTATTCGACGCCGTGACGTAGACCCAATACTTCGTGCTCGACGCTAATTCGTAAATCGTCACACTTTCCGTCTGAAGATCATCGCTTGCATTGGTAAATGGACCGCTTTCCGACACGTTGGAAATGTACAATGAGTACCCATTCAGAGGAACTCCACCCAGATCAGCCGGTTCTCCCCACGACAGAGAGACGGAGCCACCCGTTACAATATCGGGCTTGAGTTTGACCGGGGCACTCGGGATGGTTGCTACCGTTGTTGTAACAGCGAACGAAGAGGAAATCTCACCTTTAAGGTCGCTAGTAGGCTGAATTTGTAGCCCGTACAACATTTCCGGGTCCATACCCCCCACCAAGACGTTTGAAATTATTCCAGACGTCTGTAATAGTCTCCTTGATCCACCAATGATACCGGCTGGAAACTCTTTTAAAGTCGAGTACGACATGTTGATGATGTTATCCCGATCGAGGAAGAAATTGTACGTCATCTCACTTTGATCTACGCCCCCGAGATCAATTGGTTCATCGAATGTAATTGACGCAGCTCCACCACTCGTCCAATCGACATTCACTTTAATTTCGCCGCTCGGGGGCGTTGCAGCTGTCGTGTTATACGTTACACTAGCGCTCTCCGGCCCATATCCAAACCCATTAGCGGCGCGTACCGTCACGTCGTATCTCGATGAAGCCAGCAAGCGATAAAACTTACACGATGTGTGGGTCGTATTCACACTTATTCTTCCAGATCCGTCCACATGGGAGGCGACTGCAGCGATATAGTGCGTGACGTTTGCACCGCCATCGTCAGGCGGATAACCCCACGATACTTCCAACATTCCTCCCGTTGCATTCTTAAATTCAGCTGGTTCGCATGCCCCAGGAGCGGACCTATCGGTGGTTCGAATGATTTTTTCCGACGAATTCACCGAGTCGAAGAAGCCGTTATTCACGGACGTCATGAACACGTAATACGTGAGAGGTTTTAAGTGGGCGACTGTAGCTTGGTGCTTGGATCCGTTGTAGCCGAGCTGCCACGGGGTTGTGGTGGCATTTTCCTTATAGTACAACCGGTAAGTTTGGATACTTTTGCCCCCGGAATCATGAGGATTAATCATCGTCATCGTAATCCCGCCACCTGTTGCCTTGTACTTAGCTAGATTCGGCATACTTGGAGCCGTGACATTGGTGGTATTGACCATTCGCTCTGGGCCGACGACAGGTGCGAAGTTGCAAAGCGAACGGGAGTTAAGTGCCAATGCGCTGAAATTGTAGCTCGTCAGGGGATCCAAGGAGGGCACCGACACGAACGCTGTCTTCTGCAAATGATTCTCCGTGTACAGTACCTCCAAGTACGAGTCTTCGCTCAGTTTTTTGTCGTTCAGATAGATCGCGAAATCTAGGATCGGAATGCCGCCTGCAATAAAAAAGTAGACCGGGTTAGTATCCCCAAGCATACCATAAGGTACTATATAACCAGTTTACCCGTGTCTTCCGGTGAAAGTACGGTCACGTTAACCATTCCACCGGTTGCGATCGATTTTATCGGAGCAGGTGGGGGATCCGGAAACGTTGGATCGGTTGTGCTCAGTGATATAACATTGCTAGCTTGACCGAGAAGTTCGCCCTGCTGATTCTGTATCGTTGTTGCTGAATGAGCAGAAGTTAATAAGATTGTCTTGGTTGCCGCGGCAGATACATCTCCGACTACAAATATTGCATCCTAGAGTGAAAGCATCACGAGATGAGCACAATTAGCTAAATGTTTAGCGGCGATCCGTTTCGATGACTTACCTCGACTGTGATGACCGATCCGACTGATAACCAGTCCGTTAAATCCGCGGTCGTCCGCATTACAGACGAACCCATCGAGATTGACAGACTTCCTGGAAGTTTTGTTGGGAGCACGGAGTTGTTGGCTAGCACGAACAACTGATACTCAGTATTCGCATTCAACCTGGTCACGGCAGCAGACAAGCCCGACTCCGCGTATGCTGCCACCGGTTGAAACCAAGAGAATACGGAAGTATTGGCAAAAATTGTGTACGAGGAAACAATTGCACCGCCTTCACAATCAGGCCATAGCGTTAGTGTAAAACATCGTTTCGGTTTGTAGCTATAAATTCCTGTACCTGTGTCAATTGGGGCATCCCAGCCAAGAAAAAGCTTGCCACCGGTAGGGATATGATAGTGACCAGGGTGGAGAACAACAGGGCCGGGGAGCGTGACTTCCCCAGTTGAGAACTTGAATGCGGCACTGATATTACCCCACCCAGCGTTGTCTATTAGCGAGTTTCCAGCCTAAAAAAGCAAAACATAGTTAGAACATGATGAGGATTTCACGTTATTGTAGCATCGTACCTGCAGGTAAAAGTCGTATGTTGTGTTTGCCGAAAGATTGGCGAAAACAGTAGCACCAGTAATTGGCTCCGTGATACTAGCAGTGATCTAAGACAAAAAAGCACAAATATTAGCGCAAATTCGAACAAAAGCTCATACAATAGCGCCACTTGACCTGCTTTGTCCCCTGAGTATCCGCCATATAGACTCGATATTTGGTAACTGGAATGCCGCCCGTATCGTCTGGAGGAGACCACATAAAAGTGATCCGACCTCCAGTTCGAAATTCACTCGCCATGTAGGTTATCGGTCCCGGTAGCGTTGGAGCTGTTGTAGAAAACAGCGTAACATTACTAAAGTTTCCGTTGCCGAACGAGGTGCTGGCGGCAATTGTGACGCTATAGCTCGTCGTAGCATTCAAGCCCCCAATCGTAATTGTGGGTAGCACTGGTTTCTTCAGATCCCACGAACTTGTGTCGGAGCTCAGACGCACTATATAATTCGTCAACTGCCCCCGCGCGCTGCCATTGTGCATAGGAAGGTTTGCTACAAATGTTGCAGATCCACCAGTTTGCGACAATGGCTGGAGAGGCGGACAGTCTCCGGGATTCGACACATCTCCATCATCCAGAATCGTCACACGGGTAACAGGTTGTCGAAGTATCGCTCCACCGCTAGCAACTGACATCTGAATTAAAAAATACTCGTCGGGGAATTCAAACACCCGGTCGTTGATTATCGAGAAGGTCAATGTCGCCTGTACGACGCCGTCCTCCATCACGACAGGAGTTGTGGTTTTGCGATAGTCAACGTCTGGAGTTGCAGTGCCGCCCGAGAACTCAAAGACAAGCGAAATGCGGCTGCTTTTGCCATATTCACGGATGATCGTGACCGTCGCAGTTGGAAAACCCTCCGAGAAGGAATACGTCGGACTCTCAAAGCTGACAAAACCCGCGTCGCCGTCATCCAGAATGGTGACTGTGGTTTTACTGTTGCTGCCCACCTTGGCTACCCCTAGGGTGGATGATACGGACGCAATGGTAACTGCGAACGTCTCGTCAGGATTCTCGTAGAGTGCGTCATTCAGAATGAAGATGACGATGTTGTTTTGGTTCTGGAGCGGCTCGAACACGATTTTACCCGTCGTTGCTGTGGATCCTTTCGCCACAGCGTAGTCAGATCCTACGGTGGCTAGCGAAGTTCCGGTGGGTCCGACTGTGTATGTGAGCGTAACTTGACCACTTAATCCTGATACTCGCTGCACCGCGATAGCCACTTGACTTGCATTCTCGAACACGGAGATGCTCGTTTGAGCAAAATTGAATTCCCCTGCAGTGTCAGGCTGCGTCATCGCCGTGAGAACAGGGCTCCAACTGCCATTCCCCGCGATATTCGCAGCACAAACGGAGATGCTGTAGACGGTGCTATAGACTAGTTGAGTCGCATTGTAGGACCGACCGACGGACGGATTGACGCCGACCGAACTTGAGCTCTCAACTTTAACGAAGTAAGTTAAATCCAAAGTCCCACCCGTGTCCGCTGGTAGACTCCACTGAAAATTTAGTGCTGTGCCCGTTGCGATAACCAAAACTGGAGCCATCAAGATCGGTCCGGGTGGGTTAATTGGCAACGTTTTAATAACAGTTCGAGAGCTTTGAGGGCCTTCACCAGCAGCATTTATAGCTGAACACGCCACGCTGTAGCTTGATTCCGCATTTACGCTGAAGAATGTGTACGTGGGTAAAACCCCAGCGACCACATTCAACGTCACCACTTTACCTTGGGTAAACTCGTACACCATCATCACCGTGACAGCTGATCCGCCCGTGAACAGCGGCGGCTCGACTTGAATCGTGAAATTACCGCCGTATTTACCCTTTATAGAAGGAGGTTTTGGGGCGTCCGGTACTCCCACAGCTGTGGTTACCAGACTTGTCGACAGTTCTTCACTTGATCCAACGTCGTTGTAAACTTTAACGGACCCAATGTATGTCGTACTTGCTGTAAGGCCCGTTAAGAGAGCATTGGCGGCTGTCACATTGATCATGGTCACTACCGTTGACCCGAGCATCAACTTTACTTCGTAAGCTTTGATCGGTATTCCTCCCGTATCTCCACTCGATATCCATGTCAGATTTAAGTAGCTGGACCCTGGAATTGCACTAAGCGATAACGCTTGTTGGGGCTTAGTTGCGGCTGTAGTGGAAGCAACGAGTTGGTCACTAGCCATGGATGCCATCGCATTCAGGCCCCTCGAACGGACAGTGTAGTTGTACGATGTACTAGCCTGGAGCTGGTCCTTGTTCGTGAACGCCCTAGCAGTTGAAGGCAACACACCACTCACAAGTTCCCCGAATCGATACACCATATACCCTCCAATTTGTTGCCCACCAGTGTCAAAAGAACGATCCCATCCAACGGAAATAGCTCCACCGGTATTATACGTAAGCTGGCGAACATTTACCGGAGCCGAAGGAGCCGTAATGGAGTCTGTGCTCGTCTGTAGAACTGCACTGGTCGGGCTGACGCCGGCAGCATTTGACGTCGTGATCGCGTACGAGTAATTCGTATTGGCCGTTAAATCATTGTGCGTGAACGTTAGCACACTTGTGTTACTCGTCGAAAAGAGCACAGTGGAGACGTCTGCAGTGTCAACCAGGTACAGCGTGTATCCAGTTAGCGGAACGCCGCCTTTGTCCTTTGGCGCGACCCACACAAACTGGATGATGCCTCCAGTATGGCCTCCAACCAGAAGTTCGGGAGAAGTTCGAGGGGGTGTTTGACTCAACGTAGTAACATTGATAACAGCGCTCCAAGCCGCCAACTTTGTATCGAAGCAGTTGGACACGTCAATGTACGCTACAACCTGCATACCATACTGCGTGTTAGCGATAAGGTCGTACACCGTTCCAGTCCTCGACGGGTTCCCCTTGCCGTCATACCCAACCATGTTCGCCACAGTCCCATTGATCGAGACGATTCTGATCGTGTAGCCCGTGATGTCTCGCCCAGCAATATCGAGCGGTTCACCCCATTCCAACGTAATCGCGCCTCCTGTCCGATCGATCATTGCAACGTGCGTGGGTGCGCTTGGTAACGTTTTCTGGAGTGTTTGGTTCATAATAGTCGCGCTGTAACCACTTGGCCCGACCGAGTTCACCGCTTGATACTTGATGAAATAATCCGTCTCATAGCGCAGGCGATACACAGTGTAGACCCTCGACGCGCCGCTGTACACTGGCTTGAAGTCAGGGTCGCCGTCCGCTTGGATGTACAGCCTGTACTCTTGGATACTGGATCCACCAACGTTAACTGGATCAAACATTCGAATGGTCATCGCCCCGGCACTGACCCAAGTAACATTGGCGGGAGGAGGTTGCTCCGGGTAGTCGGGTCTTGAAGTCTCGAACGTTGTCACTTCTGAGAAAACTCCTTGCGATTCAAATGCCGACGATGCCTGGATCTGAACACTGTAGCTCGTCAACGCTAGTAGTTGTTTGATAGTGCAAACTGTCTGGCGATTGCAGGAGATTGAAGGGAACAATGATCGAACACTGGTCCCAGCGTTGAATACCGTATACGAGACTATCGGAGATCCTCCGTCGTCCAGCGGGGCATCCCACGAAAGGGTTACCATGGAACTGGAAGCACTTGTCACGTGAATGTTCATAGGCGCAGTTGGAGGTGTTGCGGCGAGAGTTGCAACCAATAGTGATGGAGATGCTACTCCAGTCCACCGGGAATTTCTAGCCTGAACAGCAATCTGGTACGTAGTTGACTGAGTCAGCCCGTATACGACCGTCGTTTCCGTTAATGAAATCTGCGTCTTCACCAATTGGTTACCAGTGGTTACGCTCACGGAGTAGTCCAGAATTTCCTTTAACCCTCCGTGATCTAACGGTGCAGTCCACTGAAGCCCCAGCGCACCACCAGTGACGGACGTTTTGCGTAGATTTGTGCATTGTTTCGGCAAAGAGACGTCTCCGTCGTCGGCCGCCGTCAGAGTGCAGGTAGTATGCTCCCCGTTCAACGCTCCACCGTCTAAAATACTGAACTGAAGCGTGATTTTGTCCGGGACATATTCAAAAGCGTCATCATCCACAATTTCAACCGAAACGTATTGTTGGACGACTCCTTCGTCAAACACAATTGCGGGGTTCAGCAGATGGAAGCGATCCATTGAGCTCGCGTTCTGAACCACGTCCACTTGAATATTTGCCGCAGGGCTGCTCCCTCCCGTCCGAGTTATCTCGAGGTTAGTAATCCCACAATTCTCCAAAGGCGAAACGTCCGCTTGTCTGAATGATATATAACCAGCATCGCCATCGTCCTCGATAATAACACGTGTGGTACTCACTAGCCCCGTGTTCGAATCCGTGATTTGGACCAAGAAAGAAATGCCCGGATTATATTCCGTGTCGTCCTCGATCGGGATTTCAATAACGCCGGATTGAACATTCGATGTAAGTGTTCTGGTTTCAGAAATTTGATCGTAATTAAACCCGTTCCACGCTGTATCATCAATCGTCTGGAACGAGTAGGAGACATTTCCAAACGATCCGTTCACACGATCTATCGGGACCGAAACAAACCCGGCATCTTCTCTCACGGATACCTCTACTGAAGCAGCGACGACGATGCCTTCGAGGGGCTCTTGGGTCTCCACTATGATTGATGTACTTTCAGCTCCCACCAAAGAAGTGGTGGTCCTTGCCGCAACAGCCACGCTGTAGTACGAGGAGTATTGCAGCCCTTCCACAAGAATACTATTCGTATCAGAACTTTGTGTCTGTGTCGCAGTGTCCAATTGAATACCGTCTTGTGTGCATTTGGAGTAAGTCACGTCATACTCGAGGTTTTCATCCCCGCCGGTATTCTGAACAGCGTCCCACGTGAGCTTCATTTGTTTGTATGTAGCGGATATCAGCGCTAAGCTTTGAACTTGGCCTGGCGTTGAAATTGCGGTCGTAGTCACACTTAAGAGAGGGCTTGTGGTTTCTCCCGCTGAGTTCTCGGCTGAAACGATGAAAGCATATTGAGTCTGCGCGACTAGTCCGTAGATAATTGTATCTCGTACATCACTCTGGAACGTATACACCTCGTCGCCGTCCATGTACAAGATCAATGTGATAGCATCTCCACCAGTGTAGTCTGGAGATTCGACGTGGATGCGAACACTGCCACCCCAAATATCAGTCGCAACAGGTCTGGGTGGGGCATCGGGATCATCTGGAGGGCTCGTTTGAACGTAATACACCCTTAAATTACTTTCGCCGGCATCGTTGAATGCTTTTCCGGATAAACGGTACGTTGTTTGCGCCACAAGGTGCTGGAACACGTGTGCCGAGTCAACCGAAACCACATTCTCGATGACGGTCGAGCCATCTGCGTTGTAGAGAGTAATCTCGTACTTGCTGATTGGAATTCCCCCGGTGTATTCCGAAGCTCTCCAGCTGACTTCGATGCGTCCTCCGAAGGGGGTGCTAGTTAAGAGTGGTGGCTCGGGAGGAGAAGGCAGACCAGTAGTGCCCAAGGAAGACGTGGAGTACCCCCTATAGATCCCGTTGAATGCAATGATCGTGTACGTATAATCCGTCGATGCGTTCAAATTGGAGCGGTCTTCAAAGGTTGTGCTGGTTGCGAGAAACTTGCCCGAACGCCCATCCCGAACGATTTCATAGTACGCGATCTCCCGCCCGCCCGTGTCAAGTGGTTGATCCCAAGCCAATTTGATGCTAACGCCAGTCGCGTCTACTTGTCGGAAATTCTGTACGGCGATCGGCTGTGATACGGCTGCGGTGAATGTAGTAAAAATTGCACTTCTCTCGCTTGGTCCGTCTAGATTTTTGGCAGTGACTGTGTAACTGTAGCTTGTACTCTCAGAAAGCCCGTAGTGTGTGAACGTTGTAGTGTCACTCGACAGGGAACTCGAAAGCATCGTATAGTCGTTGTTCGAAGTCGATACGACCAACTCGACGTAATAACTTTCCAACGCTATTCCAGCGAGGTCGTCTGGGGGGCCCCAACCGATCGTAATTCTTCCGCCCGTTCGGGATACGAGATAGGGCTGACCTGGAGGCGCCAGCGGGCTGGAACTCAGCGTCATCACTTGTCGAAACGGGCTTAAATTGTACGAAACAGGGTCGACGCAGAAGCTGGCACTGTTGACGGCGACAACAGCGAACGAATAGCTCGAATTCCTCGTTAACCCTCGTGCTGTAACGCTTCGGTCGGTAGAGTCTTGCCCGTCGTAAAGTGTAAAATACGTATCCCCCAGCACATCATACTTCTGATACACGATATAGCCTATTACTCCAGAAGCTCCTCCCAAGTCAGCCGGAACGTCCCATTCGAGCCTAATGTTTCCGGCCGTGACGACAGGAGAGATCAGATTCACAGGTGGTGATGGCAAGTCAATTGCAGAAGTGGTTTGGAAAAAGCTGCTCTCTCCTGGCCGGCCCTCCCCCTATATTCAGACAGGAAACAAATTGTTAGCATTTGCCATACTCAAATAAATGAATCTGAGAAATATAGAGAAGCGTACCATATCGTTGGAAAAAGTGGCATACACTTCGTAGCTTGTGTTGGCTACGAGCTGGCTGACAACGCAATTGTCATTCGCTTGATCAGGCAAATTCAATCCACAAACCACGGCGAACGTTGCTGAGCCATCCACAGTTTTCTTTCGAAGGTAAAGTGCGCCGGATGTTAAGGGCATTCCTCCAGTGTCCCGGGGTTGGTTCAGGAAAATTTCAAGGGTTCCGCCTCTTGGCCGACCTACCAGCGTCACAGCCGGAGGAGGGCCCAGGACCTCTGCAGCCGACGTCGTGATACTAATTTGCGCAGAAGACGTCGCACTCGAACCGTCCGGAAATGCTGATGTTGTACTGAAAACGTAGCACACATAGTCACTGGAGGCGCACAATCCATCAACTGTAAACGACAAGCTCGGCACATCAACTGAATCTGAAATCACTTCGTCGCCATTGACATTCTCCACTACCACACGGTAGCCCACAATCGCACTCCCTCCGTCATCCCGAGGAAGCAACCATTTCAGCGTGATTTTTGTGTTCGTAACGTCCGTCGCCTCAAGCGAAAGCGGTGGGCTTGGAAGCGTGGAGTTTTGAGTCACAACGTGAATTGGGTCGGAGTACGCCCCCAAACCGAACCAGTTCCAAGCTGCAATCTCAACTCGGTACGAACTTCTAGCCGACAGACCTGACATCGTGAAAGGTGAGCTAGTTGTGTTGTAGAGGTTGAAAACGGTTGCACTCGCAGCCGTGACGCGAATCATGTAGCCAAAAATGAGAGCGGTATCGTTGGAAGAAGTCGCCCATTCAACTTGAAATTCCCCTCCAGTTGTATACACTGTTACGGGGCTGTCCATTCTTCTGGGGACCGCGTCCTTGATACTTTCATCGTCATGAACAATTACTTCATGCGTCACAAGGACAGAGGTGGAACCTTCAACAGTTTGATCCGTCAAGCGCAGACCAAACATCTTATCGTCGTTGATGTAGTGGTTGTCGATGAGTTGAATCCAAATCTGAGTGCCACTCTCCTGGTTGGCGAAAACGACAGTCCCGTTCAAAGCAATGTAGTCCTCCCCTGCAATTGCCGAGATGTCAAATGTTTCAAAGTCAAAGCGTAGTTCTCCCGTGGTGCCATTCAGCCGGACTACATCCACCATCGCGAACGAAGCGTCTTCTAATACCTCGGTTGGACTTGTCGAAAAGGTCACGAATCCTTGTTGCTGTCGAGGGTCAGTGTACAACAGAGCTGTGTGTTGACCGGACAGCGTTATTCCAAATGGAGCCACTGCAATTGGAGATGGCAGCAGCTCCGCTGACTCGCTACTCCAGATGGAGAACGTCACGCTTTGTTGTACTTCTCCGTCCGCGAAGTTCAAGGTGCAGGGCTCAGACGGAAATCCCGATGCCACTAAGAATAATGTGCACTGACATCCTCCACCACTGACATTTTCACAACGCACGAGAACCGTATCCGTTTGAGTCACGTCCACGCCAACATCAACCGACCCTGACGTTCCGCCACTTCGAAGCACTGTCGTACTGATCACACCTTCTTTATTAACGGTGTAAGACGTCACTTCCATTCCAAATGTGCCTGCAGATAATACCAACAAAACATTAGTACAGTATGCACGCGTTAGAAACGTATTTGTTGGGTGAAACATACCTTCGGAAATGCCGCTCGTAGTGAACTGAACTGAGCTTGAATCAGTTAAACCTAGTGGGCCATTAGCTCGAATGTTGACTGCGTAGAAGTTATTCGGCTCCAAAGCCTCCACTCGATACGAAACTGGACACACATACTCAACCAGATAAGCGTCCTGCTGGCACGGTACGTTGTACTGTTGGATCTGGATATTTTCTTGACGAAGATACACGTCGTAGGAACTAATTTCCCTGTCGTAGGGTGATTTTCCGAGTGCAACGACTGCACTGTAGGTATTCACTTGCAGCATGGAGGCGACGGGCGCTGCTGGAATGCCAGTTGTGGTGGTGTAGACCGCTTTGGCCCACTGAGAAAATGCCAGGACATTGCTCACTCGAACAAGAACTGTGTAGGAATGCTTCGGCTTCAGATTCTCAACGGTGAAGTCACAACAGTCGAAGTCGGACGAAGCAATCGTGCTCCCTGCGTCTTGAACCATGTACTGATACATCCCTAGAGCGTCGCCTCCTGTGTCACAGGACGGGACAACGCTCATTTGCAGTCGGTTATAAGAACGCCCCGCTAAGGAAAGCGACGGAGACACTGGAGCCGTAACGGACTCCGTCGAGAGCTCTGTAGTTGTCATGGACCCTTCTGCTTGCGATGCGGTGACCGCGACCACGCCATAAACATAACGGGTATCTACCACCACTCCTCCACAATCAAAGTACGGAGGTTGAATGTATCCCGACGTAAGCAGTTCATAGTTCCGATACACGTGATATCCAACAATGGGGCCACCTCCAGAATCCTGCATCAATAACGCTGGTTAGTGTGAAGAACGCACACTTCAAGGAGCATAACGTACCAAAGGTGCATCCCACGTAAGCTGGATTGAGCCTCCCGTCCCTGTGAGTTGACGGAGATTGACGGGGTATGTGGGAGGGGTTTGCCTCCTACGATTACATAGTATCAGTCTCTGAGCTAAGAAATGTAAGGCTAAGCATTACTCACGTCGTTTGAAGACCCTGAAGCAAAGAGGTTGAGCTCCTTCCAGCACCATTAATTGCTTGGACGCCAAAGTAATATGTTGACGAGGAGTTAAGTCCATTGAAAACTGCTGATGTTGTACCCACCACAACTCGCGGTTTTCTGGCCGGCCCCATGCGCCCACAAGTAAGTCCGAATCCGTACTCGGTGTCTGCACGAGTGAGACAGCAATCTTGTGTACCGTCGGGGCACACTACATCAGACGATGGAGATTCACACATGGTTGTATCCGCGATGAGTTGATACTGCTGAACTGCGAGAAGCTTGACCGAGTTACACCTCGAGCACGGGCTCAATACATCGACCCGCGTGTCGAAGCACGGAGTGACGGAGTAAACGCTGGTGTTGTATGTCATGGAGGACAAACGTTCACCTCCTCGATCTGCTGGTGGGTTCCACGACACTTCAATGGCTCCACCCGACGCAAATATCGAGGATACGTCCAAAGGTACGCTGGGAATGGTCAAAGACCGGGTTTTGAATGAAGTAGCCACTGATTCACTCTTCAGACTTTTCTTCCCTGCTGCGTTGGTTGCGGTCATTTTCACAGTGTACACCGTGTTCGCGGCCAGATCTTTGAGAAGCGCCGGAGACGCTAATGCGGGCCGTTCCTCTTGACTTCCGAGGGATATCAAAATGACGGAATAACCTGTTCACAGTACACATTTATTAGTCATAACAACTGGTACACGGTTGATGCTGATTGTATCAACCTGCGCACCTGTGAGGTCGACACCACCGCTGTCGAGCGGCAATGACCACTCTGCCACCGCAGAGCTCCCAGTGATGTTCACTATCGTAATATTGCGAGGCGCAGTCGGGGTTGAGGGGGCAGTTGTGCTCATAGTTATCGAGGAACTGAACAGAGAAGTCCCCAAATTCGTTACAACGGCAGCTGAGACCTCGTAGCTTGAGCTCGCTTGCAGAGGTGTTGCATTGTACGTCACGGCGCCATCAGCTGCAATACTGTTCGTCACAGAACTCCCAGTAGCATCCGTAGTCGTCACTAGAAACCCAGTAAGTGTCGCCCCTTGCATGTTCAGGGACTTGGCCAGGCTCATCGTTATCATTCCGCCCGTGGTTTGCAAGAAGTACGGGCTCGGGGGTGGTCCAGGAATGGCTGCTGCTGCAGTGTAAGTATCTGTCGCATTCGCAAGCTGCAGACTGGTGGCCACGGAGATACAAATGTCGACCAGGGTCACTGCCACAGCTTTGAAGATGTATCGCGTTTCTGGGAGTAACGGTTCATCGCTGGATTCCGACAAATGCAGAACCTCCACAACGTCCATCGTGTCCGTGCCAATTGTCGTTGCTACCTCCGTAAAATCTCCAACATCACTGGTAGCCATGTATACGTTGTAACCCTGTATACGGCCTCCACCTAGGCACCACAAGCGTGTAAGAACACAGCGGAACATCTCACAGTAGAGTGCTAATCGTACCATCATCGAGCGGCGGCATTAACTGCAAGACAACCGAAGCACCTGGTAGCCAACAACGAAGCGTAGTTAGTCCACAGTTCAGTAAGCTTTAAGCAAAAAACTACTCGCACCTGTAGTACTAATAACTGTGGGTGCTGGGCACGGGTCAGGGAGCTGAAGAGCCTTCGTTGTGGCCTCTAGAGGATTGCTTTGCACAGACATTTTCCCGCCCGCATTGGACGCAACGGCAGTAACCAAGTACGCCGTTAGAGCGTTCAACCCGTAGATGTTGAAGGTGAGTGCAGCGGCGCTGTCAGATGACTGGGACTGCTGCATTACGGCCAAGCCCTCTGCAGTTCGAACAATGACCGTCATATTGGCAAGATCAGCACCTCCCGTATCTGCCGGTGGCTGCACACTGACTTGAACAAAACCACCAGTCATAGCTAACAGCGTGGGAGTGTCTGGGGCATCCGGCGCCGCAAGACTCAACGTAGTAACAGCAAGCGAATCCGAGTACAGCGGCTCTGCCAAGGAATCATTGACGAGAGTTCCTTGCACTTGGACCGTGTATGTAGTGTCACTAGTCAATCTGTACAGGTCATAACGAGTCACATCTAGAGTGACAGTCTCTCTCTCCTGGCCATCCACGAACACTCTGAAGTCTTCAGCGTCGGCAATGGAGTTGTTTAAATACCAAGCTGACGAGATCGCCCTGCCGCGAACCAAAACAGCACAAACGAAATTAGTGCGCATCACGCAAGTCCTTCAAATGGCCAGCGCACCATTCGATGTGCAGCGCGCCGCCTGTTGGTGTTGCCCGCGCATCAATCGAGGGGTCTGTTGACTGTGTTACGGAGCTCACGGCAACGATGACTAGCAGTAGCAGCCACTGAGCTCCAAGCCACGCACCCCCTTTCCAGACGCTAGCCACCTGGCGCATAACGCAGCTCGCTCCTGCTCAAATTGGATATCAAGAACGACAATAGGATATGGCGACCCTTAAGCGGCCAATTTGATACGACCTTCTGCGGATTGTTCGACTGATTGATCACCTGTAAAGTTAGCCATGGCATCATGTTCATGTTGACAGTCTCACCTAAGCTTACCGTGGCCAGATCCGGTTTATACAGTCAAAAATTGCGTCATTGCTAGTGAGTTAGCTCTACACGACCGAACTATGGCGTGGGTTCATACGCATGTACTCGCGCATGGCGCGGTCTGCCTCGGGGAAGAGGGGCTTCAAAAATGGGTCTTCGGTCGACATGGACGTGACCACGGCGGTGGCTTCGTGGCGGTAGATCTTCTGCCACTTCTTGTGCTTCTTCAGTATCTGGTGGGCAGTGCTGCCTTGGACGCGGTCCTGTACAAGGATTTGGCAATGAATTAGTTGCAGCTTCGATGAACGGGGTCAATGCAGCAGAGTCGCACCTTTTCCAGCATGTTCAAGATCTCGATCGCTTCAGCGCGCACGATGTGCGGCTCCTTCACCTTGCCGACCCCGTCGGGGTTCTCGAGAATATTCAGCAGGAACCCAAACAGATCCAGACGACTCGCGAGGTACACGACACCAGCGCCTGCGTCGCGGTCGCCGTGCTCTGGGTACTGCAAGATGATGCGCCGCATCATTTCCAGCACGAACGCACTCTCGTAGTGCAGTGGACCCCCTCGAGCTGGATTGACGACTGCCATCAAGCACGACAGCGCAGTGGAGCACATCGGCTGCATCGACTCGATGCACGTCCGGGAAATCGTGCATACTCGCAAGATCCGCACGACGTTGACCACGCACGGCTCACACGCTTGCGAACGCACGGTGTCGTTCAGGTAGCCACAGCACTGCGCAGAGATCTGCAGCTCCGCTACCTTCCCCAATAACGAGGTTTCAACCTATTAAATCAATAAGACAGAGGTCAGCTACCTCTACTTAAATGCAGGTTATACCAAGGATATGGTACCTGGAGGAGGCACACCAGTGCTGACCCAACCAGGTCGACCAGGTCGATGTCGCGCTGTATCAGCTCGTCATCGGCACGACTCATCGTAGCGCGTAGCGCCGATGTCATATGTGCAAGCTGTCTGAACAGCACTTCAAACTCGGACCATAAGCACGTCATAAAGTACCTGTACACCACAGCATGCAATCGTCAGGAACAGAGAGTATCACGCAGTATCGTCGAGCACTGATGTACGTACAGAGGGTCGTGCAGGTTGAAAGTTGGGTCCTCCATGAACAGCGTGAGGTAGACGTTGCCGGCCATCGGAGCTGGGAAGAGACCAGTGTAGTCGACCTCGAACGAGTCCACCATGGATGTGAAGTTCCCATCGTCCGTTTCAGTTGTTGACGTTGACGAAAAGTAAATGTTGAGGAAGTTGACGATGCAGTTGCGCTGGTGGTTGCGGAATTCAACATTCCAGACGAGCTCGGGTGTCTTGTGGTCGGCCTAAAGTAAATAGCAGCAAGCACAAGATGCACTTATCAATCAGCAATAGAAGTACGAGAACAATAGCGACGCTACTTACCATAATGTACTCCACGATCGTATCCGGGCTTGAAGCGATTGCCCGAACAATAGCAGGGGGGAAGAAGCGACATAGAGTGCGCCTTGACTCGATATTCAATGGCGCGCCGTCCTTGACCATTTCGGAAAGAACCATCGCCGCTGGGACACGCAACCGCTCAGCAGCGTCAAATTCATCGTCAACAATGGTCTCCTCCACAAGCAGTACCCAGCCAATAAACTCCAAGTAGACTCCCGACTGAAGGATTTCTGACACGCAATGCCCAGCTGCTCCACCAGCACACAAATTGCGGATAATTCCAAGGGCCTCGGGCCCCACATCCGGGCAAATATGAACCAGCTCGATGAGAATATCACAAATCCCAAATTCTAGCGAAGCCGCTCCGAAACCTTCTAGCGTCGACACCACTTGCAACGTCGCAAGGCAATGTAGTCGGCACGGGACATAAAGCTGCGGAGTCAGCACCAAACTCTTCTCGGCATCTTCACTCTGATGAACTTCGTTGTCAGGAGGGAACAAGAGACGCAATATCATCTTCATTGCGCTGTCGTTAGCGACCAGGTTCTTCTCCACCAACGCCGGCGCCACGGAGGTTGTAATCGACAAGCAGTTCAGAGCAGTAACTCGGCCCATCGTTGTTAACTGTTCTTCGCCGACATTCCATCCAGCATAAGGAGGGAGCTTTTCAACATTTCCCTCGTCGTCCACATATTCTGGACAAACCAGTTCGCCGTTGTCGATAAACGAGAATGATTCCTTGAAGAACTTCTCAGTCAGACCCAGCTCAGCTACTGGCGCTGGAACCAAGCTCTTTTCGATGACAAGAAGACTTCCCATGAGCATCTCGATGTAGAGGCCGCCAACGTAGAAGGTATCCGCCAGATACATGAACCGGAACTTGATGGCATCAACGTAGTGTTCATCTGTTGACACTGTAGGCTCAATGCCCGCCCGCGGCGAAACAAAAGTTGTCAGCTCGTGGCGCATATCGCCGTTCCAGAACAGCGTGTATGACTCGCACTCTCCGTGGAAGATCTTCAGGAATTCGTGGTGGCTACTGAGTAGCAGCAGCTCGGACAGGTTCGGGGTCATCAGCGAGTCCACAACGTGCCTGACCAACCGATGACACGGAGACTGAAACTCACTTCCTTCAGCGAACAGCCCTCCAACTCTACAGAGAGCACGAACAGCCATGATCGCCAATAGATTCTGCACTTCAAAGGCCACAACAGCAAACTCCTCTTCCTCAGAGCCTAGACTCTGGTGCAAACGAGTGTTGATGGTACTATCGTCCAACTCCACGTCGTATGTAGAAAACATCATGAACAATTGCCATAGCACACCAGCCCTCACAAGACGGTCCTGGTTCTTTGACAGCTGAGTCATCCTCGATATACCTGTAAGAGCATTGTTAGTCTTTGTGCATTGCTAACAAAACAGTAGGTACTCGTACCTTCAAGAACTTGCTGCGTGAGCTTCGACAGCAAAAATGATTTTTCCCCAGCATGATTCCACAACCACAGAATACGAACCATGTCCACCAGCAACGTTGACGACTCGGCAATCCATTCGCGTCCACGAGAGGAGGCCAGCAGCCCCGTTATAGTTTGAAGCAAAACGAAGCAGACTTCCAGCAATTCTGGATTCGCAGCTGCTTCACAACCAACCATCGAATCGACACAATAGTTCACAGCCTTCTCCAAGGTGTCCAAGTCCGGTTGCTCAAGCAGCAACTCGCCATTCGCAACGGATACAGCACACGTGTTGTAAACGAGCTCGGCCGCGCAGACTGAGATCTCCAAGGCCTGAGCAGTTGTTGTGCCTTCAGGAAGAGTGCCGTCGGCTGTGCAATGGGCTGCCAGCAGCGGAAGTAAGAGATCGTAAGCATCGAACTCATAGTTTGCGAGCTCTTCTGGGTAGCGGTTGCACATAATGACCAGTGAATGAAGCAAGAGCAACAAGTTCTCAGGGTCATGTCCAGCTGATAGCAACGTTGGTCGTGGGCACGTAAGAACTCGGTATGCCTCTCGCAACTCGTCCAGCCTATCGCACAAAGCAATTGTTAGCACCTCCGTTACGTCTCTTCAGCAGATAGTACATACCTTTCGCTGTATTCAGCCGCAGAAATATTAGACTGAACCAAAGCTCTTGCCTTCTCCTTAAATCCGGCACGCAAGGTAGCATCAAGATTCTGGATATCAGCCTCCTCGGTGACGCCCAATATTTGTCGCGCTTGGGCAGCATCAATCGAAGCATCTTGCCGACTCACTTCGACACGCCATGCCATTGTCAAATTGTCCATGAAGTCCAATGGATCCGAAACAGCAAAGTTTTCATGCTCACAGAACTGTCCCAAATAAACTCCACCACACCACACTTCTGCTGCTAGCTCTTTGAAGGCGACAGGTGCCATCGGACAGAAACTCCACTTCCGTGACGTATCTTCTTCCAAAACCTCGGCAAAATCTTGCAAATGCGCTTGGCACAAGGTCTGTAGGTGATTTCGCATTTCGGGGCTCCAAAACACTAGAGGCGACTGTTCTCCTTCGCAAAACACCTTCGTAAATGCAGATGGAGACGATCGTTCCAGCAAACTAATCATGTCTTGGGGGAGGATCCCCTTCAGTGCGCTTGTTCCGTTGAAACCTGCCTGGAGGTGGTGCGTAGACTTGAGGAGTCCAGCCATAGCCTTGAAATCCGACTTTTCACTGATGAACGCCAAGTAAAAGAGACCCCAGGAGAACAGAGACGACCTGTTCGTCGCGTCTTCTTCGATTGAGCCTCCAATTGGTTGCCGGTCAGTGTACAAAAAGTCAAGTAGCATGGCAACCTTTTCCCACAGCTTCGGGTGGTTGCCGCGAACCAGAACGGGTAATACTTGACGGGCATACTTCCATAGCGTCGTCTTTCCCCGAGGAGGAGGGAAGATAGGTGACGCAAAGTCACCGCCATGCGTGCTATTGCCACCCAACAACGAGTTGCTGTGCGCAACGGAGAGCAAAACGCTGGCAGCGTCGTGCGCCATCTGAAGCGGGTGCAAGCCCCCAAGAATCCCCACCTCCCAGCGTAACTGGGCAATTTCCATAACTTTCGCCTTTGTTGTTACCGTTTCGCACGCTGGGTCATCTTGACGCGCTACCAAAAACGAGCTCATGTCCGTGTGCTCCTCATCTCGCTTCTGCTTCAGCTCGTTCACGCTGAACGGACCAAGCTGCTCTCCTTCTGTGGTTTCAAGAATCCAAAGCTTCTTGGGCTCGGTAATATCTCCAAACTCACGGTTTGTCGCGTGTGCCAGTTGGAGTAGCTGAACTGCGAGCTCGAGGTTGTGCTCATCGCTCAACACACGCCGTGCGTTCCCGGGGTGTAAGCATAGTGCCCGCACCGTGTGAAGAAAGTTTTCCAGCATCGACGCATGCACAGTCTCACTCATCAGCGTCCACAAGTGCCCAACCTCGTCGAAGTTCACGGCATTTACGAATCCGGCATGAGCAGCTGCCACAACCCCCATGCTCTTGATACAAAGAACTGACGTTTCCAAATCGTCTCGGAATTCAGCATGGATGTTTTCGCGCAGCATTCTTACGTACAGCGCAGCTAAGACTGCAGCAGGGTTTCGAACCGGAACTTGTTCGGGGGTCAGCATAGTGAAGTCGTCTTCCTCCGTTATTGTTCCGAAGAAGGACATTTTGCTTTGCAAATTCGCCAGAATTCTGATGTAGCACCCTCCGACAACAACCTCATCGGCAAGGCTAGGGTATGACACCCCAAAATCTTCGTAGTTCCAGCGAGCTTTCATGCCGCCGATATTGATCTGGAATCGGGTGAAACGCTTGAGTTCGGTGTACAGAGCTTGTCGAAGTTCCTCACGAGTTCGTTTGTTCCAGATCATGTCGACGGTCTCGTGATCCAGGCTGAGCATGTGAAAGAGAAGACGGAAGTTTTCCTGGGCTCGGGTTGAGCGTGACATTGCGTGATGCTTTCCTCTCGATGACCGGTGTCCATTGTGAGATGGTGATTTCTTTCCGCCCAGGGCGCCTAAGAAACTCAGCGCAACATCTCTCTTTCGAAGCCGAGGTGCTCGATCATGACTGGAACTGCGTGAATTGTTTTCACGGGCCGAGTTATTCGCTGATCGCTTGCTTGCCGAGCTTCCGTCGACCGAACTCTTCAGCTTGCGGAGCATTCGAGCCTTGGATTGACCGTTCTCTATCGGCGTTTCAAAAGAGCTGCGTCCGTTGCCACTCCACGTCAACGATGGACGTTCACCCGAGAAGGAAGAACGATTCTCTGGAATGGGTAAGTTTGACACCAATAGACGCCGCGATTCAGCTTGGAGACCACCTTGTCCATTGCGCAAGCCAATATCTCCCGTAGACATACTTTTTTGTGAAATCTTCTCCGGAGGGATATCCGAGCCAGCAAAACTGCTCGTTTCACCGCCAGATTGCCAGTCGATTGAGCCGCCTTGGAACGTTGACTCACTAGTAGACGACACGTAATCGTCATCATTAAACTCTAGCGCGTTTTCTTGTCGCTCCGCCTCCATTGCTTCGCGCTCAAGGTGATCGTAGTCCTCAATCTGAGCCGGCGTTCCAGGAGGCTCATTGAGCATAAAGAAAAACCCAGGAGGGATCATCCGCGACAGGAGTTGTTTGGAGCCGTCGTGGTGGCTCATCCAGAGAGACACCAAATACCGGCTTACGCACCGTTGGTCGAACGATTCGTCAAACAAGCCCTGGTATAAATGCCGAAGCACGATACCCTCCGTTAAAGCTTTGTCGCGAATACTAGATGCAACGACAGGATCGCATTCCTCGAGAGTGGTCTTTAGCAGTAATGTGCCTGGGTATAGCATCAAACGATAGGATGAGTGGTGTCACGAGAAACCAGGGTCATCAAAGTTGGTAAATACATACACGCCTCGACGGTGGTTGCACAGCGGGACTGGAAAAGTACCTTCAGTAGGGTACTATAAAACTTTGCAACTCCTTCCACCAATGTCATAAACTCCTCTGGACCAGTCGTAGAAGCTCGGGAGCAAAGACAGCCTTCCAGGGTCTGCAACAATCCCATCATCACAAGAGGGCCAGCTCTCGGTTTCTGACTCGTATTCTTGCTACCTGGTTCCACGTCAATATCTTCTAGATGCGTGATCAGAGACTGCGTTAAATATGTGTTCGCGAGGAACACCTTCTTGTTATGCGTCTCCACCTCTTCACAATATCGCAAAGCAGCCTTGTCCAGAGCTACATGTATAAACGAAAGTAGCAACACAAACGATAGCGTAAGGTCAGACCGAGGATTATCACAAAAAGACAGTGGTTAAGGACTCACCCGTTGACTTTGGCGCTACATGTGCAGTCAACTTTCTCAGCAGCAACGTAGTCCAAAACACAACAAACTCCTCGCCGTTAATCAGCAGGTTGGTGATCGTTTCCGATATCTGACCAGCCTGTCCAATTTCGCGGAAACCGTAATATGACGATGAAATGCGGAATAACGCTTGGATGAGGGTCACCGCAGCACGTTCCGACACAGGCTTCGTCTTCGCAACATAGTAAAGCTGCGCGCACATTGGTCGAAGCGCGTCTGCAATGATCGAGTGCTTCGTATTGTACGGGATCCCGCTCGCAGGGACATTCGCGTTGAACTCGGCAACAATCTCAACGAATCTGTGCGTCAAACAACTGTCAGTGACAAGGCAGTGGACAAAGAGAATCGCGCACAAGTACGCGCGTACCCTCTGTCGCCAACTTTCAGCGAGTTCCCGAACTTCCCCAGTGATGACATGCGCTGAAGATACCAATTCCCAATTGACGAATCATTGAAAAAGGACTGGGTCTCGGTGGCATCTTCAACCGCCGAAAACGGTAACAACCGCAAGCCACGCTGATTCACGACGCCGCTGATAAACAACTCGGGATTCTCCTCGCAGGTGACACAAATGTCGTAGATGGCGCTCAAGACTCCATCGCGGTCCTTGGACTCATACGTCCGCACCTGGTCGTTGCGGAACTGGATGTCGAACTGGTCTGCACTCGTGGCCTCGCGCACAAGCACGTAGATGTCGGCGTAGCTGTAGCATGCAACCACCTTCTCCTCGCGATCCAGCTCCACGAGGGCCTTTTCGTGCAGAGAGAGGATCCGTTCCTGCGGGTCGTTGCACTTGGGCGTCAACTTTCTCACGTGGAACTGCACAAACGGCTCGCCATAGTTCAAGCCGTAGTATCCTCTCTCCTCCTGGATCTTCTCCGCCGTGACGCTCGCCCTCGCCTTGATCTTACAGCCGATCGCTTCGGCAGCCGCTTGAATGCGCTGGTAGATCTGCCCTCTCTGCTGACTGAAGAACAGTCGACTGCGTCCCGTGTACCCAATAACGAACGCGACCTGCGAGTCCGCGAGCAGCGTCACGTGCTCCATCTCCGTGTACAAGTACTTGGAGCGGACAGCTCCCTCCTGCGCGATCGTGACGCCGTCCATGCCCACGTCCAGCGAGCAGCTCAGCGTCTCCCCCTTCCTCGACCACTTGGAGCACTGGAAGCCCGCTCCAGTCTTACGTTGCTGGTTCTGCTCCCTGAGCCGGTACAGATCCGACAGCAGCCGCGAGCGGAAGCGACAGCGCAACTTGAGCTGCTCGTCCTTCTTCGGGCCCTTGAGCGCCAGCATGAAGCCCTAAAAAGAAGTAGCAGGAGAGCAAGGTAAGTAAGTGTAGTGCAGTATACTCTACTACTTAAGGTAGGGCTGCTCTACTGTACCTGGCTGTCCGAGGCGTCGAGGCTGATGCTGAGCAGCGCCGAGAGCGGCCACGTGTTGGTGACCTCGAAGTCCCGCGGGTCGATGGTGCAGAAGCGCGTGGGCGCCAGCGCCAGGATGCGCTCGTACTTTCCCCTCCACGAGACCTTGATCACCTGGTACTTGGCCACAAACTCCTCGATGGGCAGCAGCGGCGCGTGGCTCCTGCTGCTGCTGCTGAGAACGGAGTGGTCGCCGCCGTTGTTCGAGCGCCCGCGCGGCAGCAGCTGGCGGCGCGACTCGGCGTCGGGCAGCGACACGGTGGGGCCGCCTCTACTGCCTCTGCTGTGGCTGCCGCTCGCGTCGGTCGGGGCGCGCCCGAACAGCGCGCTCGCCTCCGCCATACCGGTATTGTTACGCTTGACACGCTTGAACCAGATGCGGAGACCTTCACTTTGACTCACGGGCGCAGACCAGAGGGGTACCGTACTTGTTTATTGCCTTTTACTTATTCTGCCGTGACAATTCTGGCATAACTCTAATCCCTTATCGACATTAATTATGCCCCGAGTTATCTAATTCCCATGTTAATTCCGGGCCGTCCCTCCGTGGCCGAATTACGAGCGGCGATGGTGAGGCCGAGTTAAGGCGGAATAAGCGCGTTAGGCGGAAACAGAGCGATTGGCGGCTCCTATCTCCATCGATTGGCTCTCAAATGCTGATCGCGGAAGTTAGGGGAAGCTCTCACAATCTTAGGCAGAATTAGCACTAAATAAGCGTTGATCGTCCGCCTGAATTAACAGCTCACCCGCCAAAATACGTGAAAGGCACAATACATGTTAAAATGACAATCTAACTGTTAAGCAATCTTTCTTTGAAGTACGGTAGTTAAAAATCAATGTTCACAGGTCGAAGAGCTGTGGTTGGGCGGCAGACATTGTTTGTAACCTAGTGAAAAGAGTAACCCTCTATGTACGTTTTATGTCGTCAAACCTTCATTTAGTGATGGGGAAATTGTGTTTCGGGTCCGTTAATTTGAAATAATTCCGAATCGGGTCCGTAATTTTCGAATCAAACGTTCATTTCGTCTTTTTGAAAAAGACTAGATACCCTGTATCAAAAGTGTAACTATTCCACACGCTATTGTCATCCGTACCGTGTAGACCAATTGCAGATCTCAGGTGCATTTTTCTTTATGCACTAATAAAGACTTGTACAATGCTAAAACAATGATCGTTTAGGCATAACATAAGGTTCCACTGCTTACAAACTGGTGAGAAAAGCTTTTTGTTATATTTCAGAGAATATAACCAAAACACTCTACTTCTGATTATAAACACTAAACCTAGATTCATGCTCTTTCGTAAGACGATACTAAGCCCCAGAATGCCTATCATAAGACAAAGCGTCTTACGTTTCCGATCAACGCGTTTTGACTACATCTTGGTTTTTGTATACCAGTGGCTACATTGCATATTGTCTGTCAAAACATAAGACAGTTTGTCGGACACTAGTTTCCGCCATACAATTGGCCAAAAGTGTTCAGGTCACAGCGGCATCGTTGCCGCGGACGCAGTGGCAACGTTGAGCGCCGAAACGATGCAGTTGCATGGTGCGGTAGGGTAAGTAGCCTCTTGTTCACACACGAAGCGATGTGCCTGTAGTTGGCCGCTGGCAGCAAGCTTAAATATCGGCATAATGACTGCACGGATGCGTGCATGCAGTCCGTGGAGCTGTTCCACTCAGAGGTGCAGCCGTTGTAGGGCACGGAGTTACGATGAAGTTGGCAGACGTAAACTAAGAGAGACAAATAGCTCGTAACGGTACTATATATACATTTTAATGTAGTAAATTTTATGCTTGAGCGTACATCATAGTAGTTGTGAAGGCGTGGCAGCCAGGGAACGGTGTTGCCAGTGGGCTTCCCGAGATCCTCCAACCCCCTCTTACCTAATCATTACAGTCCAGCAACAAAATGCAACCACGTACTCTGCAACGGCGATAATACCTAGATCTTATACCTACGACGCTGAGGTGTGGAGGAGCTCCACACTGCTGCGCGGGCGCTCGGCGCGCGCCATATCGCTGCTGGGCTCGACCTTCGGCGTCGGCGAGTTACTCGGTATCTCCTGCAACTAAGCCACTGCCTGCAGTCATGCTTTTTGTCGATGCTACAGCGTAGACTGGTTTGCGTATGCGCGCTCTATCCGAATCTCCATCTTCTATGTAGTGTTAGTACTTTACTGTATAAAGGAGAGTTGGCGTGGTGGGGTGAACGACTGTTGTCGTTCACCCCAGTAAAGCGAAGAAACATTGCTCCACTACGGGAACAAACGGTCGCATGATAACTGTGCTATGATGTCCTTACATTCCATTCCTGGCAAGTATATTTAAATCTTCTAGCAGGAGGTTAGTGCATGGCGTCAGGATCAAAGGCCCAAACATTTCAAGGGGCATTTTTCAAGTGCGCTGCCTCTAGTAAAGGGGGCAAAATGCGCACACATATAAATCAGTCCAATTTACGAGCCGAGATGCAGCAACACTCGAGACTACATAATACAATATTAACCAATGATATTGCAACATTTGATTTGTCGTCAAACTGTCTTACGAATGCTCGACACAAGTGATTGAGCATTACCGTTTTGCGCTATACTACAAGTAAAATACCTTAAACGCGTTGTATTACGTATGAGCATACCATAAAAGTGCATATGTCATCCAAACATGTTTTTGTAGACAAATAAAAACTACTGTACCAGAATATTTTTTTATGAAGAAACCATTATTGTAGTATTCCTATGCTTTGGTGTATTCATTTTCCTAAACGGCTTTGTTTAGTACTTAGTTTATATAATTTAAGCATTTTATACAGTAGAAATATATTTATTGTTTCGTATTTCATGGTACTATACAACATTTGAACAGGGAAGAGTTTGATAACATGAAACATTTTTCACTGGGGATACATATTCCTAAATTATTTTATAAAGACTTTTGGTTCGAGAATAACGGACCCGATTCGGAATTATTTTAAAATAACGGACCCGAAACACAATTTCCCTTTTATTGAACCCATGTTAAGCTAAATATTACCCCTTATATGTACTGGTCGTTCACAAAAGTACCTCTTAATAAAGGGTCCGCGCCAGTCGCGGGCCCTTTATTAAGTGAACTGCGAGCTGCACGCACACATTGACGATGCTCGGCGCCGCCACCTCCATGCCGCTCCTGACGCCGCGACTGCTGTCCCAGCGAGCTCGCGGCAGCCTCAGCCTATTGCCCATCGGTTGGAGTAGCCGCTTCCACCCGCAGATCAGTATCGGCGGAGTTGCGTCTCGCTCCGTGGGCTCCTCTACCTCATCGTCTTCCTCCTCGTCGCCCGAGCCCGAGCCTCCGCGCGTGGCGTTCCTGGACCGCGTGGTGAACAAGCTCAACGACTCCATCAAGAAGCACCCGGGCGAGACCCTCGCGGTGCTTTTCGCCTCCGACATCGGCAGCATCGGCGCCATGTACGACCCGCAGTAGCCTGAACCATCCTCATAAAGTAGAGGACTCCTCTGACAATTATTATTGTTTATTTGATTGCAGGTACGGCGTGCTGTCGGTGGCGGGCATCGAGTTCTCGCCCGAGTTCGCCTTGGCCTTCGCTGCCAGTCGCCCGTTCCGCCGCTTCCGGCTGCCGCTGGACTTGGCCGTGGCGGCGGGCGTCGCCAGGGTCTTCCCGGTGTTCTCCAAAGTGCGGCTCTCAGACCTGACGGGGGCCCTGCCAGAGTGCGTTGCAGCTTGCTACAGTATCTTGAAGTTACTGCGTATACTGACGCGGTTTGTGTGTTGTTGTGTGCTATGTTGCTGCAGTCGAGCGAGCGCGTCGGCTTCGTCCACGATCGCGAGCTCAGGCATCGTGGCCAAGACCATGAACAAGGCCAAAGAGGTGATCGACAACTACGGCGCGGCCTACATGATGGGCTCCCGCCTTGCGGGTGTGGGCGTGGTCTGTGCGCTGTACGCCCTGATCAAGCAGGGGGTCGACGTCATGCCGATCCTCGCCGCGCTGGGCGTCGACGAAGTGGGCCAGGCTCTTGGCTCCTACGCGGCGGCCGTGGTCTTCAGCTCGGCCTTCTACCCCGTGACGCTCGGTGTCTCGGGCTATGTCGTACCTGTCGTTGCCAAGCTACGCAGGACTGCCATGCCCTAGGCTGATTGTCAATGGAAAGCTCCGGTTTAGAGTAATACAGATCCGTCATGCTTTGCTACTGTACAAGTTCTTGGTGTGCAGGTCGCTTTCAAACTTCTGGTAAGATTTTGCCTATCAACCCAACCGTTAACGCTCGTCTCGGATCTTGTTCAGCATTGTTCAACACCCATCATTGCCTTAGATGCCGCCACCTTCGAAGAATCGCAGCGCTCCAGGCGAAAGCCCCAGGCCCCAGCAGCGCTCGGCAGGGGCCCCCTGCCCATGCGTCTCTCGTGGAGGCAGCACTGGCATCTGCGATCTCAATGTGTGGCAGGGCACGACGCTGGATGACGACGCAGCGCGGTCGGGGAGACGATTGCTTCGCCCTAATTTACCCGTGATCAAGTGCAAACACTGGACGCAGATTCGGTTTCCAGGTATCTTAAGATCATGGCGCTGGGAGAGGATTGACTGCACTATGCTAACTATAGTCCAGGCCGCCTGTACCATTTGGTCTCCTTGGGCTGGATTCCGCTGCTCTGCGTCTTCGTCGCAGTATACGTCGGAGTCGTTGGACTGTTCGCACTGCTGTTTGATGCTTGCCATGGGTACACGAAGCCTCGTATTGTGCTGAATATTGGTTTTGAACTAACAAGAGAACTTGCAGGGTGAACCCTGACAGCCCAGGAAACACCAGGAATTACTTCAATTTGAGTCTCCAAACGCTATCTAGCACCGGTAGCGTCTATATGTCTATTGCTGCACATTGCTGCCATGCTGATGCAGTCGATGTGCTTGCGCAGGATATGGAGCTCTCTATCCGGCGAACACTTGTTCTCGTTGGATTGCTGTGATCGAGTCTTTCGTGTCCATGCTACTCACCTCCTTCCTCACGGGCGTGGTATTTGTCAAGTTTGCCAGGCCCCACCCCAACATTGTGCTTAGCGACGTAAGCTGAAATCACCGCTCTCCGTAAATGGTGTTCGAGTAATTCACAGCTATTCCATGTGTTCTCCTGTAGGTGTTCACCCTATCACGAGGAGAAAACTGCATGGAGATGCGTTTTCGAGTGGCTAACGAGACTCGCCGCGATCTTGCCCACAAGGGGGATATTATCAACGTAAACTTCAAGCTCATTCTGATGAGAGCAGAGGTAATTTGCCCGCGAAGGCAGATTTACTCGTCTTTTGTGTCTAACGATGATATGCTTGTTGACACGCTGCTTGGATTAACATAAGACTGGAAGGCATAATGAGAAGAGATTGTGCTACTACGACTTGAAGCTGAAATCAGCGCGTCTTGTCTCGCTGAGGTAAACTTTTAAATTAGACGGCTGTAGATGCTTACGGCTAATAGTTTGGTTATGCTTGCCAACAGGTTGGAAATCGAGCTGATTCACATTATCGACACCAATAGCCCCCTGTTCAAGCAAACAGCAGACGACCTAGCGCACGCAGACTTCGTTTTGATCCTTCTCGCGTCGGGTTTGGACGAAAATCTTCACGATATGGTGCACAAGAAGCACGAATACGGTCATGAGTCGATGCGATGGAACTCCAAGTTCATCCCTATGCTTGACTGGGATGCCCGTCACCAGCTTATTGAGCTCGATCTTGGCAAGATATCAGCTGTCGCCTCAACTCCAAGTGATTCTGACAATGGTGGATCTGTCAACATTGACATTGCAACCTCGGCCCAAGAAGAGAAAAATGAATTGACTGATGAGACTGTTGATCACAGGAGTCACCAGAACTCGAACAGCCTTCAAACGGAGGACACCATGCCACACAAATTGGCGAATGGTAGCACTTGGGAGCTTAGCGATGACTACGGTGAAGAAGCGACCATAAAGAGGAGAGGCGACCATGCCGCTGACGAAGCAGATTCAGACGCAAACTCACCCTCAAAAGGTGAAGAGGAAAATGGCGACCAGGGTCGCGTCGGCCAACGGAGAAGCAGCCGCTTCTCTTATGAAGACCACGATCATCACCTAACTGGGAACCTCGACCAACGTCCAATGAGTCTACTGCAACGAAGAGTTCGCGTGAGGAACCGCTCGCGTTGCGTGCTATTGAACGGCATGTACCAACAGGCATTGGCGGCTTCATGGCCTAGTTTGCTCCTGTCGCTTGTCGTTGTCTACCTGGCTGTGGTCGCGGCGATTGCGATGTTGATGACGATCTCGGTACGTCAAGAAATGGATGAGGTTACATGTACTGTGCCGTTGACTCTTGTGCTGATCTGTAACAGATTCACGAACCGCTAGAGCAGCGCACAGAAAGCGATTTTTCAAGCAAATACGGCATGATGTTCTTCTTCTGCGTGCAAACAATATCGACGGTCGGATATGGGTCACTGAGTCCCAGGCAAGACAGCGACGCCGCCAACTTCTATGTGTTCCTGCTCGTTTTTTCGGGTCTTTTCGTCTCCACGCTACTGACGGGTAGGTTTCAGCGTATAGGTACCTTCTCCGAAATGTTGAGCACTCATTTGAATGCCCGTGTTGCAGGTGTAACGTGGGCCAAGTTCTCGATCCCAAAGGCTTCGACGCTGCTATACAGTGACGTCCTGCTCCTCACGTTCTTTCACTCGCATCGCGCAGTCATGTTCCGCGCTGCCAACAACCGCAAATATGGCGTTCTCGTTGAAGGGTCCTTCAGGTACATCATCTTGATAGAGGTGGTGATGTGAGGCTCACATCTCGCAAACTAACTACTTAGTATTATTGTTTTAGGATGAGTGTCGTGGTGCTCAATCGCAACTTTGGACGCCGAGAGACCCACGAGCTGCGACTGGTACGATTGAGCAAGACAACTGAACACTTTCGTTGCCACTCACACACCCGATATCGTTCACTGTGCTGCAGGTCCGCAACGTCTGGCCGATCATCAACCTGTGCAACACGCTGACCCACATCATCGACGAAAGCTCGCCCCTCTTCCACTTGTCGACCGACGAGCTGCTGTCGGGGGACCATTTCTTCGTGGTGCTCTTCACGGGGCTGGACAACATCATCAGCGAGACCATGGTCGCCCGGAAGGCCTACCACGCGTGCGATATCCTGGTGGACCACCACTTCGAGGACAACATCACGCTCACGGCGGACGGCCTGTACATCGACCTGGACGCCATCAACGCCACGTACTTCGACCCCGACGTCGCCTCAGAGGAGCAGCCAGCAGATTCGGCAGACGTCAGCCCCAGCCCCAGCTCCAGCTCCTCCAACCGAGAACCTAATGACAGTCCTCGGTCCGATTTCCAGTTGCTGAACGAAAGTAAGGAGGCAAACAGGCAACTTTAGGCACTTCAACATGACGTTGCGCTTGACTTGATTACGACTTGCGAGCACCGAGATTTTGACTTGGTCTGAGTATCGCTATTTTTGACTCGGTCAGAGTATGGCCTCTCGCCTACGTACGCCGCTCGTCTTCGCTGTGTCATTCCTGAACTCGCTCGCTCCGACGCAATGGTGACCAACTCGCAGCCCGACGCAGCGGCGCCTGCCAACGCCACCGCTCTGACCAACTCGACGGCAGGCGCTGCCGCCTCCTCACAGAAGCGCGACGTGTACGTCACCGGCTTCGGCAAGTTCGGCGACATCCTGGAGAACCCCACGACGTTCCTGGCCAAGAAGCTGGAGGAGCACCCCAAAGTGACCGAGTCCCACGTGCTCGAGGTCGCCGCGGAGAGTGAGACAATGAGAGATTGGTGCTGCAATACTGGGGACAGTTGGGGTTAATGCTCTGTGGGTTTTGTGCTATTGCAGCCTGCGTCGAGGTGCTGCGCGATCTGTACGCCAGAGCGGAGGTACGTTGCCGTTACCCCCCCCCCATATATATTGCTACAGGAGCTGAGCAAGTGAGTGTTTTTGTTGCTTTGTAGGAGCGCGGGCGACCGTGCATCTTCCTGCACTTTGGAGTGAGTGCCATCTCGCGCACGCTGTTGCTGGAGCAGGTGGGCTACAACGTGGCGGACTTTAGAATCCCGGACGAGCGAGGGTACGTCGCCAAGAACGAGATCATCCACGAGGGCGAGCCGGACGAGATCACCACAAAAGTGCCGGTTGAAGAGATGCTGCCGACGTTGAAGGCCGTGCACCCGAGGATTGCACTGTCGACCGACCCGGGCCGGTACATCTGCAACTACGTGTACTACCGCTCGCTTGTGTGGACCAAGCGCCAACAAGCCAAGGGACACCCCGAGGTAAGTCCGTACCACTCTACTGTATAACGTGCCGTCGCTGACTATTGCAAATTCTGCCTGTCAGCACCTCGCGCTGTTCGTCCACGTGCCCGAGTACCGGAACGTCGTGTTCGAGGACCAGGTCGCGCTGGCCTCCAAGATCGTCGACCTCGTGGCCGACCTGTAGGCTCAAAACACCTCAGCGGCCAGTGACATCCCTCCGTCATGCATGTAAATATACTCATATACACGTTGGCCACTAAGGCAGTGAACTCTATTTACGACCATGCAACAAGGACTTGACTTGAAGCAACAGGCAACATGGGCACGTAAATCTACATTTGTGTACTATACACAATGTAATATACTCACTTAGGTACGATCCCTGCCGACCAAACCGTCGGCACCATCCATCCGTTCGGTACAGGCTGTCACTCAGCCAGACTCGAAGAGACCAGACCGACCAGCCGAGTGGCGCCCGGGCCGCAGAAACAGACACAGCAGACAGAGCGAGCGATGAGCGCCCAGCAGACCAAGGCTCCCGGTGCGTAGCTTTAGCTCTCTAGCGCTGCTGCTGCTGCCTCCCAGGAGGAATATGAATCTACTCAGCGACAAGAGACACAGGTTGACTAACTGGCTGGCTGGCTCATGCATTTCATTCATTCCAACAGAGGGGGCGGAGCTCAAGGAGGCCATCAAGCGCCAGGTGGAGTTCTACTTCTCGCGCGCCAACCTGGCCAACGACGCGTACCTCGTGTCGCAGATGAACTCGCAGATGTACGTGCCCGTGGAGGTCATCATCAACTTCTCCAAGATCAAGCAGCTCACGGACGACGCCGCGCTGCTCGTCGAGGCCGTGCAGGACTCCACGGTGCGCCTCTCTACCCCACTGTGCTGCCACGGTTCCACTAGAGGCTGACTTGTGCATCATTTATTTATTTATTGTTGCTACCGCCAGATCTGCTCGCTGAACTCGGCCAAGGACGCCATCAAGCCCAACATCAAATCTGAGCGCACCACCATCATCCTGCGCGAGATCCCGTCGTCCACCAAGCCCGAGGAGGTGGAGGCCATTTTCGACGGCTGCGGCAAGGTCGCCAGCGTGCGCAGCGACGTGGGCGACACGTGGTTCGTGACCATGAACACGGAGGCCGAGGCCGTGAGCACGCTGCTGGCGCTGCGCAGCAAGACGTTCAACGGCGCCGCCATCAAGGCGCGCCTCAAATCCGAGAACGTGCTCAAGTCCTTCTACCCCTCACAGCCGGCGGAGAACGTCATCGCCCCCAGCGTCGGCGCGCCCTACGGTGGCCGCGGCTACTACGCCTCGCCCAACATGGGCTACTACGACAACTACGGCGTCCAATACAACACAGTGAACCCGCGCGCGGGCCAGCACCACAACTACAACAACAATAACGGCGAGATCGGCCGGTATGCCGGCAACAACCAGCGTGGTGGCGCTGCCGCCGGCCGTGGCCAGGGCCGTCAGAACCGTGCAAACGGCGCAGGCGCGCATCAGCAGAAGGACGCGCGCGCCAAGAGCGGCAGCTTTGAGCAGCGCGCACCGGGCAGCTCGCGTAAGAACAAGAACAAGGGAGCCAAAGCTGCGGCCCAGCAGCAGCAGGCGAACGGCAGCAACAACGGCAAGAAGGCCGCTGCTGCGGCCCCTGCCGAACGTCAGCCTGTGCTGAACGCGGCCAACTTCCCGCCCCTCCCCACGGCTCTGGAGAAGGCTGAGACGTCGAATGTGATTACCTACAAGTACGCTCACGAGGACATTATGGAGATCGTTAAGAACATGGACGAGAAGGACTGCATGCTGCCGGAGGGTAAGATGGACTACGCTGTGCACCCGGCGGCGCTTACGGCCGAGGCCCACCCGGACCTGCTGCGCAACCAGCGTACGTACAGTATTGAGCAGGCTCGTGACGCCATGCGCCAGGGACGACCGATCCGCAGTGACTCCGTTGGATCTATCGACTACGAAAGCATGATGTACGGCGAAGACTACACGAAGGAGGCTCGCGAGCAGCGCAAGCAGAAGGCGGAGAGCGCCCCAGCCGCCGCCGCCGCTGACGCTGCTTCTGCTGCCAAGCCGGCTGCTGCGCCTGCATCATCTAAGACTAGCGTTGTTCCGGCCAAGGTTGTCGGCTACGCTGCGGCCGTGATCAACGGAACCCCGGCCACGGCCCCTGAGCCCAAGAAGAAGCAGTCTGCTGCGAAGCCTACCTCGAAGACTGCCTCCAAGGAGGATAAGAAGCCCGCTGCCAAGAAGGCGGCTAAGACTGCAGAGAGCGCGCCGAAGACGGCTGCTGCCCCGGCGGTGGACGAGTCGCTGCCCAAGGCTGGTGCTTGGGGTGGTCGTAACTTCCTCGATGTGGTAAAGGCCGACCCGCCTGCTGCACCTGTGAAGGCGACGCCAGCAGCTCCCGCGAGCGAAAGCGAGAGCAAGTAGATGACTGGCGCATTGGCGAGGAGGCAGGAGGCTGAGGTGATGCGTGGTGGTTAGGCGAGGAAGCACTCGTCCGACCTGGGTCTTGGTCTAGTGGCGGCGCGCCTCGAGGCTGTAGAGGCGGCTGGCTGGTTGGTGGTGTGGCGAGCGGGTCCGTGGTTACAGCTTCGGTTGCTCGCCTGCTGCTCTGTCGGTTGGTCTGTCAGTTGGGTTGCCGAGTGAGTTTGAGAGAAACAATGAAACGAGACAACCGCTGACTGAAACAATGGCGTGGCCTGGGCTTGGGGATGGCGAAGATGCTGCAGGGCTGATCGTGCCCTCGGCTGTCGTTGTGTTCTCTGCGTTTTGGATATTTTTCATCATTATACATGGATTTGCTGGATGCCCAAAGGCGAGCGTGCGCGATGCCCGTTCGTGACATCGTGTGCCTCGAGCAGAGAGCTTGACGTGGGTGTTTGCTACGTACGCACTTCACGCCGTCAGCGCGCAAAGCTACATAGGCTGCGGGTGCTCAGGCGAGGAGGAAATTCAAGGGTGCGGCAAGAGTTTTGGCCTCGAGCGCTTCTGCAAGAAGAGAGTTGAGCTAAATGCCGCCGCCTACATACATGCCACGACAGCAATAACGAAATAGACACGGGGTACGAGAATTTGGCGACAACCACACATCTTGCTTCTCTTCTCATCTTTGTAAACGCGACTTGCCCCCACCAACATCGTCATTAAACAACAGTTTTTGACATGTGAATCTACATGAATCCGAAGACTTCTTACACTATTGTTTCGTTGGCCACTCCGTCCTCCACACTCGATGCCAGGTTCGAGTTCAAGTACACCACTGCAGCCTTGTTTGCCTGCTCTTCGTTCATGTACTTAGCGTTCATGACTTGAATCTTCTCGAACATCCCACGCTTACTTTTGGAGAGCCCCGAGGCTGCAGGTAAACTCAGCGTGCGTAGCGCGATAGGTTGCAGATTCGGGCAAGAGCCGCCGATGAAGCCCTTCCACCAGTGAAGCGGGCTGCACTTCTGTGCGGATTCCCAGATCGCGTCGTCGGCGAATAGCCCCGTTCGAGCTGTGAATCGAGTCAACTCGTCCACGATGCTCCCATAGACCTCCGGGTTCGATGTCCGCTTGATATACGACAACGCTTCACTCGTAGCTTCCCCCGAAAGGCTAGATGGCGGGAACCGCGGATCCAGAAGATAGGCCGTGTACATCGCTGGGTGTTGAATAGTCTCCCAATATCCCGAGATGATGTGCTGGAATTTGGACGCAAGATTTCCGTACTTGTCGAGATGCCCCCAGAGCAATGTGAACCGATGGTAGAACGTTGACAGCAGCGGCGAATCCGACTCGAAGATCTTCAAAATCTCGAGGAAAGGCTCAAAGAGCCCAGTAAACGTCGAGACCTCCTCCCAGAAGGCAATGCTAATAATCCTGTCCTTGGTGTGCGTGTTGAGGGCGTTCAAAGTCCCATTCTCGGCCAACAAAATGTCCAGCGAGTGGCGGTTGCGCTCAATAGTAAACAGGCAATCCAGCAGCCCACTTGGACTGGTGTCGTTCGGGTCGCCCATCGGTGCAGCCGCCTCCATGGACTGCTCAGAAACTCGTGCAATAGCTGCACGCGCGACTTGGTCTTTCACGAAGAAGTGCGCTAGCTGCATGCAAGTATCGAGCGTGTTGGCGATGGTCGGTAGCTCCAGCATCTCCTTCATCATGGCCGTCATCGTGTGGGCGCAGCTTGGCAAGAATGTAATAACCGGGTACTTGCTCTCCAGAGTCAGCGACGCCTGCTTCATGCTGTCCGTCGTGTCCATCACAATGACCGATACCCTGCCGGTGCCGATCTGCGTCATAATATTCTCCACCTTGTCGACGAGCATATCGGCCGTGTGCGGCATGTCTCCAGTGCTGTCGAAGGCGAAGACGGCCGTGTTGGGCGAGTTGAGCACACAGGTCACGAGCGAGCACTTCTGCCCCGCCCACGACTCCACGCCGAGACTCACAGTGGTGGAGTCCAGCACTTCGGCGCGCAGCTTGATCTGCACCTCCGAGTACTCAAGGTCCAGCACCGTCGTGGCCAGCGTGAAGGCGTTGGGCGGGTCGTAGCTCGGGTTCATGCGCTTGAGCATCTTGACGAAGGCCGTGTGCTCCACCGTCACCACCGGCAGCCCCACGGCAAAGATGGACCGGGCCACGTGGCTGTCCAGGTCGCTCTTGTCGTCCAGCACGCCCACAGGCGCCTGTGGCTGAGGCTGGGGAGAGGTGGTGGTCGTCTGGACCTCATGCACCGAAGTAGGTGACGGCTGAGCTACAGTGGGGACTTCAGTCGAAGCCTCGACCTGCTGCGGAGGGTCCTTCCTGGTGCGCGCCTTCTTGGCTGGCTGCGTGACGGGCACTTCATACATATAGGGATGGAAAAAAGGCAACTTAGTGACCATCACTCTGCAAGTATACTAAAATCAAGTCATTGGGCTCACCGTGGTCGAGCCGGCGACTCAGCTCGGCGACCATCTCGGCCTTGACGGCCTCCGGGCAGCTCTTGCACTTGCGCGCCAGGTGCGTGCGCATGCGCAGGATGAGCCCGCACATGTTGAAGCCGCAGTAGTTGCACGTCGCGCGCTTGTTGGGCATCTCCTTGCGGAAGTGCTCCCAGAGCGGACTCGCGGGCCGAGGCATCTTCAATGTGCACAGGCAGCGGCGAGCTGCTGTTTGTTTGTTTGGAGTTTTATTCCCAAGTGACTGGCAAAGAATCCTCTCCCCCGAGATACTTGATTTTTGTATGCAAAGGATACTGTGATTTATTAGAACCGAGCTGTAAATTTTGCATAAGGCATTGTCAAGTGCACAAGATCTCTTGTAATGTTTACAGAACGCTGACAGCTTGAAACCACGCTGCACGAATAAGGACAATGCCGTGCAGCTAGCTATTTCCATCTTCAGTATCGAGTTATCCTGCCATTGACTCACCGATGTATTTTAGCCCCGGTAGTGTTAAGCAAGCAGATCTCGTGGCAACGGCGTTGGCCGCCTCGAAACCGTCTTGCAGGTCAGTCAGTGGCTACAATTCCATTGAAGCAGCGTCGAGCAGGTGCATGCATGGGTGTATCGGGTACAAAAATACTCGTTGGCTTGACGAGCCTCATCAAGCAAGAGCCCAGCACCTCCACTTACTACGAATGTCGTTCTTGGCAAATCTGCAGCCATTTACTGTAGAGTGCACAGCTTTCGATTGACACGGCTGTACGAATTGTTGGCCAAGGACTTGGAGTCTGGCGACGGTTGAGATCGCAGGTTGAAGTGAGGGGCTCCTATTGAGGGCATATCCACCCAGACGAATCTGGATACTGCCCCCGCTTTCAATATTCACCACCCAAAAGCAGCAAGTCGCCCCGCTATCCCAGCTCAACGGCGCGAGAATCTCGAGGCACCATTATCGAGCACCAAGAGCCACACGCGCGCGATGGCGCGGCCACCAGCCGAGGATGAATTTTGATCATGCCTCGCAGCCTTGTCCACTTTTCAATGAAAAGTTTTCATGTGCATCCTGGAATATCCGCACACTTGATTTTTGTATGGCGCGGGTAGAAACAAGCGAGGCCAAATCCCACTTTTGTGCGACGTGTGACTTGCGATGATGATGATGCCGAGCAGCTCACTTCCCAATCTGCCAGCTCCACCGCAAGCCGCCGCCGCAATACAACCCCACTTGCCTCAAATGAACTTCCTCCGCTGCGTCGTCGTCGCTGTGCTCGCGCTCACTGCCGTGTCGGTCTCCGCCTCGGAAGAAACCGGCGTCCGGGCCCGCCACATGCTCGCAATGGGCGGCGACGAATCCATCCTGCTCGCGCGCGGCTCGCTACGCAGAGCCGAGCAGGCCGCCTAAACTCAACCAACTCCAGACGTCCAAGCCCCCATCCATCCATTAATAAGCTCCGAACACCGAGGCTGTAAATTATTAATCTATCGCTAGCCTTCCAGCATCCCAATTTGGTTATGCCTCGTCCCAATTTGGAGTCTGCTTCACGAGAGTGAGGCCGTCCCAGAGCGGCATGACCATCTGCGTCGAGCGCGGGTCTTGAGCCACGTAGCTGTTGAACTCTGCCAGGCCTCGAGCGATGCGCTCCTTGTTGCTCGCCAATCCGCTGTCGTAGGCGGCTACTCGACCCCGGAACAGCGTGTTGTCGAAGACCAAGAGCCCTGCGGGATGCAGCAGCTTGTGTTCCAGGATGAAGTCGTAGTAGGCCTTGTACTTGCGCTTGTTGGCGTCTACAAAGATGAAGTCGAACGGCTGCTGCTGGGCGCTTGATGCAAGAGTCGTGAGGTACTCGAGGCCGTCCTGGTTCACGGCTGAGATTTGAGCCGCGCGCGAGCTTCTGTCGAAGAACCGCTGGGCGAACTGCATGGTGTCAGCGTCGATGTCGCATGTGACGAGCGAGCCGTCAGGAGCCAAGCCGTTCGCGAGGCATAGCGCCGAGTAACCGGTGAAGCAGCCGATCTCCAGCACTCGCCTGGCTGGCGTGGTCTGCACCAGAAACGAGAGGAACTTGCCGTGCATCTCGTCGATGAGCTGCTCGGCCTTGGGCCACGTCCGAGCAGTTTCCTCACGCAGGTCTCGGAGCAATGCGTCGTCGGTGAGAGCGGTGCTTTGCCTGTAGACGTAGTCGTTCTGAAGCGCTGAATCGTCGATGCTCTTGCAGAGAGTTCGTGAGGATGAGAAGTGTCGTTGTGTGTGGAGATTTCTAGCGACTGCAGATCTTGATCGCTTGGTGACGTACTTGGACAGAGCGTTCGGAATCGGTGGCATCCATTGCATCGCCCGCTGCTTGCGGTACTCCTTCTGCTGCTGCGTCGTCATCGAGTTCATTTTCATGACTTCTAGCTTGCACGGCTCACTGCAAGCTCCCAGGAGACTCGCAGCGCAGGCTTGACACTGGAGAATTAGACCACCGCACATCAAGTTGCTGCAGTTGGTGTGGTGGTTGCACGGCTCGCCGCACTGGAAACACTTGCCCAGCACATCGTCCGTCACCTCCTCCGACTCCGTCAACTCACCCACACAGCGCTGGTCGAACACGAAGTTCTTGCCCTTGAACAGAGAAATCTCCTTTTCGTCTTCTTCTGCAACATCATCAGCAGCAGCCGAGCGAGCTCGCGCCTCCGCGGCCGCCTGCCGCTGCTCCTTGAGAAACCGCATGTAGTTGACGATGCCGCCATGCAGTTTATGCACGTTCGAGATGCCCTTGTACTGCGTCAGGTACGCGCCCACCTTCTCGCACCGGATGCCTCCGGTGCAGTACATCATGACCTGTTTGGGCTTCTGTCCGTCGTGCTGCTGCTCGTGCTTCTCGAGGATCTCGTCCAGCGCGTCGAACGTGTCTCGGAAGGTGTCGACCATGATCCTGGTGGCGCCGTCGAAGCGTCCGATCTCGTGCTCGTAGAAGTTCCTGACGTCGAGCACGAGCGTGTCGGAGTCTTGTGTCTCGTTCCTGGTCTTGAGTTTGTCGTGCCACTGGTCGGGCGGCAAGGAATCGCCCGAGTCCTTTAGATTCAGCGCTCCTCTCTCGAATCCGTCATGCACCAACTGCTTCCGAATCCTCACTGTCAACTTGGAGAATGGGGCGTCACTCTCTCCATCCATCGGAGGCAGCAATTGACCGTAGAACATGTTGTCACCCGTAAAAACCTGTGGGAACGAAGCTGCAAGAGCCTCCAGACTGCTCTGAGGCAACACCAATTGCCCATTGATCCCTTCGGGCGACAGGTAAACCCTGCCGCTCACACCCAGCGCCTTCCAGCCACCCAGCAGTCGACGCCACAGCTTGGGCAGCTCGCTCTCCTCCAACGCCACGTAATTGTACAGACTCACGTACTGCCGAGGCTCTGCTGCATTGCCACTTGATAGACTCGACGCCCATCGCACACCAACAGGACGACGCAGAGACTGAAGACGACGGAGCAGCATGGCCCCACGTTTGCTAACCTAACTGAGCTCTTCGACCCAATTGTCTGATAGTCTGAAATGACTGCAACACATTGTCATTAAAATTTGTAGAATACGATGCAATCTTACTAGTACAGCCAGATTGTCGACAACAAAAAAATGCTAATCATTTCGCGTATTGGTTTGGGTGGTGGAAGGCATGCGGACACTTCGAGCGCCTGTGCGGCTTGTGCCGGGTCTGCGTCGGTCGCCGCTGCTTCAGTGGTCGCTGCAGCGTCTCCCGGTCGCTGTCACGCATCAGGATTCATTGGCGGGGCGTCGGCTCTCGAGCGCTGTCAGAGCTGCCGGGATATCTCGCCGCCAGTACATCAGTCTCTACAACTACACGCCGCTGGACAAGAAGAAGCTGCCCAAGCTCCGACGAGACCTGCGCGAGCAGTGGGGGGACTTGGGCGTCGTGGGGCGCATCTACATCGCAGAAGAAGGCATCAACGGCCAGCTGGTGGTGCCCGAGCCGGCAGTGAAGGCATTCGAGAGGTCCTTCCCGCGGTTGCTGAGTGATGCAAAGCTCTTTTACGGCCAGTTGATTGAGGACAAGGCGCGCAGTGAAGGAGGGCTCAAGGCGGCTGAACCGTTCCACAAGCTGGATGTTCGTATTCGCGACATGATTCTGCACGACGGATTTCAAGGTGGAGCGCTGAATCTAAAGGACTCGGGCGATTCCTTGCCGCCCGACCAGTGGCACGACAAACTCAAGACCAGGAACGAGACACAAGACTCCGACACGCTCGTGCTCGACGTCAGGAACTTTTACGAGCACGAGATCGGACGCTTCGACGGCGCCACCAGGATCATGGTCGACACCTTCCGAGACACGTTCGACGCGCTGGACGAGATCCTCGAGAAGCACGAGCAGCAGCACGACGGACAGAAGCCCAAACAGGTCATGATGTACTGCACCGGAGGCATCCGGTGCGAGAAGGTGGGCGCGTACCTGACGCAGTACAAGGGCATCTCGAACGTGCATAAACTGCATGGCGGCATCGTCAACTACATGCGGTTTCTCAAGGAGCAGCGGCAGGCGGCCGCGGAGGCGCGAGCTCGCTCGGCTGCTGCTGATGATGTTGCAGAAGAAGACGAAAAGGAGATTTCTCTGTTCAAGGGCAAGAACTTCGTGTTCGACCAGCGCTGTGTGGGTGAGTTGACGGAGTCGGAGGAGGTGACGGACGACGTGCTGGGCAAGTGTTTCCAGTGCGGCGAGCCGTGCAACCACCACACCAACTGCAGCAACTTGATGTGCCACGGACTCATTCTGCAGTGCTCGAAGTGCGCAACAAGCATGCTGGGGGCGTGCAGCGAGGCTTGCAAACAAGAGTACGTCAAAATGGAATCTATGGACCCTGACGAGCAGCGCAGCTACAGGAAAGCGAACGCCTTGACGTGGAAACCTAAGAACCCCAACTCGGTCAAGTACATCAAGTTCCGACCTCCATCTCCAGAATTGCTGCAAACGGCATAGATAGGTAGACTGTTGCTGTTTTGTTAAAACGTGGAAGTCTACACCCCGACAATTCTCGTTCGGTCGACCTATTCATGAAGGCCGATATTCGTTTCGCGATGCAATTAAACCCAACGCATGATCATGAAAAGCTCACGTCTACCCATGAAGCTGCTGCTAAAGAAAGCCGAAACATCAATGCGTATCATGCCTTGCCCCTCTTGTCCTGAAGAATTTGGCTGTCCGATCGTTCGAACAAGACTTACTTGAATTACTTCGCTGGAGCTTCTTGGAATAAGCCATGCCACGGAAGATTCTACAGCTTGCACCATACTTAAGTAATGACTAGCCTCAGTTATGCTAGTGCTAAAGTTGGAGACTTCATAAGTAGTATTCGAACTCTCAACCGATAATCTTCAGGAGATTGGAGACACTTTTTTGTTGGAGCTCCTTAGGTGTGAATCACTCGCCGGGTGATAGGATGAAAGCAATGCGACTTGCACCTCCACAATGGCCAGAATTGTCGAGTTGCGCATTGTTGAGACAGAATTCGGAAAACATTCCAGTTATTTACACAACCAATCCGTAGGCATCGTCACGCAGTTGTAAAGCATTACTATTATACTTCTCGTACTCGTATTATAACCAAACGAGAGGTGCAAGTCCATAGAGTACTGCTTATACTCGTTCCATCACTTGGTTAAGCTGTTCTTGCCCTTGTTTTTGTTTTTCGAGTGCGCGTTCTCGTCTTCTCAACTCGTGTTGATGGGCACGCATGGTGTCATCGGTCACCATGTAGTTATCGTCTTCATGGCATTGTGGACAGCAACTATGCTCCCGACTGTTGATCATTGGCGTAAATCCCAGCTACAAGAGTCACCCAGTTCAAAATATGTGGGGCCGCTTGGGCAGACCTTTCGATAGTACACAGTCAGCTCCATCCCCAACACCCGCAGCGGCAAAGTCGCGCATTGCGTCGTCATGTCTGCGATAGTCCAAGCCAGTATGGTGACATCGAGGTATACGAATATGACTCCATGGCTGACTTCGGCGAAGTCAAGTGCGCGATCCAATCGAACTAGGTCAAACATCATCCAGCCCAGAAAGACGAATTCAAAGACCAGCGACAACGAAAACTCCAGCGTCGACAGGAATCGTGTCGTCGCGAAAATCACCCCCGATATACCCCCTACCACCACGAACGCAATCCTACCATCCCGTTGAATTGATAAGAGCTCCCATTCGTTCACATACTTACGGGGGTAATCGAGATCACGAGGTTCTTCAGGCTGTTGTGGTGATCCGCTGTTGACTTCTCCTTCATAGGGAACTACCCTATCATTGAAGACCTGCGACTTCGGATCGCGTCCAATAGCGCCACGAGTATCAACCAGCCCAAGGTGAAGCAACAATTGAAAAATCGGACGTTCGAGGGCAGGAGTGCATCCATCCCAACCCAAACAGCAGCCAGTCCTATACTGAAGAGCAGCAGCAGCAACCACTTCGCGATCTGCACATTGCGTGGAAGGTAAGCGAGCACCAGCAACGCAAACGAAATCGCACCTAGGATGGCAAGCATTGCCGAGGTGTCCTCGTCGAATACCGACTCGACAGCGCTGCGGATGGATTGGGAGAAAGTGGAAAGGGTGACAGCGATCCACACCAGCAACCACTGCACCAAGAGACAACCCTGTAGCGTGCGCCGGAACTCGATCGAGAGAGCAGTTGTCGAGTGCATTATACGTCAAGACTTCGGTTAAACGTCCAGGCTTCTTGGCCAGCTTCAACCCCCTCTATTTTCAAAGTGAAGCAGTCCCGTGTAAACCTGCGTGGTAGTGAACTGTATTTTCGGATGTCCAAAGTTCCGCGACGACGCAGGAGCCACATCTGTATACGTGTTTAGCTCTACACCTCGAAGGATACAGCAGATCGAATAGATGTACATTTGCACCGCATTGGAAGTCGATTTTCGATGAAGCTCTGCTCAATGACTACAGTAGATAACGGGACGGACTTTGCTCAGTACGCTCGACTGGTGCGTCCTCTCCAGCGCTTGTACGGCGGCTCGTTGGTGCCGTTTTGCCGGATGTTCTTGGCTGCCTCTGTTGCGCGCTTCTTGCTGGCCTCCTCGTCACGCCGCATCTCGTATCGTTTCCTGATCTCGGCCGTCTTCTCCGGGTCGTGGTGCAGAATGTCGTAGCCGAAGCTTGCGGGCGGCTCCCGCTTGACCAAGTTGCTGTCTGCCTGGATGATTGTGCCCAGAATGCTGCCGGGCAGCGCGTTGAACTGGCCGTGGCGGTTGATCTCGTGCTGCAGCACCAGGCGCGCGTAGTCGAAGGAGCGCTTGACCGTGCGCATTTCGTACGAGTTCTTGCCAATGTCGAGGCTGGGCTCGTTCGGGTTCTCCATCGAGATGAGGAAAGGCCGGCCGTCGTCGTACCAGCGGCGGTCATCCTTGTAGAAGTACGAGCCTCCGTTGCGCACCGAGATGGCCAGGTCCGTGTAGTTGAAGTCACGTCCATAGAGCGTGAAGAAGCCCATCAGCAGCTGGCCCAGGTTGTTAAACTTGGGGTCATCATGCTCCGCGCCAAGCGCGCGCCCGTGGTGCTGCAGGAAGCTGACCACCATCATCTGCAGCAAGAAGGAGCCCACTCCGCCCGTGTACGTCTCGTTCAGGCCTCTCTGAGCCATAAAGTACTTCAACACCAGCGTTAGCGGGCGGAAGGATGGGTACACGCGCATGTAGTGCTTGACGAGGTCGCCCGTGGCCAGTCCGCCGGCCACGTTGAAGGACACGTCCACGTGGATGTCGCTGGCCTTGTGCACCATCTTGACGATGGGGATGCGGGCCTTGTCGATGACCTCGAGGTAGCTCACGAGCTCCTTCTCCTCCAGACACTGGGCCAGCTTGAACAGCGGCGCCTTGCCCTCCGGGACGCCAAACAGCACCATGTCAATGTCGCTCTGAGGCAGGAACATCTGCGTGTAGTGCGAGCCGAAGGTCTCCACGGTGGCCTCGGGCCACAGCCCCTTGACGATCTCCCTCATCTCCTCAATTAGCTCGGCCCGGCTGCTCAGCTCCTGCTCCGTGGGGCTGATGAAGCTCACGAAGTCCATGATCTCCTCGTGCAAGCACGCGTACACGTTGCTGTTGAAGTAGCCCTGCTTCTGCCTCATCCAGGGCCGCGTCTCGAGCGTCGGCGCCTCGTGCTGCTCTTTTTGAGGCTCTTTGTTCTTATTTGAGGACTTTTTGCCCTCGTCCTCGTCCAAATTGAACTCAATGAAGCCGTCTTCGTCCTCATCTTGGGGCTCGTCCAGCCCCTCCTGCTCCTGCTCCTGCTCCTGCTCCTCCCTGGCCAGCCGCTTCTTCTCCTGCTTGGCCAGCTTGGCCGCGTGCTTGGCCTTGCCCTTGGCCTTGATCTTGGCCTTGTTCTTCTTGCGCTCGGCCGCCAGCTTCTTGCCCTCGCCGTACACGTCGCGCGGGGCGCTCTTGGCCTTGCGCGCCGACGCCTTGGAGCGCGCCATTAGTTCGATAGTCTTTCGGTAGTCACTGACCAGCCAGCCACCAAGGTTACTATAAACCGTACCTGAATAATGGTACACAGTTGATCCGTACCGCAAACACCGGTAGAATTTATATGAAAAAAAAGTGCTAATGTATAAAAAAATAAAAAATTATATAAAAAATTTAACTTAATATTTTCAAAGGAATTAATTTATTTGTTGAAATATTACAGCAGATTTTGTTTTTTCGTGTGCGCCACACGCTTCAACTCGACGAAAAAGTAACGGTTCATGTTCAGCGCCACGTCGTTTGACCGAGAGCGGGTGAAACGAGGCGGTTGACTTGGTTATAGCATGCCGCTGCGGGGCTGAGGCGTCGCGCCCTCCGTCCCCAGCCATAGCCGGGCTCCAGCAAGAGCTTTGCTGTTGCCTTCACCTTCAGTACCAAAGATTTCCAGTCCAAGGCCCCACGTCAGCCATGTCGGACCAGGGCAGCTCGCCGCGCCCGAGCCGCAGCCGCAGTCGAAGCCGCAGCAACAGCCGCAACCGCTCGCCGTCTCCGCGCGCGCAGGACGAGCACAAGCCGCGCGAGCAGCAGCAGGAGCAGGAGCAGGAGGACAAGAAGGACGACGAGGCGCCGCGTCGCAGCCGCTCGCAGTCGCCAGCGCCCGCGGGCAAGGCGGCCGCGCCCGTGGACGTGGCCAACCCGGGCAACAACCTGTACGTGGCCAACCTGGCCACGCGCGTGGGCGAGCGCGACCTGCAGGAGCTCTTCTCCAAGTTCGGTCGCGTCGACAAGTGCGAGGTCATCGTGGACCCCGTTACGCGCGAGTCCAGGTCAGGGAGAGTTGATACTGGGGGGAGGAAGGTCATGCTAATATTGATGTTGTTATTACAGGGGCTTTGGCTTCGTGACGTTCGAGGACGTGCGCGACGCGGAGGACGCGGTGAAGGAGATGAACAAGTGCGTGGCGCTCGGCGTGCAGCCGGCTGTTGAAGATTGACGACTGACTGATTGATGTTTTTCTGCGCTGCAGCCAAGAGGTTCAGGGCCGGAAGATCCGAGTCGAGCACGCCAAGCGGAAGCGTGGACACGAGAAGACTCCTGGACAGTGTACGTTCGCTGTTGCCTTGACGGACGATGGACTGAATTAACAGATACGGTGTGGCCGTTGCTGCGCTGACAGACCTGGGACCGAGGCTTGCTAGCGCAAAGTACGGCGGCCGAGACCGCAGAGATCGCAGCGGAGACCGTGGACGCCGGAGTCGCAGCAGAGACCGCGGCGGTTACTCGCGTCGCTATGACGATAGAGACCGGGGGCGTTACGATGACCGGGACAGGGGACGCGGCCGCTATGATGATCGTCGTGGGGGCTACGACCGGGACTCGTACGACGACCGACGACGCCGTTAGTTGGGCGAACTCAGCTCGCCTGTATTCTGCATCGGCATGCACCGCACTGCATTTGGTACCTGTGGCTCTGGAATTGGCGTCTACTGCGCTACCGATGGACCCGACCGGCGCCAGCAGCCCAGCCACAACAATGCCGCCTTCTTTTTCAGGATGCCAGCCCAGCTTGTGTTTAACCCAACTAAATAAATCCGAGCTCGCCCACTTATCCGTCGGGACACAACACGTCGACCGCCGCAGACGTCAGCACCCCAACTCGGCTGCAGTCGCACATCACACAACCAGACCAACAAATCGACTCAGAACAGCTACACGCCGTGCTCTGCTGCGCTTTCATTAGATGTCGTGACTTCCAGCATTGATCGACGAGAACGCACTTGGCGCGCCAAACAGCCTACGACCAAGTCACCTCTCGGTAACCGTTCTATAGCTGGAGCTTGTACACCAGCATGTTCGACACCACCTCGGACGAGTCCGCGTCGCCACTCACGTCACTGTGGACGAACGAAGCATCCTGAATACACGACGCAAGGAGTCAGTTACCGAGCGACCTACGACGAGCGCTGAAGACGAGCTTCCTTACCTCGGCATAGTGAGCTGCTGCGAGGAGAGGCTTGATCTTGGCAGCGATCGTGGAGTATGTCACGACGTATGTCGGGAGCTTCATCGATGAAGGGTCACTGGCTTGATCGTCTGACGGAGACAAGTGGTAAAGTTTGGTCAAGAAGTGCCTCGGGTCGCGCTCGAGCTGCTGCGAGTCTGATCCTTCGGTCCGTTCACGGTTGCTACGGCAAGATGATGTTAGACACAATGGAATTAGCGTTGATACCCGACAGATTGGAGTGGTGACCGTTCAACACGTACACTGGTGAACAGTCCGGGAACCACATGGATACGTTTTGGTGCAGGTAGCTGTAGTACGGCGTCGCGTGACAAGGAGCCCAGAAGTGAATAGAGGTCTCCGGGTTCTCTGTAATACAGGACATGTTAAGGAAACAAATAGCCGCTGTCGAAGACGCTTAGTAGCCCACCTTGTATGCGATCCGCTAGGTAGTCCATTACTTCAACGGGAGCGCGCTACACGAACACGATAAAACGATGGATGTAAGCATTACGTGCCTGCCGTAAGAATCACCTGAATAACAATACACGGACCTGGTGGTTTCGAGACAAATAGTACGCACTGAGCACGTTTGGCACGATCACGGAGAACGCAGCGATACGAAGCAAGTTCCACTGCGTTCTTTCGTGAAATTGAACGTACAGCTTCCGCTCGAGGTTACGAAGGCAGTATCCAGCGTACACAAACGCAGGCGGGAGCAATGGGAGGACGAAGCGGAACTCTGCATTAATTGGTGGTCATGACATGGTGTTAGTGCCGATGTACTCTGGAGGGGATGAAGTTACGACTTACCTTTATGGGCAGCGTTGCTGTACACGAAAAGCGCCCACATGATGGTGTGGCCCAAATCCTTCTTCGGCGCCTACGATAAAGCATTCACACAGGGCATTAGAATATATTTCAGCCGGATGGAGGTATGTAACCAAACGCAGCTTACCGGCACAGTAAGATATCCGGCAATGACGATAGGCAGCGTCGTGCCAACAATGGCCGGGTACCCCTGTGAGAAATACCAGCTCCACGGGTGCTCGCCGTAGAGTTTGTCTTTACCCTGTACATGTACAGATACTCAAATTGGTCATGTAGCTAGTACAGTACGAAAAGGGGGGGGGGGGGCGCTAGCACGTACCTCAAGCACGTTAAACTTGAAGAAGTTGAGCGGCACGAACGTCCACTCTCCATATCCAAGGCGATCGATGCAGAGCATCGCCAGCGAAGTGACAAGAGCGATGGGCAGAACCACGCCAAAGATAAGATGAGCACGATCGCGGGTCTGGAAGAAGTGCACAATTCCAGGATACAGCCAAATGATGGCGTTTGTCGGTCGAAACAGCACCCCAAGCGCCGCAAAGGTGAGCGCCAATGTGCGGTTGCTGCGATTTACAGGAGCAGCATCGTCGTTTTTCTTCTTCTCCGCCACGTTCTCCTACCATGTCATCCACCACGCAAACGTCAGTAAAGTATCCCAACAGCACCACGAAACCTCATCCATACCAGGAACTTCCACGGCCAGTACGCCAACGCAGCCGTCGTGCACAGCGTCTCGACACAGTTGGAGAACGGCCGCACCATCACGTAGAACGTAAACCACGAGAACAGCTGACACAGCAGCGCCCACTTGGCCGCCTTGGCGTCGAAGTACGTCCGCGCCAACTTGTACAGGAAGTAGTCATTGGCAGCCGACAGAAGCCCCTACACCAAATAACGCACAAAGCATCATCAGCTCCCTCCCACTACAATCAAAATCCCCAGCACCTCTACTAGACCTGCAGCAGCCGCGGACCGTACGCCACCGCCCACCGCGAGTCCAAATTCTGCAGAAGCACCACAATTTACTATCTAAAACCCAATCTGAAGACCATATTCAGCGTTCAGCCCCACCAGCAGCGCCAGCAGCTTGTAGAGCCCCGCAAACAGCGCTGGATGAGCGAACCCACGGAGCTGCGCGTCATCCTGCCACTCCCACGTCCTATAAAATAACCATAAAGTTAGTATTGTATTGACTAAAGTGTATCAAAGGAGCTGCTTGTGCTGTGACGCACAGGTGGCCGTATCCGAAGACCATGCGGTGCGCCACCTCGGTGCTCTGCCAGTACTCGTCCGGGTTGAAGGACGTGCGCACGAAGAGCGCGCTCCAGAGGCGGAAGGCCGCCACCAGCGCCCAGAAGCCGCGCGTCGCCACCAGCCCCTCCAGCATCTCTCTCTCTCTTTGTTGCCTTGTTGACACGCACGCGAGGAGGTCAAATGATCCCATTGGTCAAAACTCTATGTTATTATAAAATGTAGCCATCTGGTCTCGCCAGTCGCACGTCAACTTCCTGTATCAACTAGGGCAACTTGGTGTTGAACACCTCGACCGTCTTCTTGAGCGCCTCGGCCAGCGGCTTGACCACGAAGTCGGGCGTCTCCTGCGTGCCGATCTCGAGGCGGGAGGCGGCCGTGGGCACGAAGAAGCGCGTGCCACGCGAGTGCCGCATGCCCTTGCCAGCGGCATGAGCCAGCGACGACTGCCACATCTCGAGCTCCTGCGTGGACGCGGCCACCAGCACCACCTCGCTCTGCACGCGCTCCACGACCTGTCCGCTGTCCAGCTGCAGCGTCACCAGCGGCTGCGAGCGCGTGGCGTTAGTGATACGCAGACAACGCGAGTCACCGGCGTCCGTCTCGAGTCGCACGTGGCCCAAGGGGATGATGCCGCGCAGCTGCTTGCGGCTCGAGAAGTAGTAGAGGCAGTTGCGGCTCAGCACGAACCACCGACGCACGGTCGAGAAGCCACCCTTCTTGAGCAGGTACCCGTTGAGACTCGTGTCCGAGGGCCAGAGCTCCTGCTCCTCGGCAGTCGCCGAGCCGAAACTGTGCCACATGACGTCCAAGAACACGTTCATGTCCCGCTCGTGGCCATCGATGGCCTTGAGCGACGGGCGCATCCGCGGACCCATCGGCAAGCTGTCGACGCCGACGCTGAGGTGGAGACATAGCTTCGCTGCGCTCTTCAGCCACTCCACGCGGTAGATGTAGCGCAACGGCGTCATCCACTCCACCACGGGCTTGGCGAACGATCCCACGTTGATGTACAGCACGCGCTGCTCCGTCACGATCAGCCAGTGTGACAGCTGCACCTTCACCTTCTTGATCGACTCGTCCGCTAAATCGTCCGGGCCAGCCAGCGACAACCGACGCAATCGTGCCCGACTCGTTGATCCGATCTCAACCACAGCCCCGCCATCAGAATCTCCAGACTTCGGTGCCGCCGACTCCTGCAGCAGCTCTTCCGCACTCTCGAATTGAACGGTGATTGGACGTGTTGTGCCTCGCAGGAGCGCTAATGTCTCGTGAAAGCCAATACCACGAACATCCACGCCGCCAACGCCAATAAGACAATCCCCCTCTTGCAGCACTTGCTGTCCTGGAGCGATCTGCCCACGAACCTTCACCTTCGACCGCGAGGTCTCGTCCATAGCCTTGATAGTGACGTTCTCACAGTAAAAGTCCGTCTCCAGATCCATCCCCAGCTTCTTCTGATAGAACACCACTTCGTAACGCAACTTGCGGCCACCAGTTTCACCTGCACTGGCATTCGGAGGTTCGCCAGCAGCGCGGCGACGCTCGTCGTTCTCCTGCAGCGCTCGCCGCAGCGAGTTGGTGCGTTCGCGGGTAGAGTCGCTATTGCTCTTGGGTTTCCCATTCCCGATACTACCACTGCGACGACGATCCCGAGCTTCGCGCGTGAGATCTGCAGCGCTCACCGACTGCATGATCTCGTTGTAAAAGATGATCTTCTCTCCAGACAACCGGTCGCCTCCAACCCTCTTTAGCAATTCATAAGCAATAGTGTCAGCTTCCTTGTAGCATTTGAGTTCATTGTAGCGCCCAAACACGCGCGGCCGTCGAACACGTCGCATATTCTGTCCATTTTGCAGTGACCTGTTCCGCACGCCTTGCGTAGCGCGCGATGCAAAGTCGAAGATGCCTGCGACAGGCTTCACCGGTAGGCCGATGATACCCGTAATGGTACCTCTCACAAAACCCACTGCTCCGCTCTCCTGCGCACCCCGCATAGGGTTCAACACCAGGCCTGCAACGCCTTCATAAACACCAAGGCTCAATTCGCGCGAGCCTTGCACCAGTCCTTCGCGCAAACCACGGACGTGGCGACGACGAGCCCGAGCGCGGTGCTGCTGATAGTGATCATCCAGGCTCAGATTTGCGAAACCTTGTCCAAACGTGCCGGAGATCTTGCTTGCCGCGTCGAACGTGCCATCCACCGTGTTTGACATCAGACTCGCTGTGCCCTTGGCCAGACCCTTGCTAAAGCCCTTACCACCGATCTTCAATCCTTCGAGAGGCTCATACACGAAATCGCGTACTCCTGTACCAATGTGATCCAAGAATCCCACGGGATTTCCCAGGAAATCGAACGATCCTAGAATCTTGTGTAGTTGCTTCCACAGCTGACGAGTGTAATACTTCGACACTCGACGTGTCAAATCTCCACTCGTACCGAAAGCGTGCTCGATCATCAGAGCATTCAGGCGCACGGGTGCATTATCCAGATCGGGCACATGCATCGTCAGGCTGGGGATCGCCCAGGTCATTGCAGATGTTGAGTCATCGCTGCTCGCTTCTCCGAACGTGGACGGAGCTGAGCTTGATCGCTTCAATTCATCTGCATGGCCACTGGCCATTTTCTTCTTAAAGCTGGCCGCTTCATGGAGACTAATCGTCGTGCTCGTCTGGAATACATCGCTGCGGAACGTAATGTCGAAGTCCATCGGGTGAATGTGGAGCAAAGCGAAGTACACTTTTCGTGTCTCGGAGGACGAGGTCTCAGTGTACGACTCCAAACTCTTCAGCGGATTCAGTTCATCACTGAGAGTGTTTTCCCTGTACTCGCCTAGAGACTCCGTCATTGTCTCAATCGGGATACTCTTCATTCGAATCTCACCCCCACGGTTTTGAGAGCGGTTCTCTCCCCACGACTGCGACATCTGTAAACATCAACAAAGCAAACGTCAGAAACTTTTGTATACCCCACCCATTTTCGTTACATTCGACATACCGCCGCCATGAATGCTCGAGCTGACACCAACAGCTCTTCGTCCAGCTGCGTGATGACTGGATACAACCAGAAAGAGCAGTGCTTGAAGTAGTCAGTATTGCCTTGTTCGTTGGACCACGTGCAGCAGAAATGCATTGTAGCCACATTCGCCTGGCGATATTTGCAATCCGCGCAACTGAAGATGTTCTGGTTTGCATTTAACCCAGTGATTTCCTGCAGTTCGTCATCGCCGGTCGCTCCTCTCCCTTGGTTAACCATTTCGGCCAGATCTTCGTCGATGTCGCCGACAGTTCTTTTCCGTGTGGGAGTTGCTGCAGCCGCTGAACCGCTTTCCATTCGAGGACACAGTAACTTTGTGAACGTTGCTTCTTCACTCTGATTGTCAATCTGCAGGTCATCCAGCGTGATGTTCATGCGCATGTTGGAGTTCACACGCGAATAGTGGAGACTGATCCCACCCATGTAGATGTACACAAGCTCCATGGGGAGCTCATTCACACACGATATACCGATTCCGTCCAAACGAAGGTGTAGCGCCATACCGGACGTGAGAGAATCGAAAGCATTAGTGGAAGTCTCACTGGCTGTTGGAGAGTCCGACGATGCCGACGCCGTGCTCGACAACTCGTACTTGTTTTCCTTCTCATCAAAATCTTCCTCGCCACCCTCAAACAATTCCAGCACCTTGGTAGGGCCATCAGCGCGAATGCGGACATGCACATATGTCTTGGCATTTTGAACCTGAGGGAGAAGGTCTCGCTGGGAGCGCGCCGTCTTGGGAGCCAAAAGAGCCCCAGCCCCCATCGGTGTCTCCTCTGGGAGATCATCGGCACCGTCGGCTTGGATGCCCTGCGTAGCAAGTCGCAATCGCCTCACCCAAATCCTTGCGATTTTAGGATTTTTCGCCTTCAAATCGTAGCACTTCGTTGGCGTGATAATCGAAAACTGGTTCGATCCAGCGACGATTGGTTTTGCTTTCCCAGGAGTTGACGCCGAGATACTGTCCCGAGGCGTAGTCATGGTAGAACTATCCTCGGAGTCCACGTCGGAATCGTCCGCAAGATTGATCGAATCAACACTGTACCACACAATCTTGGAGCATTGGAAGCTTCTCAGCGGCGCTTGTTTGCGTCCACTGGTTTCAGTCGACAGCTGAATAGGCTTCAGTACGCCAAGATCCATCATCTCCTGCGCAGTAGTGAATGCTTGCGCCTTCGTCTGAGTACTCATTTCCGTCACTAAGAAATCCACGAGATCTTGTCCATTGACGTAGAAGCCCTTCCGCGTAATACCGCTTTGCACCGCTGTCTCGTTCTCCACGTGTGCGTTAACAAACTTCTCGGATTCCTCACACAACACACTTGATGTAGTCAAAGACACTGCGAGACGCACGAGTTCTCGCGACCTGTCATCACCATCATCATCATCGTCATCGCCGTCTTTTTGTCGTGAGCCACCACCGAAGAGACTTCCCGAGATTGACGACACAAGGCCGTTCAAAGAGATGAACCCACTCTTCGATGGGGCTTCTGCTGCCTTCTCAAAGATGGCAACACCTCCAACACCAGGCACATCAGAGCCAGCGCGCAAGTCCACTACACCAAGCAACTCCTGATCCGTTTCGTTCGCGAAGTAGTACAGCATATGCTCGTACAAACGGAAGTACTTCCGATTCCACTTGAGCATGCTGTCCTTCTTCAGCAAGTATCCCTTCTGCTCCGGTTTGAGGAAAAGTTCCGACGGCAGTGAGCGATGAAGCTGAATCCGCTTATGCGTCGTCATTTCATCCAGATTGTACTCACGGATCTCTACAGCATCCTTATCGGAGTCTTCACCAGTCTTTGATGTCGACGATGTCACCCGCATAAATCGCACTTGAAGCGAACGAGACGAAGAGCTTGAGCCACCCGGGAAGGCGGGGTCTTGATTCGATGAAGACGATGATTTACCATCAGATCCGTTCAAATAATCCCACGAGTATGCGCACGAAGACCGTGGAAGCAGCTGGTCAAAGTCCTTGTCCTCGCCCCAGTTTGTCTGCTTGAAGCGAATCCGAAACGATGTCATGTTGTCAATTCTGTATGGAGGGAAACGCTTCGACTCTTCCCGGAAAATCAACGCAACAGACCCACCCACTAGCTCGATCTGGCATTGCAAAATGTAGATGCGAGAGGAGTCAGTTCGGTCTCGCAATTTCAGGTACGTCGTTCCGAGCGAGTTGATTCGAAAGCTTCCACTCCAGCTGTACTTGTGAAGCAAGGTAACTTCCAGAAGTTTCTCTCTTGATGCGCTTGGCCAATGGAACGGCACAAGTTCGTTGGCAGCCAGTCGGAAGGTCTGCGGTGCATCACACTGCCGATACTTGATCGTTTCTTCCGTCTTGTTGATCAAAATGTAGCGAGGGACAACTGTTGCCATGATTGTCTCCGAAAATCGTCCGCTACCATAGCAACACCACAAACCAATTTCTTGGCTTCCTTTCCGAAGATCACTGTCTTCGTCCTGATCAAAGATTTCATTGGTGAGGCTGATGACTTGAGCGACTCCTGAATTCCCCATCGCGTTGCGGTTGAGACGAATAACGTCGGACCATGGTGATGAACGCGACTTGATCCGAAGAACGTCCCAGTGTTTACCACCTGAACTGTACGGTAGCACGTCTCCCCAGGGCATCGGGCGAATTTGAGCAGGGTTCGAGCGCTTGGAGCTCGTCACCAACGACCGCGGTGTGACGTGGTGAGCACTCGCTGTGCTCGCTTCGTCGTACAAACGAATCGTTGTCATCGTTATCCTATGGCACAAGTGGAGCCCATGACGACGGCCCTTGTTCTCCACCGTTTCGTTCATCGGGATAGGTTGACCGTACCACCGCTCACCCTCTGGACGTCCAGCACTTCTAAGGGAGACGAAACGAGGTAGCGCCAGCTCGAAGAAATCGAAGTCTTCGATGTCCAACACACCCACAAAACCGCACTTCATGCAGACCAGGTCAAAAACCTCTGACATGAGCGAGTCTGAGTATACTTCGACCACGACACAGGCGAAGCGGTTGTGAGGAAGGTACACTTGCACACCATGTGGCTTCCCCTTATGTGCTGGCTTCGTCGGAGACCCGTTCGCTAGCGTAGCACCCATTGCTCTCGTAGATGTTGGGTCATATGACAGCAATTCTTGGCCACGCGTGGACTCGACCTCACCAGAAAGTGCGTACGCTTGACGCGCGCGCATGGAGGCAGGGACTCCAATCAGTCCCATGTCATTATTTGATGGTGTCTGAAGTCGATGCATCGATCTTGCAGCGCTGGCAGATGGAAGAGGTCCAGGTGTATGTTGCCCTGTCAGCACGGTAGAAGCCTCCATGTCGTCGAGCTCAAAGTCGTCGCTCTCTTGCCTCGCCAGAAATGTAGGCATTTCCTCCTCGTCGTGAAACGAAGGTGAATTTTGATCCTCGGCAACCTCCTCAACAATCTCTGCTGCATCCATATCCGACGGCAGTTTTTGAGATGTGCCAACAGAGAAAGATATGCTGATGTCTCCTCGGTGTGTGCTCGCAAGGTTGTTCTTGGATGCCTTCCGTTCACGCGACGACTTCCGTTTGAGCAGCTTGTACCAATTGAAAGCTGCAGCGCGCTTGCGGTCCTTCAAGACGCTATCCACTTTTACCGCTGTGACTCCGAGGCAAGTATCGAGTCCATAGCGAATATTCCGCACCTCGATGATAACGCGAGCCAAATCCAAAGTCCTCACTTCAGGCGGGAAACGAAGCAGCAGAGTGTTTTGAAGACGGCCATCCCACTTCGGAGTCAGTCCACCAGACGGGCTTGGCTTTGTCGTAGCAGAGCAAATAGCAACCATTTCAGGCTTCTCCAGGTATCTGTCTTTCGGGTTCTTCAGCACGTACAAGGACGCTCGAACGTATGGACTCTGGGCTCCAAAGTACTGGGCATTGTAAAGTTCTCTTGCTTCCCGAATGACGACGATCAGAGCAACTGGGTTGGCAGAAGGCTTCACCTTTTGAAGACGAGTCAGCGAAGCCTCTCTACCGCTCTCATCGTGAAACGAAAGTGAGCGAGAAGAGAAGATCTCACTCTGCTCTTCAGCTGAGGATGGGTGTCGGTGCACGTACCTGAGTACGCTTTCAAGCCTCTTGGATGATGAGCTTGTTGAGTTGCAATACTCCAGGTCCAGATCCGTATGATTGACGATCCAGATCGAACAGAATACAACGACGTCTCGTCCTGATAGCTTCACCTGCAGTTGAAGATTCGGCACGCTGCCTTGTTCGCCAGCAATGTCACGGTCGAAAGCGCGACCAAGTAGTTGCACCGGTTCAATGTTCTCTTTGTAAGGCACCGTGTACGCTGACATCTTTGGGTTGATGATGAGCTTCGGAGCACTCCAGCTGTAATTCTCCAACCGGAAGGTTACATACAGCAGCTCCGACGTATCGACTTGAAATAGCGGTAGCACGTTTCCTACGGCCAAAATGCCTTCCGCAATCAGCTGAAGAGATCCATTGAGCAGACGATACGCCATTGCCGTCGCCAAGCGATTGTGAAGCGTAAGGAATGGAGAAACGGAGAGATAGTAAAGGCTCGAGTTGGTCGCTTCATACAATCCTCGCCGCTGACTCGCAGCTCTCGCCTCGTCCAGCTCATAGTTCACATCGCGCAGTGGGTTCATGCGTTGCCGCTGAGTTGGCTCGCCGAATACATTAAGGAAGTCGTCCTCCACTTTCTCCCCTTCTTCATCTTCCTCGATTTGAGCTAAATCGGCCTTTGCTTCCTCCACCAGCGGAGACTCCTCCGTACTTGAAAACGTTGCACGCATTAAATAGTACGCCTCCACCTCATACGTGCATTTCCAAGTAGGTAAATCGCGAACAACGTAACCCGACAGCGGTATCGCCGACGACATTGATGACGATGAGACCATCTCCAACGACTTTGCGGCACTCTGTAGCTCCTCCATCGTGGCAAATGTCTCGAAGTTGCAGATACAGTTACCAGCTCGCACAAAGCGTTTCGTATTAACCGATTTCGCCGCGCGTACTTCGTCACCGAGTTCTTCCAGGCTGGTAGTCAGTGGCGCGTACTGCACGTAAGGAGAAGGCCTGATACTGATCTTGCTTTGAGGATGCACAAGTTGAAGCGGAATATGGCAGACCTGCTCACGATCAATAATCCACTCTTGAATGCAGCCACCATCACGAGGAGAAAACGCCCAAACCATCAGCGGAACAGACGTTCGGTTTTGCAGCACCACCTGAGAATGCAGGCTAATTAACTTGCTTCCGTCAGCTTGGATACTGATCTCTGCCACCAATGTCGGCGGGGTGATATCCTCCTCGCCAGCATTTTCAAAGTCATCCGTGTCTGCATTAGCTGGAACCGTCAACGATTCCCGAAGAGGGACAGCCACATGCCCAACCATATCCACAACAACAGGGTTTGCGCTCACCCATTTGCTGTCGTTTAACCAAACCGAAAGCGTGTGATTTACGGTGAGAGCTTGCCGATCAGTTTCTCGCAAGAAGCGGTCAGCTGAGGCGCTGTCAAAAGTCAGCATATCCCCCTGCTCTCGACAATCAACGGACACCTTCCCATTGTCTGCTACAACTTGCTGAATAACAGTCCCGGTGCCGCGGCGAAAGCTAAACTTCAGATCGAGACCAGTTTTGTTCTCAACCCAGAAAGGTGCTGTGGATTTGGATCCCGAGGTGACGAAGTCTGCTTGCCGCAGCGCATCTGAGGACAGCAAAGGGGCCATGGCGGGCGTCATGTTGAAATTGACAGTGTTCGGCAGGTTCGCAAAGACTTCCACGAGACTGTTCTCCTCCAAGGCACGGTGAATCCGCATCTGGACGACAAAAGGCTCCACCAGCGGCTCCCATCGGTAAATGCTGTTGTTGAAATAGTTGAACAGCAGCGTCGCGCCCATAGTCGTCGAGTAGTCTTCGTCCTTTATGTACTCGCATACAATCTCACGCATGTGAAAATCAGCAATTGGAATACCCAAGCTGTTGTTCACGAGAACTAAACGTAGTTCGCCGACATCGCCAAGAAGTTTGTCAGCCACGTAAGTCGGCGTGGGCGTAGCAGAGCTAGGAGCTCCGTTTGACCCATTTTCACTTTTTGCTGGAACCGCGGGTGTTGCTGTCGGGATCCATCGCAGATAGTTGTTCGCAATGTCAATAAATAAATTTGCATCCTGAACAGAAAATCGGGTTTCAACAGGGGCAAGCACGAACGAATTGCGACGCGACAGCGAAGTTGACCCTTCGACAAAATGATCAAACACCAGAAGGAACGAGTTTGACAGCGGAAACGAGGCATCAATCTGCGGGCAACAAACGTTAAGCTGCAATTCGAGCGATGAAATCTACCTCAGCAATAAATAAAAAGGCGTACCTGAAGGTCTGGGAGCTGCGAAAAGTAAACACCGTGCTGATCGAACTCCAAGTGACACTTACTCATATCCGCCGTACCTTCACATTCCTGATGTGTGGAGTACGCAGCCACAATATCAGTCAGCATGACTAGCGCTCGGGCATCAGTCGTTTCAAAGTCCTCCAGTAAAGAGAACAAACACCCAGTTGTAGTCACGAAGAAGTCCACCTTCTGCCAGTCTGGTGGAGGTGGCGACATATACCCAACACCAAAGTCCAAGAACTCACCCTCCGCGAAAATTGGCTCCACAAAGAAGGCAACCACATCATGGAAAGCCGGATATACTCCGAGCAAGTTGGTGTTTCTCACTTTCAGGTCGTAAACAGTATCGGTCCAGTTCATCTTTTGATTGTACTCGAATTGAAGACCGTCTCCAGGTAGCGGGCGTACAATTTCAGAGGCCGTCTGACACCGCGTCGGCCGGATATCGACCGTTGTAAAAGAGAGCGCGGACGCGTTAATTTCCAGCGAATCATCTGTCCGCAAAGTAAATATCAACTCGAGCTGCTCCCAAAACATGTCCGCCACGGGATGGTCTTTGTTCGAAATGCGAAGTGCAGCATCAGCAACCTTCACTGGGATCTTCATCCATATAGCCTTGCAGTACTCGTTGTCATAATGGAGGCCTCCGCATTTAGGGCACAAAGGATACGTGTCTTCCGAGACGACGCACGAGACTTCCCGGAAGTTCTCATAGATCATCCCCAGAAAAGTCGTATACTGCTCTGGTCCAGTTCCTACGCTCAGCTCATTTAGCGACAAACTGACTCCAAAGAACGAGCTCAACTTTGCCTCCGACAAGCTCTCAGGCTCCGAGTCAATGCGTCCAGTAAGCAACGAATGATGGAACAGTGGCGATGCTGAGTCGCGTGTAGTGCCACTTAGATCAACCAGCTCAAACTCAAAAAGACCCACCGACGATGTCGACATGTCTGCATCTCCGTGCTCCCGAACCATCATGTTGGAATCCGACGCAACACGAGCATCATGAAATTCAGCATCCTCAGCCACGAACAGTGGCGCCATTAAGTGTTGAGACATACCAGCAACTTCGTGACTGATTAACTCCATCGAGTCTGATCGTCCTCGCGAGCCATTGGTCGGTGTTCCTGCCAAGAAATGTAGACTATCACGCCCTCCGCTGTTCAGAGCTTCTCCTTCAGCTTTTGCTTCATCAAGTGCGCCATCAACTTTGAGAAGGTACTGTGCCAGCTGCTCTAACTGCTGATCCAAGTGGACGATCTTGTTGTGGATAATCTTCACCGCATCTTCTGCTGCCGGCAATGCTTGGAAGCCCTCGTGCAGGTAGTTTTGTGCCTGCTGCGTGGCGCTCCGAAGATCAATAAATAGTTGGCTGCGATTGCTCAAGATTCGTGAGCGCTGGTTCTTGATTTGACGCCTCAAATTGCGTAACTCCGTCCGCCGTGAAAGCTGCGCTTTCGCTGCACCCGCCAAAACTGAGCCATGGGATAATCGTGCTTCGTCGACAAAGGTGCCGTTCTGCAAGAAATCGGACGTAGAGGGATCGATTCCACTGCTCCAAAAGCGGGCGTTTGTCGAGCGAAGAATGATGCTATCTCTCGATAATGAGCTGCGCGGCAACGCAAATGCTAAATCATTTCCGACAACTTCAAAACGAACGTCTCCCAGCTGAGTTTTAGCTATCCCCATTGCCCCGGCGCGCTCGTTTACCTCGGTCACCACAGCATTGAAATACATCCGCAGCAGCTCATCTACTGACACGGGGAGGGCTGCAGTATTAGCCACGAAATTTTTAAATACCGCAGATGCCATTTCACCGCTCAGATTCTCTTCAAACGGATTGACTAGAATTTTGGAAACGTGGTCAAGCATATAGTGGTGGAACTGCTTGAACACTCGGTGGAGGTACACGACACAAACTGAATCCAATCGCACACGAACCAGAATACCTCCTCCAGCACCATTTGTGTCAGCAGAGCTACCGCTCTCAGTAGAGTTGATCACAAAGTCGACAACATTTTTCACACCGAAAGACACGACGTCAGCAACCCCATCAAGCATATCGGAGGGTGAGCCAATCGATTGTCGATTCGGCACTGCTGCACCTGCTGGTAGCGGTCCACTTGGAGAAGTTAAATCAGTCAACTGCAAATTCCGAATACTGCCCTTGAGCTCAAACCCGCTATCGAAACCAGCAGCTCCAGATCCACAAGCTTGCAGTGACATGCTAGAAACCTCCAAGCGAAAAATAGTCACGATAGACGCCAAACTTTCGGTGGAGGGGTCTGCAGTTTGATCCCGATGCCTGATGCCAAGCTGTAAACCATGCGCGACGGACACACTAACGATGATCTCGTCATCGAAGCAGGAGGAATCCTCCAGTAATGTCGACGAAGATTGGGATCCCAACTTCGACAAGTTGCGTCTGAAATCGTCGAACTCGTATCCTGAGCTGGTTGACAAAATAAATCCCAGCAAATACCTATCATGACATCCGCCTGCCCACGCCAATACTGTCTCTACATTCGGAAGGAATATTTCTCCACAAATGTGCTCAAGAGAGACAACGGCACGAATGACTTGTCGATCAAACTGGAACACTGAAGGCTCGCTATTCCCTGGTGCTGTGTGGGCATCGCAAGAGTAAAACCGGCTCGTTTGATACGTCGCGCTGAGAGCAGGCGTCCGCAGGCCTGCGCTTCCCGCAATTCGTGCAATAACACTTTCGCCTTCTTGGAGCAAAACTGACGCTACGGTAATCTTCTGAGAAAAAATCGTCGTGCAAACGCGTGAAGACCACTGAACGTCCGTCACGAATAGCATGAACTTGGAAGATTGTCCAGGTCGATCGTCAGCAACGCATAGTTGCAATTCTGGGATCTGAATGGAAACTCTTTGTTGACAAACCACATTCACACTTGCACTTCCTTTCGCTGGATGAAGGTCACGCGGTGGCCCATTTACTGATTTTTCCGGGAGAAAGAAGCTCCACTTGCCGATCACCCAGCATAGAGCTTCGAGCTCCACCACGTTCCAATCAATACGAATTGTGGATAGCTGCGCTTCATAGTTGTACATTGCCGTCTCCTTTTCCGGATCTAGTTCATGCTGTTCGTAAGAAAGTGCCCCATGGCTTCCCAAACTGCAGTGCTTGCAGGAATAACAATCCATGGACCACTCCGTTCTCGAGTGACTTGTTTTCGTGAGCGAGAGCTGGTTTACAGCAACAATTTCGTGGACGCCTTGCACGTCGCTCATGCTCATTTGAGCTTGCAACAATGCGAGGCTCTCGTTTACAGAGAACAGTCGCACGCTTGTTCGAAAGTCACTCCTCACATGCTCGCGATCAGGATCTGACGTTTTGACTGTTAGGTCCTTTAGCTCAGCACCGAAGCAAAATTGATCGTGAAGTGCGAACACGAAGCAGATTTTCTCCATCTTGATCCCTAGGTGCGCGATCGGTGCAATTTGCGCTTCGCTATAGGAAACTAATTTGCTCGGGTGCGACAAATTCCATTGATTCCACCATAGATATACGGGCGCAAAGAGAGTCATCCACATAACCAAGGTCTCGTCCTTGATGAACATCATGATGCTACCGAATTGGACGTCAAGCGCCGGTTGGTGCCCAACGATACGGCTCTGGTAGGCAGGGACGACACAAGATGCTTGAATGATCGGAGTTCCCGAGCTGGAGTCTTCAGTAGGGTGATCAATAATGCTGTAGCTTTCGCTGCGTGCCGAAACCTCGTACATGCGAAGTGACTGGATGCTGAGCTGAATCTCGTCTTCCACGCACGATTGCTTCACATCTCCAACCGTCTTCCCAAGAATCCATACCCACTGTGTCCCCTTTAGCATTTCTTCTTCGGTCGCAACAGCCTCTCTGGCAGAAAAGAAGATCCCCGCTCCATGCCGCAATTCTGTGCGGACAGAAAGACTTGGTGGGGTGATGGCATCTTCGAACTCATCGTCGTCGTCATCATCACTTTCTGCTGCTAGCGTAAAAGTATCGCCCACCACCGCATCGAGACAATCCGTCAACAACCATTGCTTTGCATACGAGAGCACCATCAAAAATCCATCCGGCCGAGATGTCTGCTGCTGTGTCAACACCGCCAGGCGATCGTACTCGTCGTACGGCGCATTTACCTCAATTAGAATGGCGTACAGAACGTCGATATGCTCAGGCCCGAAGTGCACTCTCGGCCGGTTGGTTGGCAGCACAAATTTTTCGTTGCTGCTGCAATTGTGTGCAGCGCAAATTTCGCATTGCTCAGTAACACTTCCAGGCTCGCAGCCAATATCCACATCCAGCTCGACATCCGGGAACGCTGCATTGACACTGTGGTAAAACAAACTTGCCTAGTACGACAGCGAAAAGGAAAAGTATTGTAAACACCAGCACAAAACGGAGGCACGCAACAACTAGTTGTCGTACCTTGACTGTGCTTCGCCACTCATGGAATAAATACTTTCGGTGCATCTTGGGCGAGGCCAGCTCGTCATCCGGCCCTACGTCATTCTGTTTTTCCGGGTACTCAACGTAAGCTGCAACACCTTCCGTTTTCAGCAGCTACAGACACCGAACACAATCAGTCAGCAACGCACTACACCCATCATCCGCAGCAACCAACCACCAACCTTCCTCGACTCCATCGCTGAGCTCGACTGCGGCGTGAATTCGAGCTCCCAGTCTGCATTCGTGTTGATCAAGCTGACGTGTCCAATCTCCAACGTCCCACTGCCCGGTTGCTACAACAACAACAATAACAACAACAACAACAACAACAAAACTCTCCGTCAGCCTCCCAACGGCCTTATTATCCTCAAACATTTTGTCTCCTCACCGGCGCCAGCGAGCTCGGGTCGCAGTCGTAGCGAATCTGCACGTCCGACAGCTCGATCTGCACGTTGGCGATGATGTGCGACACCAGCCGCGACAGATACGTCCGATCTACCAGCCAGCCACACAGCGTCAGCGATATTATAACCCAATTGACAGATAACCATACAAAATAGCCAGCCTACCGTCTCCGTTGCTGCCGTCGATGCTCGTGTCCACGGCCTCGCTTAGCTCCTGCGCGCTGGGCGCCGTCTGCGCGTGCTCCTCCGACGGCGTGCGGTGCAGCGAGACGCGGATGCCCTGCGCCTTGATCTGCACGGGCTGCGTCCAGAGCGCGCGCCACGGGATCTTGACGCTCAGGTGGCCGATGGCGCCCTCGCCGTACGACAGGCGCAGCTGCAGGTCCTGGAACGACAGGTCGCCCTGCCACAGACTCAGCTTGAGCATGCTCGAGTCGAAGGTCACGAACTTGCCCAGCAGCCGCTGCAGCAGCAGCGCCACCGCGTGCTGCAGCATCCTCACAGCTCAGTCGCGCGTGTGTATACACTCGCTCGCTCGTCCGCTAGTAGATAGCCTCTAGCCTCTGTCTGGCCTGGAGTGCGCACTCTCCTTCCCTTGCTGACGCTCTTTGCTTTTTGCGTGGCTACACAGTGGGGTGCACCACACCGAATGTATCCGTTTAGACGGGGGTTAAACAGGCGACTGCCACATGGCCGAGAGGTCGAGATACTTTTAGCGGAGGTTATCCAGCTCTCGACATGATGGCGGGCAGCATCGAGGCCTGGTACTACGGGCTGCCGTACGTGACGCGCTTCTACCTGTCGGTGTGCTTCGGCTCGACGCTGCTGAGCACGCTGGGCTTCCTCAACCCGCAGTCGCTGTACCTGGACTTCGACCTCGTGTGGCAGCGCTTCCAGCTCTGGCGCCTCACCACGTGCTTCATGTTCCTCGGGAGCTTCAGCTTCCCCTTCCTCATGCAGCTCATGATCCTGTACGGATACAGATGCAGTGCATACATTAGTGATATTTCCTGGGGGAGTTTGACTGATCTGTGGGGGCTGCTGGATGCAGGACCAACTACTCGTCCCGACTCGAGGAGGACCCGTTCCCGGGCGGCGGCGGCCCCACGGCCGACTACGCGTTCATGCTGTTCTTCGGAGCCTCGGTGCTGTGGGTGCGTGAAGTATTGTGCTGTTGATTTAATCGCCGTGTGGGTGCTAACGTAGCTGCTCGGCTGTGTGATGCAGGTGGTCGCATTTTTCATGGGCATCCCGTTCCTGGGCACGTCGCTCATCTTCATGATCGTCTACGTCTGGAGTCGTCGCAACCCGACGGCGCCCGTTGCCATTTGGGGTGCGTTGGCATCAGCTGCAGCAGTTGATTCAAATGTGGCGTGTGCTGTATTGATATCATGCTAACTTGTGCGCACTTTTATTGGTAGGCTTCCGCTTCGAGGGCCTATACCTGCCGTGGGCGCTGATCGCCTTCACGGTGCTCGTGGGCGGCAACCCGATCATGGACATCTTCGGCGTCATTGCTGGTCACCTCTACTACTTCTTGCTGGAGGTGCTCCCCGCTACAAAGGGCTGGAATCTGCTGCAGACCCCTGCCGTGTTGTACGTTGCGCCACAGCACTTGGCTTTTTTGTACATGTATCGCGCTTCATCGCTGATTTTGAACGAATGTCCCTCTCTGTGTGTTTGCGCAGTGCCAACCTGTTCCCGTCCCCGCAAGTGGCTGTAGGTGGTGTCCCGATCATCGGAGCGCGCGGAGCCGCTGGTCGCGGTGCGGTTCCCCAAGGCGGCGGCTACGCCTGGGGCACCGGACGGCCGCTGGGCACGGAGTAAGGAGACGAGAACAGGAGGGAAGTTAAGACCGCGACTCTACATGTAGTCGTAGAAGGACATACCATGCAATCTATTGAGGCAAAGGAACTTGCTTGCTGCTTGCATGCTCGATGACGAAGGTGGCCCGTAGAGAAACCGCACTGTAGTTTACGTTTATGCATGGCGGAAGATTACGCGGTACTTTGGGTCGTGCCAAAATAGGGTGGCTCCCCCGAGTCAAAATGGGTCACTTCGAATTGCATAACCGGGGCATGTTAGCATGAGGCAAGCGAAGCAGCAATGGTCGCACGAAGGCAGCGACTGGCATCCGGTAACAGGCTTCAAATTGGCTCTCTGTCAGCAGCATGTTGAGCTCCCGGTCCCACTTGAGCTTCGCTCGAACTGTCAGCGGTGCTCGGGGCCGTGGCAGCAGCGCGAGCAAGCAAGCCCTCCGCAATGACGTCTTCAGTCAAGCCTCTTCTGATTGTGCAATACTGAACACTGGCTGTATCGTCTTTAGCACTCGGACGGCTAGGCAGCGCCGTCCCACATGATCCCATCCCGCTCTCGCGGGGAGGTACAAACAAGACTGGGCCTTAGTGTAGATTTTTTCGCCAGTTTTCCTCAAGTTTAAGTGCCTCGGAGATTTCTGCAGCCAAACACTTGGGTAACCCAAGTTGGGTTAGTCGGTTCGTGAGAACCATCAATTGACTGCGGCTGGAAAACGCCTGAGATTGTACCTTACCTGTATTCGCAGGAGCGGAGTTTGCCGCTTGGCGCAAGTTCTCGTCATTCAGATGAGCACGCCGGGCGATAAACTCTGAGTTAATATTTTTAAGCCCGCGACCGCAATCTGTTTGTCGCTTGCCGAGGGCGAGGCTACCAACCCGCATTGCGTAAATAACTTCTTATAAGCGCTGGTCTCTCGTCAACTCGTTAATACCGGTGGTATCATCATCTCAAATACGCCTTACCAAAGGAGTTGTTGCGTTCTGGTCGAGCTTTCAAGTTTTAAAAAAGTCGTATGCAGCATGCTACAAGCGGCTCGTTGAGGTCCACAGGACCAAAAGTCTGCCACAGTTTGCTGGTCGAAAACGCGTTTTGGGACCCTTCAGTTTAAAATGGGCATTATGCCCCGTCAATGCACGGAATCGGAATACCTGTACCACTGTTTATGAAATTGCTCCCTACGGTATTCTATTGGTTTAAACCCTTTCGGTACCACTGTGTATTTTCCACCAATCCTTATTGGGTGCAGCTCCCGTTTCCACCAATGACGTCGCAGTGTGGACCACGTCACCGCTGGTTTCGGCCAATGGCCGCGTGATTACGTCGACTGCTGGGTACGCGGCACGGCCAAGTGACCAACCATGCCGGCCACTACCGAAGTGGTAGCCCCGCGCGTTCCCTTGCTCACCCCCGGCCTGGCCGCGCCTTCCACCACCGGCAGTACGTAGCGGACGTGCATGGCGGCGGACCAGCACCAGCGCAGGCTCGCGGGGATCGACGGCTTGGTCGCTATGAACGGCGCCGCAGACGACTCGCCGTACCCCTACTCGGGGCAGCGCGATCAGTTCCAGTTCCAGCAACAATTCCAGACGCAGCAGCAGCCCATGCACCAGATGCAGATGCATCAGACACAGTCACGCGCCATGGACAGTATCGGACCGGCAGCGTCCACGCTCATGCAGGTGCACAGCGGCGACACCAGCGCCGGGATGCACATGACGAGCGCCCCCATGCAGCAGCACGCAATGCGCACGCGGAGCTCCGACGCAGCGACGATCGGGAGCTTCATTGACCCGCCGCCACTGCGTCAGCAAAGCGGCGCGAAGCGAGTCGGGACGCTGATTACTGGCGGCGATGAGCTGGGCATGCCGCAGCTCTACAAGACCAGCAAGATGCGGCGGCCGGAGCTGTGGCAGTTCATCCGGCTTGTGGTGCCCGACCCACCGCACATTGCGGCTGGACGCACGTACACGAACCAAGACGCGAAAGAAGCGTACTGCCTGAAATGCAAACGCATCATGCACTACAACACTGGAAGCAGCAACAACGTCAGTCGGCACATGGCCAAGTTCCATGCCGCAGACTTGGCGAGTTATGCACAGGAGGTGGCGAACAAGAAGATGAAGCACAAGAAGCAGCAAGGCCAGGGAGCATACGTGCAGACAAGTGGAGAGCGCGCAGGTGGGAGGGCTTCTTCAAGCCCGAGCGCTGGTCACAAGCGGAGACGGACGGAGACCACGACAGCACCGACAGTCGGCACGGCTAGTGGCAACAATATTCCAGCCGAGCCACCGGTTGATGGACCTCGGTTGAGTATGAGCTTAAGCGACGAGTTGGGAGTCACAGCCGGTGACGACGGAAAGGGAGAATTGACGCAGGAAGAGACCGAGCAGCTGAACGCGATAGTGGCGCGGTGGGTTGCCAAGCACCACCACCCGTTCAGCATCACGGAGGACCCCGAGTTACAGGAGCTGCTTCGCTTTGCCGCCACGTTGCGCAAACCGATCACGCTTCCGCCCCCAAGCTCTGTCCAAGCGTCCGTTCAGTCTCTGAGCGCACGTAGTCGGATGGATGTGATGCGGCAGATTTCGAGTGAGGTTCTCTTCTACTCTATGGCGTCCGAGGTGTGGGTTACTGTTGAGCGAGACATTTTCGTCTCCTTTAGCATTCACTACCTGACGGAAAACTTTGAGCGCCGCCATTTCACTCTGGATGTACGGGAACACAGCGGCCACCAGATTTTCTCGTATGAGACCAAGAGAGAAATGCTGTACACACTGATATCGCGGTGGAATCTGGACCCTCGATATTTGAGCTCGATGCTGTGGCAGTCCCAACCGCGAGTAGATGGCGAGGTAAACACATTGACACAACCTCGCACACAACAAGCGGAGAGTGCAGCTCATGGCTTTGAGGTTATCCTGGCTCCTCTATTGCATGGCCCCAGGGAGCTGGAAGCAGACGGCGTGCACGTATTCTTCTTCGACGAAATGGTAAACAACGCCATCGCCAATGTGTCGCCCGAGTTCCAGGCAAGCGTGGAGTTCGTACGGAACCAGGTGACCATGTTCCGGGATCTGGCCTTCTTCCTGACTAATCACCCGCGCGCGGTGGTCCGTCTTAGCAAGCTCATGCCAGGAGCTAGCCAGCAGCGACTTGTCACGGACACCAAAGCGAGCTGGCTCAGCACGCTCGACATGCTCAAGCGTCTCGTCAAGAAGCGCGACGTGATCCGAGATTTCTTTGCGTACGCAGACACGATCGAGGGCCGTGCAGAGTTTCAGCATCTCTCTCCATCGTCGTCATCTGCACGGGAGATGCAGCGGCAGGAGCCGACAGACGAGCAATGGTGCGCGATCGAGTGTCTGTTGCAACTACTCCAGCCGTTTGAGAACGTTGCACTGGCCATCGGAAAGGAGAAGTACGCAGCTTCATCGCTTACGTTTCCACTGCTGAAGTTCCTGAAGCGCGATCTGGAGAAAGTGACTAACTTTCAGCGGGTTTTTGCGAAGTATTCAAGCACTCAAGTCCAGGGTGATACTAAGTCGCCCCTGAACTTCCAGGCTCAAGCGCAGAGCATCGCGATGCACCTAGAGGTCGTGCGGAACTTCCTGTACACCGAGTTCAAGGCGCACTTCACGCGGGCATGTGGGGAGCTGATGTGGGTCTCGCAGTTGGACCCGCGCTTCGTGCGCATGAAGTATCTGAGCGACGAGGAGCGCGAAGTGTGCAAGGCTCGACTCATCGACCAGTGCTTCGTGCTCGCCAACTTCAACCAGATCATGGCCAACCAGCGCATCAAGGCGTCTGCAGCGTCTGCCGACGTCGCCGTAAGTGCCGGCCTCGACCCGTCGAGCGCGTCCTTCCTCGACTTCCAGACGGGCATCCAGCCGACTCGCGAGGACCACGACACTAACAGCTTCCTGCGCAAGCTGCTCTTCGACGACGCGCACGACGACCCGGCGCTGGTGTACCAGCAACAGCAGCAGCAACTGTTGCAGCAGCAAGGGCAGTTCGGCGACTCGCTCGGGCCCATCACCGTGACAGTCGGGGACGCGACGGCCAACTCGGCCGCGTACCTGGAGCAGGAGGCGGCGCTGCGCCTGCGCGTGGTGGATGAGGTGAAGGCGTACTACGCCGCAGTGGCCGCCGCCAAGGTGACGGCCATGCGCGACCCGCTCAAGTGGTGGCGGGACAACACGGCGGCGTTCCCACTGCTTGTGCCGCTGGCGCGCCAGTGGCTCAGCTCCGTGGGCTCCGTGCGGCCCTCGGACGTGGTGCAGATCGGCGCCGGCACGCACGGCGACCTCACCACCACGTCCACGACGCAGGGCGTGCAGGTGAACGCCAGTACGGGCGCCGCGCTGCCCTACGGCACCCACGCAGTGCACTCGGAGCCCGAGCTCGTGCGCGACATCATGATCGTGCACGACAACTGCTGAAAAGCATACTGTACCTAAGGCGAACTTAATCGAAAACGATATCTATTGGTCAAAATACATTAATCTTTTCATCGTTGGGGTCACTCGACAATTTACTGGGGAGGGGGAGAGCCACCACCTACGCCCCGGCCGAGTCTGCCTGTAGCTGTCGCTGTCGCTGTAGCCATGCCGCACCCGCGCTTCCCCAAGATCGAGATCCAGGAGCTGCGCGACGACTTCATCCGCTTCGAGCTGTCGGAGACGGACGCCAGCGTGGCCAACGCCATCCGGCGCGTCATGATCTCGGAGGTGCCGACGCTGGCCATCGACCTCGTGAGCATCGAGATCAACACGTCCGTCATGACGGACGAGTTCCTGGCGCACCGCCTGGGCATGATCCCGCTCAACTTCGACGGCGGCCTCGAGAACTTCCGCCAGCGCTTCGTGTACTCGGCGGACTGCGACTGCGACGAGAACTGCCCCAACTGCAGCGTCGAGTTCTCGCTGGACGTGACGGCGGACAACGGTGTGCTGTCCGTCACGAGCGAGGCGCTCAAGTCCTCGGACCCGTACATCCGCCCCGTCAACTTCTCGTCCGAGGAGGAGCTCAACAACACACAGGACAGCGGCGTCATCATCGCGAAGCTCGGCCCCGGCCAGAGACTGCGCCTCTCGGCCATCGCCAAGCTCGGCATTGGCAAGGAGCACGCCAAGTGGTCGCCCGTGGCCGTCGCCACGTACATGTACGACCCCATCATCACACTTAACCAGGCCGTGCTCAGCACGTACACGCCCGAGCAGAAGGCCGAGCTCTACAAGAGCTGCCCCACGGAGGTGTACGAGACGGATGAGAACTACGAGCAGGTGCGGTGTTGCGCTTGGAAGGTGGACTTTATTTTGGAGGAGGCTGACTGAAGTTTTGTGGTGTTTTGACGCAGTTTACGGTAGGAGACGCCATGCGATGCATGTACTGCGACGAGTGTGTGAAGCTGGCGGACTCGTACAAGGACAACCCGGAAGACGACTCGGCGGTGACGATCCGGATGCGGGAAGACAAGTTCATCTTCTCCGTTGAGGTGCGTTGAAATTCTGAATGTGGCAATGTGATATGAACGGCCTCTACTCATGCAAGTCATGCTGACTTGTGTCCCTTGTTATCTGCCTCCAGACAACGGGACAGCTAAAGCCTGAGGAAGTGGTGATTTGCGCACTGGACCTGATCCGAGAGAAACTGTCTTCACTAAAGCACCAGTGCCTGGAGCTGAGCCAGGATGACCAGGGCTCGTCAGCGCCGATCACGCCGTTTGGATAAAGAGGATAAAGCAACACCGTGGGTATCGAGCCGATATTGACGTCGCTGAGGATCGCTGGACGCCCTGTTGGCCAGACGGTGGACGACACAGCTCTACTTTGTATTGCCCACCGCCAGCTACCCAGCCCAGACCGCACGAGATTTCACGAGTTGGTTACGCACCGATGCGCCCAGCTAGTTGCAGCTTTGCGCCGATAGATTTATGCTGCTAGTTCCATTTTTGCCTTTTTATTCATACAGCTGATATTCCGATGCCTCCCCAACAATCTTGCAGTCGTCACGTCACGAATAGTGCGGCAAAATCTCAATGCTTCCTGTTAGTGTCTGTGAGGTCTCCATTAGCACGGAAGTCGCTGCACTATCAGGGTTTGCGCTGATAGATAGGAGGCAAAGGGCAACACAAATTAGTCTTCGCCTTGAGATAATCGCTACCTGCTCACGTACCTTTCGTCGGGGTCAATCTCGTTCGCCTCTTGGTTATCGCACAGCGTTCCGAGACGTGGAGACTTGTACACTTCAAGCAAACTTCCGAGCAAATCGGTGGGGTGGACATCGCTCTTCGACACACCTTGGCAGGTGCACAGGAACGCCACGTTCTCATGGAGCATGCTCAGTCCACGTTCAAACCCAACGCTACCGTCCGGATACAGCGTATGACATCCAGCGCCTTCGCTCGTATTCCCAATCGTCGAAAACGACCCGTTGAATTGCATCGGATGCGGGTACGTGATCTTCAAGTACTTGATCAAGCAGTGCAGCAGGTGGATGACTTTGCCCAGCGCGGCAGCAACAACCTCCGGCGGCACGTTCTCGTACTTGCCCGACTTTGGCAGTGGCAGTCCCACTATCGTTCGGAAGAACACAGGGACGTTTTTCCTCGCCTTCCGCTGCCGCAGCTCTTCCGACACACCCTCCCGTTCGTCCGGGAGGCCACTCAACGGGTCATCGTCGTCCTCTTCCTCTGCAGTTTTCTCCCCCTCCGGCGTCAGTGCAAACAGCGCGAACAACTCACGCAGCCTGTCACCCCTCACCCTGGCAGCATTCTACCTCAAAACATAATCATCAACAACACTTTAGTCGTCGCAGCCCTCCTTCAACATCTCTCCGAGTAGGCTGTACCTCGTCCGCCCATTGGACCTGGTAGTCCAGGCACTCCAGCACTGGGGCGTGCAGACTCTCGGCCCGTTGGCTCTCGAGTTGCAGCTTGTGCTGCGCCTCCTCCATCTGCACCGTGCGCTCCTCCAGCTTGGACGTCCGCTCCACGACCGCGATGCGCTCGGAGCAGAGCTGCTCGCGCGTCTTCATGACCTTCTCGGCCAGACGCTCCACCTGCTTCATGCACCTCTCCAGACGCAGCTCTGCGTCCACCAGCGCGCTCTTCGTCTGCAGCGGAAGAGCAGGAAATAAATAATATTTTTCACATTAGACGAACGAGTCTGGGTTCTAGTGTATTGTTGGACGCACGTTCAGCGCATACTCGGTCTTCTTGCGCAGCACGGCCACGTCCGCCTGCAGTCCAGCCAGCATGGTGCGGCGCTGCTGCAGCATGGCCGACGTGCACTCCGCGCAGGAGAAGGAGCCGCGGGGACGGCGGCACAGCGCACACTCGCTCTTGTCCATCGCCGCGAATATTGGCAATTATCAGATGGAGTGGGAAGGAAACTTGAGATTCGATATAAATATTAAGATACTTGATAAACCAATCACATTACGTGAATGTTGACTGTGACTTCAACGTTCCAAGTATAATAACTTGGATCAAGTTGAAGTCGTCTTTGAGATACTGGCACAGTCAATTGGGCCGAGAAGCTCACGGAGCTTCGACAGCGGACAGGCTTCGGCACCAGTCGTAAGTTGGAGTCGAACCAAGCGAGGTGAAGCATGAGCGGAGATTGTTGTACACAACGCATACAAGTTCCAGGATAGCCTCGAGAAACAAAACAGTACAAATGACTCCAGTTTATCAGCTACAAGTCTGCTCAGCTCGTTTTCTTACGCTTACCAGTGCTACAACTCACCAGCAGCGTCTACACGAGCAGTGGAATCTCAACTCAAGATTTAGATTCGTGAGGTTCATTATTGGCCCTCTTCATTGGCCAACATGTGAAGCTAAAGGTATTGAAAAGCGCAGCAATTAGAAATCTATGTGACCTTTCGTATGCGTTTCCAATATGCAATCCGATGATTCATCGATGGGTGGTGCTGCTTGCCTGCGCGGTCGCCGTCGTGTGCATCGCCCCCTGCAGCGCAATGATTCGCATCCCGCTGTCGCGGCGCCAACGGGGAGGCATTGAGCTGAGCGAACCAGCCGCCGCAATGCAGGGGCTCTCGACAGTGACACACACCCATTCCAAACTGTCACACTTGCCGCTACGCAACTTCGAGAACGATCAATACTTTGGCTTCGTGGCCGTTGGAACTCCTCCGCAGACTTTCCGAGTGCTCTTCGATACAGGTACAGCCTTCTCGTATGAAAACAAACAAATAATGTGCTCATCCTGATTGTTTACTGTATCTATCCCAGGTTCGAGTGATGCCTGGCTACCGGATCAGTCTTGTTCAACCTGCGGAAGTCACACTCGATTTAAAAGACACCGATCGAGATCGTTTCGAGCCACGACTGACACGTTCTGGGGGATCTACGGCAGTGGAGACTCATACGGACTCGTCGGGGCAGACGTTTTCACCATCGGAAATTACTCGGTTCCAGACCTGGCCTTTGCTGTGATCACCGAGGAAACGGGCGGTATTTCGGTGAGGATTGAAAACGCAAATTGTAAAAGGGAATCAATGATTGACGGTGAATTGGATGTCCGACAACCTTAGGCACTCGCCAACGATGGGGTGATTGGGCTCGCGTTCGCGGGCATGAGCAAGATCTCTCGCCCGACCATCCTGGACACCATCAAGAGCTCCAATCCTGAGTTGAACCTTCAATTTGCCTTCTACATAGCGGGTGCCGCTCAAAAGGACGACTCCGAATTCCACTTCGGAGGATATGATCTCTCCGTCGCCGGGGAAAGAGCTGCACTGGCGAAGTTCCCGGTCCTGACCCTGCCGAGCGAGTTCACAGTATGCTGGTGCTGACTTTATTTGTACCATTCTAACTGATAGTGGTGCGTTGTGCTTGCTGAACAGTCGATCCTCAACTAACCTACTGGACACTTGCCGTGAACGACTTCCACCTCGTCCACACCGCTGGCATACGCAAGAGCTCGAACCTGTGCGATCCATTTTGCTACGCCATCATCGATTCAGGCACCTCGTTCATCTACGTGCCGCCGCAGCTGTACGACTCCGTGATCACCGAGGTGGTTGCTGGTAAGGCTTGTGATCTCGAGCAACTCACATGCGCGAACACAGGGTACGAGTCTTTCCCGACACTCTCGTTCTCGTTCGGATCGATACACGACGGCAACTTCTTCCACCTGGGGCCTCGGAGCTACCTCAATTGCTACCAAGACACCTGCGATATCGAACTGCTGAATCATGCGTGAGTGCTGCTATCGCATTACCGTCACTGACGAGTATCGCATCTGACTTTTTCTATGGTGTAGGAGTCTGAGCGACGACTGGTGGGTCCTTGGCGGCCGCTTCCTTCGGGAATACTACACAGTGTTCGACTTTGACAGCATGCAAGTGGGAATTGCCTGCAGTGGGTGGTCCTCGCATTGTCGCGCTCGGCTTCAACTTGAAGAAAAATCACATGTTTTGCTTTTTGTATCGAACGTAAATTCCTAAATCCGACCGTAACAGTGCGCGATTCACTCGGAACAAGCATAAAAGTCGCGGAGGACTATCGAGGACATGAGAAGACGTTGGAAGGCATCAATGACAATTGTGGCCATCTTGGTGGCGTAAAAAAAATCGCCGCCCGGGCAGCATTTTTCTCTCCACGCTTGACTTTTTCCCAAGTAGATGTTAACTATTGGATTTGGCTGACTGTAGCCTTCTGTGTGCGTTTGCTTGTGCCAGTTATGTCAGGCGGCGTGAATCTGCCACTTTGGTGTCGATGGGTGGAGATTCCACCGTGGAGCTGTAAGCGAGCTGGCTGGGACGGACTCAGTGCGAGATGCAAGACCGAAGCCGCCGTCCAATTGGTGGAGGACGTGGCTTCAACCGTCGGACGCAAGTCCCGTTCGGCTGCAATTGCCCTACTTGTACTTCTGTGCATAGAAATGCCCATGGCGGAAGCCGCGGCAGCTCGCCAGCGCTGCGGCGCCCTGCCCACCACCAGTGGCTCCCAGGAAGGATAGCAGACAGCCGAAGGCAAACAAACGCACAGACGACTGCGGCTGACGGGGCCCCGAAGTTCGTCACCGACCCGCAAAGATTTCCGCGGCCAGACCGAGGAAAATGTCCTCGTTCCGGGGTGAAGCTGCAAATATACAAACGCCTATATGTTTACCAACCGGCCAAACCGACCGACCGACGCTCGCAGATGATCGTCGCATTTTATGTTTGAGGCTAGCTGGCTTCAGCAGTATCGAATCTGAACTGCCGGAGAGCGTATCAGGATAAAGAGATACCTGTCTATAATGGTATTTCCTGTGATCAGTTAAGCTGCGCCTTCCTACAAAGCAATAATGAGCGTATCCCAATAACGGTACACCTATATAAACGCATTTACCATATCTTACAGATTTTCTACAAAAGATGCGGTGATTTTACGCAACGAAAGACACACACAACGGAACAGAGAACGAACACGCGCAGCAACAATACAAAGTCCAAGTGAAGCGCTCATTGCCGCATCCACCGACTCGAGCGCAAGCTGAAGCCAGGAAGCAAAGGTGAGTGCGCGCATGTGTAGCTAGCTCCGCCATTGCCCTGCCGCTCCAATCGTCCGTCACTCGCGCCGCACATTCCCACGCAGCCGAAACGAACGGGAGACTCGCAGCTCGCAGTCGCAAAGCTCGCTGTCCTCGGCGTGCTGCACATGGTGCGTGGCTGTCTGCAGCGCAAGCGGAAGCGGCAGACTGTGGTGACGGAGACAAGCGGCGGTATCGAGGACGCCACAGCGCAACGGAACACTAACGGTGGGGCTGTCTAGACTAGGTAATTGCACGCTCGGGAGGAACACGAACGAAGCGCGGAGAAGCGACAAAGCGAGCTAAACGGCGACCAAGACGGAACGCCAGCACTGGTTGAAGTGAGCAGTGCAGAGCAGCAAGCAGCAGCAAGCAGCAGCATCGGCGTCATGCCCAAGCGCAAGGCCAACTGGTGGCCGCCCAGCATCCTCTCGGACCCGGACGTGCTGAGCGTGGACGACGAGGGCCGCTTCGTGCTGTGCAAGATCTGCCACGTGCACTACGCCGTGCACGGCGGCAAGAAGCCCAAGCCCGTCATCATGAACTCCAACTTCCGCACGCGCGCCTGGGACGTGCACAAGGAGCGCACCAACTCGCACCGCCTGCAGAAGCAGCAGGAGCGGCTGCAGCAGGCCAAGACGCAGCAGCAGGAACAGGGACAACAGGCGGCAGACACATCGGAGCAGCAACAGACCCAGGATGCTCAAGGACCACAGCAGAGGCAACCGATGCCGCCGCCTCAAGGACAGCAGCAAGTGCTGGTTTCTCAAGCTCAGCAGCAGCATCAGGTGCAGGCGTCCCCTGGACAGACACAGGCCAGGCCGCAGAGCCAAACTATGGCCGCGCTGGCTAGCCCTCGCCAGGTGCAAGGGCAGGGCCAGCACCCGGCCTCTCTCACTCCGCAGCAGGTGCAGCACTCTCCATCTCCGTCCCTGCGACTGCAGAACAAGGCCCAGGTCCTGCACCAGCAGCGGCGGCAGCAGCAGCAGCAGCTACAACAGCTACAGGAGGAGACGAAGGATCCAGCTCGGAATAGTCCCATCGAGCGGCCAGCGAGTACTGCCAGTCCAGAGGCCATAACGGCAGTCGCCATCTCTGAGACCAACAGCCTGCAGAACAGCAGCGCAGTGATGAACAGTGGTGGCAAGCGCCCTGCGCCAGCATTGCCGGCCGGGGCTCCAGTGCCACTCCGCCGGCGCGTGTTCCGAGCGGGCTCTCCGGGATCTTCGATGCAGCTCTTAGCAGAGTCGGAGGCAGCAAGGCGGCAGAACGCACACGCGTACGAGAGGCATTCCCTGATGGGGGCAGGCGCTGGGAACCACGCGAGGAGAACGGCGCCCAGTGAGCATGCCATGGCAATGGAGCAGGCCGACAGCTCGGCGCGCTGGCGCCATATGCACGATGATGTGAGCCGAGCATTGAACCGAAGAAGACCTCAGGGACCGGCCTCCTATACGAGCGGAGAGCTGCGCGCAGCGAAGACACTGGCCCAGACGGAGACCGGCGACCTAGGCAGCAACAACAGCGAGAGGGTGGCCAAGAAGCTCCAGTCGCTCAACGCCGAGTACCAGGCCAGCACCATGCGCCACGCCGACGCCTACAACATGCGCCACACAGACGTCTTTGACCGCCGCAGCGCTGGCTACAAGGAGTACTGGGGCACACTACGCAACGTGTACGCGTCCTTCGTTCCGGCAAGTGGCGAAGCTGGTAACATAGCCCCGTATCGCAAGTTGCACCACCGCAGCAGCGCGTTGGCCAAACCAGCACGAGAGGAGAGCAAGGAGACCGAAGCCGACTCCACGACTCCCGACGACTCCGGCTCGAGCGAAGACGCGTTCAAGCCGACGGTGGTCGTTCACGACGCCTCGCTCATCAGCGCTATCGAGAGGCTCACGGACGCCACCACAACGCAAATCGCCAACCTGTACCAGTGGCAAGCGTCAGACACGAGGGAGGCGCTCGCAGGACTCACCTCGGTGATGACGGACTTGCGCGTGCAGCATGGGAACGCCTTCGAGCGCATCATCGAGCTGCAGGAGAAGCATCTGAAGGTGATGGAGAGCATCCTAGAAATCAAACTGCGCAAGGAGGCGTTTTGGAACGCGAAGAACGCCAGCAGCAGCAACGGCAGCACCAGCGAAAGAAGCTCTGGTAGCAGCCCCGGAAGCAGCTCGAACGGAGCCGGCAGCACGACGAGCTAAACTATCAGAGAGCTGGGGGATACACGCGCACAGACGACGAGTTTTCAACCCGTTCTTCTCAGTGCTTCAAGAATGAAAGTGAGGTTAATGAGTGATATATAAGCCTGCGCTCGCTCGCTGGACGCCAGCCAGCGCAGACGTTCCAATAAGACGATACCTTTTGAGTTGCATGACGAAAGTCGAGAGCACGAGATCGAGGTCCGACAAGCTTCTCGTCCTACACAAAACTAAGATACGCTGCACACACATGTAAAGACCACCACCATGAAGCAGCAGCACGACTGAAGTGCACGCGGAAACGGCAGCCAGGAAGAAATCCAAGGCATTTCGCACTCGTTAACGTCTACGACTGCGATGTCGCTTCCGATCCCGATCCCGATCCCGATCCCGGCTTCGGCTGTGGCTTCTACTCGAGCTCTCCGATCGTCGTATACGATGCCGATCCCGACTGCGTCGACGTCGCTCCCGACTCCTGGGCCGCTCTCTGTCTCTATCGTCCCTCCTCGATCGCGGCCTCTCATCACGTCTCCTGGACCTGGATCTCGACACGGATCTCCTCCTTCTCTCCTGCTTCTTCTTCTCTTTCTCTTCCTTCTCCTTCTCCTGCTTCTGCTGCTGCGTCTTCTCCACCAGCTCCTTCAACTTCCTCCTGATCTGCACGTACCCCACATGCACTTTGCCCCCAAAGTGGTCGGCCAGCCGCCGCTCGCTGTCGAAGATGCTCAGGAAGGCGCCGCACACGTCGCAGACGCGCAGCTTCTGGTCGATGACGTCCGGGGCGCCGCCGTCCTTGGCGCCTTTCGTCTGCGTCTGCCGCAGCAGCTCGCGCCGCTTGCGCTTGAGCAGCTCCGCCTTCTCCACGAGCTGCAGCGACGCGTCGGCGTCTCCGTCGCGCGCACGCTGCGCGGCCTGCGCTGCGGCGTCCTGCAGCTCCTGCGTGAGCTCCAGCAGCCGCGCTCTGTCCGGACAAGTGTCCCCGTTGTCCTCGTCCAAGCGGCGCTGCGCCTTGGCGATCTTGCGCTCCACGTCGGCCAGCAGCCGGGACAGCTCGGTGGCCAGCGCGCGCTCGTAGCCGAAGTCCCGCGTGGCCTCCTGCTCGTAGGCCGCGCGGATGCTGGGCGAGTGGATCAACTGGCACGCGCCCGCGTCCAGGCGCGTGTTCTGGAACAGCTCGCGCGGACACAGGCCGCAGAGGAAGGGCTTGCAGACCCGCGGGTGGCGGAAGTCGAGCTGCGGGTCGTCGTCGGGCCGGTCGCCGTCGCGGTTGAAGCCCATGAGCGAGTCCAGCAGCGCTCGCTGGGCCTCCATGACGCGCAAGATCTTGCTGTCACTATGAAGCGTGGAAATGTCATTAAAGACAAGGGAAATTATATGTTCACAAGAGTGACCAAGCTGAAGCATTGTTAGTGAGTCACTAATAGCGGCGCAGCGTCACTTCACTGACGCACAGACCAAATTGGCATCAGTGGCGTTTGGGAAGCATGGACAACCCGCAAACGTAGTCCCGCAGCAAGACTTAGGTCTAACGTTCCCTGCCTAGCGCTCTGTCGGCCCTCTAAAGGTTTTAAGGACCGGTAAAGCCACATTTAGCAGCTCGACTACCCAGCTCCCATGAGATTTGCAATAGATTTGAGTGCCATGAGTCATGGCCCATGACACCCGTCCTGAAAACGATGTCCATGATTTCAACATGTTTTACATGTTTGGATAGATCTTACTTGGTTTCAGTATGTGCTGATACGTAACCCTATTGGAAACATGGGCTACTAAGTACTCTCGAAGCGTCAAGTACTTCCAGTTTGGCTAGGTAAGTTGTGGTCGTGACAGCTAATTCGCGCTTTGAGCAACGATTTGTCCGCAGATTTGTGACACCGCGAAGACGAGTTAGAATAGAGGGCGCAAAATCCTTGAAAGCGACAATAAGTCGTATTACTAAGTAAGTCAAATCATAACTTAGCTGCAGGCGCAGTGCGCTCTACTGTAGTAATATCTAGCAGGCCGTAGCATGCCGTCTATAGGTCCGTGAACTCGGCGCTTGTGAAACGCACGTATTCGTTCCAGTGGTGCCCGCGGATCGAGTGAACTCAATCAGGTGCAGCACGAAGTTCGCGGTTTCGTTTGCAGGTTGCGGGGTGATGAGGACATCGCCGACTTGAGCGCGCTCAATGCTGAAACCGCAGCCTTTCGACAGAGGGCTGCGCGCGACAAACGAAGCTGCAGCAGAACTTGGTCTCCAGCGGAACCCGCGAGCCGCGACAAGTATCGCGACAGTAGGTGCCAGCCCACTTCCAGCCTGTTCTTCGCCTCCAGCACCCGCTCGTAGGTCCGCATGAACTTGGTCACTAGTCCTCTTCAAGCCAGAAGTGCGCAACAATATTCATTCGTCCCTACCAGTCACGTCCAGCACAGCCACAAACTGATTCACCCCCGCGGCAGCTCCAGGGGCTTTGCTGACTGCACCAGTCGCCGTCCTTGCTGATTGCTTCTTGTATGAGGTTGCAATTTTACTTGGAACCAGGAACGTGAAGTAGAAGTGGTCTGCACTCACGCCAGCTTTCTGTAGCCACTCGAGAAATTTGTTTAGCGGCGCAGCTTTGATTCCATGGTTCTCGTTCAGTGTCATCTGCAACCCGTAGCATTTGCTGGATCCATCCCAGATGAATGCATCCAGCGCTCCAAACGTTTTAGATGTTGGCCGGTAGTACGTCCAGCTCTTAGCGAGTTTAACTTTGTCGAGAACAGCGAAGCGTACCGTTTGCATCTCTTTCGGAATAGTCAAATCTCCCATAGTCGTCGAGCACAACGAGCGGAAGTGCAACGTTCTCTCCTTCTGCAGGCTAAGCCATTTGTGGCAGAGTAGCTCGTACATCTTGCCACGAATGACAGCTGTACTTCCCGAATCATCAGCATCGTGCAGAATAGCGAACTCCGAGACCCTTGCCAGACTTTCCCCGTGCACTTTGTCAATAATCGCATCGGCGACGTGCATGGACAGAAAATCCAAATGGAAGTTCGTGCGGTAGTTGTCTTGCGTGGGAATCATCTGAAGAACGCAGTGGCTATAGTTGTTCTCCATTACAGCAGCATTTTCTTTGCAATAGGAGATGATTTTCAGTGCACTGAATGATTTGATCGCTTTGTGCAGTTTAGCCATGGTTTCACCCCTCGCCTGCGCGAAGATGAACCGCGGAACTCCACCAAACGTGTCGAATCTCGAAACCAAAACGTCTTCGGCGAGTTTCAAGTCATCTGGAAGCAATGAGTTGTATTCTGCCAGCTCCTCCAAGGTCCACGTCGGCATGATATACGTCAATCCGTCCACTTTTTCGAAATCATTCACGCCTTCAGCACCCGGAGAAGCAAACAAAACCGAAACTCCTTTCCAGCCAGAAAGGTGTGTTGATGCTGCCTCGACAAGACGGAGAACACGAGGTTGTGTCCGAAGCAACTCAACACTTTCTCCGTCCAACTCGACAAATTCATCTTTTGTTGCATCGTACTTGTAAAACGTGCTGCCGTAGTTCAGCACCAACTCGTACGGGGGAAGCTGTTTGACATCATCTCGCTCACGACGAACGAGTTGAAAGATGCAATACAGAAAGAAGCGACTCTTCCCAGTCCCAGGGTTCCCCGTGACTATCACGTTGGAATCTTTGCCGGGTTTACTTTTCTTGTCTGGCTCGCTCGCACTGGTTGGGACGTATTCGAAGCATGATTTCGCGTAATCCATCAACTGAGCGAAAATCACAAGATACGCCTTCCTCTCCACGATCGTTTTGAATTCCACCTTGGGGTGCGCCAGCAGCGGAGGGAAGTCTCTCATGTCGAAGAATCTCCTCTCCTCGTCCACTCCCGCATCCACTCGGCGCTTCTTCATCGGGTGGGAGGTCTCCCCGAACCACTCATCCGACCGATTGCGTTTCCCCCCCTCCGGAACTTCCACCAGCACGTTCACAGGGCCTCTCCCTTCTGCTTCTTCTTCTTCATCCACTCCACCGACATCCTTGTCCGACAACCCCACACGCCGTAGCCTCGCTCGCGCCTTATCCAACAGCTTCAGGCCAGTGGTGTCCTTCACACCCTTCTTCACGTCTGCCTCCGTCAGCCACGCGCCGCGGCCCTCGTCTTTCTTCGCCACGTAGAGCTCCAGCTTGTCTGCGTCGATGTCCTTGAAGTCGTTCGTCTTCTCCGCCTTGATCGCCTTCTTCAAGTCGTCCACCGTGTCGCTCTCATCCACTCGCACCGAGAACGCGCTGCCCGCCACGCCAACGATCGCACAGAAGAGCTTCGCCATCTTTCCTCGAGCCGGCAGATTCTAGAATGCCTAATTATTGCCGTGCAGATATTTTGGCCAACGCATGCTTATCATCTCGTTAATAATCTCGATTTTAATCTTGCAAGCTCTTAATTAAGACCTAGGTCTGATTTATATATATCGCCACTGGCGAGTCGCCAGTACAGGTCTAAGATGCAAGGTTGGGGTCTGTTTCACGCTTTGCTACGACTTGGAAACGCAGAAATGCCATTCTAGACGGGCCAAACCGAGTTCTGGGCCTACATGTAAATGCGGCCCCCACCAAAGCATAAAGCTAAATCAGCCCTCGCCTATCTCGTGTCCGCTCATATTAAGAGACAGGCGTGGTCTATTTTAGAGGGCAAAGTATTTGCAAGCGGCAATATGCCCTGAGTTATCTATTAAATAATTCCCATGTTAATTCCGGGTCGTCCCACCGCGGCCGCTCAAACAATTCAAATTTTATGCTAACCAGCGATTTGAAAATGCTTTCTTTGTATTTTCTTAAAAGAAAATGCAATGAAACGAAACCAAATGCTCTAAAATCGTGTTTTGGCATTCTATCTGTTAACCATTATTTCTGTGAGGTACGGTAGTATCATAATTAGGTATTTCAGTTGGGGTGGCTTGCGTAGTTCACCAGCACAGCCTTCCTTTCCTAGAGCTTATTCAGGGTGTGCTTGCGCCTCACTGCCAATACAGTGCATGAGGGAGCAACATGAAGCATCCAATGACGCTGAAAGCCGTCCTTTGAAGCGAGAGCCACGACTTTTCGATATTAGGGTAGTTTTAGAACCGCTCAACTACTGAGATCTAACGGCTGCTAACCGACCGTGAGAACCCCTAATACGGTATCGAAAAGACGTATTGTGCCTTTCACCTATTTTGGCGGGTGAGCTGTTAATTCAGGCGGAATTAGATCCATAAAAGGGCGAGCAACGCTTATTTAGTGTTAATTCCGCTTATGATTGTGAGTGCTTTCCCTAACTCCCGCGATCAGCATTTGCGAGGAGATACGAGCAGAATGGCATGGATTGGCAGGCAGCAAACCGCCAATCGCTCTGTTTCCGTCTAACTCAGGCTGGATTATTAATAGCTTATTCCGCCTTAACCCAGCCTCACCATCGCCGCTGTTAATTCTTCGCCTACCGAATATTAGAGCAACAGGCCTCGGTGTGGAAGATAGAGTAACTGTTTGTTTGGCCGCCTCGGGCAGCCCCACAGCCTACGAGCTTTGCCAAGAGCACATGGGCCAACCGCAAGCCAACGAGGTTTACAATTCCCTCCTCTTGAATCAGACAGCTGAGCCTTGAGTAGATCATTTTCCAGCTTTTGAAATTACGGAGCTACATTTAACATGAAGAATGCATATTTGCCTTTCTAGCAAATGGTAACAAGAGTGCCCAAAGTAATCTTTGACGGTATGCCATAACCGGGGTCCTATATTGGCCAGATACCTTTTCTCTAGTTACCCTGACTGTCATTTTCCCAAGCCACCAGCACCTTACTCTTGACCTTGATGACCATGTATTCGCCTGGGTTGGTCAAGGTGGTCAACCCTCAGAACATATACGGCACTGACTTGGTACGTCTAAAGCCGTGCAGTTGCGGTTGCAGCGCGAGAAGGAGCCGCTATATACATGTAAATGCTACCGGCAGCTTGGCGACGACTCGTCGCCAAAGAAAGATCGGAAGGATGGTGAACTTGAAGTGGACGATGTGAACAAGTGGAGCGCGGGGCTCCCGATCGATTTACCTGTTTGCGAACTGGAGTTGCCCCAGATCACGGTCGACGAGGCGCTGCGCACCCTTGAGAGGCACCTGCACCTACGCGTAAGCAAGCATACATATAACCCTCGGTGGCATTCTTGTTGACCCGGTGAGGCTCGGTTCAGGGGTCTAGGGGGTCTAGTAATACTTCATTGCTAGAATTCGTCGGGTTTCTCCCAGGAGGACATGCCCGTCTTCTTGTTGAAGTAGAAGGGCTTGCCGGTGCCTTCGTCCCATTGCTCGATCCACGCGCTCGGCTGCGGCGCGTCCGGGTCGGTCTGCTTCTTCTTCTTCTTCTTCTTCTTGCCCGTGAGTCGGGTCTGCTCTCGTTCGGCCTCCTCAGCCTCCTCCTGCTGCTGCTTGGCGAGCTGCTCCTGCAAGATGCTCTCCTCGTCTCTCATGGCGCTGTCGACGATGGCCGCGCCCGCCGCGATCTTGTCCGCCAGCTCGTGCGTCTTGGCCAGGATCTTGGCCCCCGTCGCGGACTCGGCCACCGTCTGCTTCACCTTCTCGGCCATCCGCTCGACGAGCGTCCCTGGCGGCGTGGTGGCCATCGTGCCGTTGTCAGTCTTCCAGGCCGCAGGCCACAACTGCTGCAGCTCCACGGGGTAGTTGCTCTGCACGTGCACGCGGAATGGACCCTCCATGCCGCTGACGTACGCGGCCACCAGCAGCGTGTACGTGCGCGCGGCCAGCTCGCAGTGCACGCGCACCTCTCGGTTCCGCGCGGGTACGCCGCTGTGTGCTGTGACGTTGTCCTGGTTCAGCACTGTGACTCGCCTGGCCCGATCTTTCTGGTCCTGGTGCGCGACGACGTACACTGCAATGGGTAGCACCGTCACGGGCGCCATGCCGCGTGAGTCCACCTGCGTTACAGTGATGATGACCTCGGTTGGACGCGATACGCGCAGCGAGAAGTGCGGGTTGTTGTCGAGTCCTGAACATCCCGGGTTATGCCGCGTCGGCAGTCCGCTGGCCGTGGCGTCCTGGCGCGAGAAGCGCGCGTCCATCGTCTTGACGGTCCATTTGTCGGGGTCGTAGTAGCGGCACACGTAGAGCGCGCGGAAGGCGTGGCAGAAGTCGTCGAAGCTCATCCAGAACGTGTTATCGTCCCCGGTGTCGTTGCCCTTGCGCACGCCCAGGCGCTTCCGCAGCCGCCGAGTCCAAAGCCGCGAGCCATCGCTCCAGTCGCCTTTCCATTCCTGGTGATCGCCTGGTGGGTTTCGCAGTTGCAAGAGTTGAGCGCCGTCTACATCGCGCACGTCGTAGATCACGTAGCACGCGTCGAAGACCAAGCCGGACGCGCGCAGAGCTGGGTCCGCGTGCTCGCTGGGCAACGACGCGGCCCCGAGCAGGAAGCGGTTCTTCCGGAACAACTTCAACTGCTGCCACAGCGTCTTCTTCAACGCGCCTCGAGCTGCTGGAGCCAGGAAAACCTCCTCACACTCGCAACCGGAGAGAACTCGCAGCGCGTGGTGGACGTATCCACGCTCAAGCGCTGCGTACCCGCCGTAGTACTTCGCGAAGGCCTTCTCAACGAGCGGCACCCACAGCTCCTCGAAGTCGCGACTGTGGGCGAATGCAGCACCAGCACTAACCGACAGCTCGGCGTCTTCATCTGCTTCTAGACCAGCAGCTTCACGCTCGGCAGTGTCGTAAAGCACTGGGAAGTAGTCGTCCACGATGACGGTCTCCCATTGACAGTTTTGATACAGACGCAGGGCGTACGCGCCCGTGAGAGAAGTCTGCTTGGTCACGAACAACCGGTCGATGAGCAGGTCCACCTTGCCGTCGTCGACACCTCCGGACGCCGCCACAATGCTCAACGCACTCAGCAACCACGCATCATCCAGTCGACCGACGCGTACGTCGTCCGGGTCTGTACCGCCGTCAAACAGCCCCGAGGCGATGTTGATAGCCGACGAAACCTTCCACTGCGGCGCGATCTCCACTTCACAAGCGCAGCCAGCGAGTGACGTCGTGTCTGGGGGAAACTCTCGGTCCACGAACTGCAGGGAGCGTCCGAACTCGCCTGGGACGCACGAGTAGCCTGACTCGATCTCCAGTAGCGCCTCTCGAGCGTTCACGATGCCTTCGTCGTACCCTGATTTGCTCTCCTCCTCCTCGGTCAAGATGCCTTCGCTCTCACGCCGAAGACGACGAGCCAGAAAATCCTGCATGCGTTGGCGACACTGGTCGGCTTCGCGTGGCGCCCAGTAGTCACGCAGCTCCTTCTGAGCTACTAGAGCAGCGCGGTCCTCAGCGTCCACAATGGCGTCGGTGCGTTCCATTTCCTCGTTGAACGCAGCTTTCAGAGCGTGGAATCTCGCGCGCGCTTCAGGCGTGAGCGAGAGCAGCCAAACGGCCACCAACGGGATGTCGATGGACGCGAACGAGCTCGTGCGGAAGACGTTGGCCGGCGGACTGATGCCGTTCGACATGAGCTTGAAGCGGTTCTCGCGCAAGAACTTCTGGAACAAAATCTTCTCGCGACTCAAGCGCGCGTCGGACGCTGTGAGCATCAGGAGCTGGAGGTGAATCACACAACGAGTTTCTTCGTAGAACTCGCGATCCAGTGCGGCATCTAACTCCGGCAGCTGAAGCAAAAGCTCCACCAAGTCTCGAGATGGAGAAGGTGGCGTGACATCAACCTGACGATGGGAAACTATGAGAGAGGAGCTTCCACCACGTTCAAGAGAGTCTGCTTGCTGGTCGTCTGCTTCATCACCGCTCTTGGCCTTCCTCTTCTTCCTCCACTTCAGCGTTGACGGCAAGTACTTCCACCGGATAAACCGCAGCAGTCGCGGGGGGACAGTGAACACATACAAGAAGCCGAAGGGGCCTACGCCGCGTTTAAAGACGTCTTCTCTTACTTCTTGCCACGTTAACAGTCCGTCCGGTCGAGCCACTTCCAGCCCGTGGATCGTAGTAATAACCCGACATTGTCGATCCACGTCCTCGATGTCCAGCGCGATGTCTCCACTAGTGCGTCGAGGCTCCATGACAACGTCGTCCTCGATCTCCGGCTCTGCTGCCTTCGTAGCTTTCTTGCGGCTTGCAAACGCACTCGCAGCTCCTCCACCATAGGCGATGGCCTGGAATTCCAGCTCGGCCTTCTTCTCTCGACGCTCTTGCTCAATAAACTCGGGCGACTCGAGGGTGAATGGCTGCCGACGGCGATTTGACACAGCTTGGGCGGCCTCGCTGGCGTCTTTAAGGATCATTTCGTTCACGTACTTGGACGCGATACCCATCTGCACGGGCGTGACCGCACACAAGTGAGCTGTGACCCCAGCAAACGCTAGCAACACGAGACTGCAGAGCCCCACGCCGAATCCCAGCGGGTCGAAGAACATGACGCCAGCCACGCCCCACAAGAACGCGAGCAGGAAGACCATATACAGCGGCATGACGGTCTGCGTCTCATCCACGACGTTGTTGGTGAAGGCGTTGTAGGAGAAAACTGGGAAGAGGTAAGGCGAATAGAAGACGGACTCGTCCGCTGAGCTCTTTGCCACGATCCAGCCAGCAACGAACTGCATCGAGTACTTCAGCAGGAGCACGACGAACACGATGGAGAGACAAGAGAAGAAGCTCATACCGCTAGCCAACGCTGCGATAATGGCAGCAACGGTGGCAATTAGGACGATGAGACTCGCCTGCCGCTGGTAGACCGGAGCGAGGTAGCGATCGTTCTCGACCCATTTCACGAGGTAATACGTGATGAAGAGGAACAACGCCAGTAGGAAGGTCAAGATGCCACCGAAAGCCACACTGACGAACACATATATCTCCCAGATCCAGAGAACTATAGCGGCCATGCAGGCAGCGCCGATGCGACGGATTGGCCGAGTGATGGCCCAGTTCTCGTCCTGCCACCGACACAGCGTGACTGCGAATAGCAGGAAGATCGGGTAGAATACCAGGATGGACAGGATGCTGAGTGACTCCACTTGGTTCACGTCGGCCTTGAGCACAGCGAAGAACAGCACGAACCCAGTCCCCCAGGCCAATACAGCACTCCCACCGAACGAGTACTTCATGTCGGGGATGAATGTAGCGGTCTTGAAGTACTTGATCGTGGGAAACAGCGTGAAGATGAGGACATACGCCCCCGTCCAGATAAGCTGCCCGAGCCAGGATGGACTCTCCGTGGCGGTGAGGATCATCCCGTACAGCATGATCAGAAACAGGAGAGTGAAGAAGCACCCGAGCGTCATGTGGTCCTGAGGGAGTAAGAAGCCTTGCTGGTACGCCTGGTACAGCGTCATCTTACTGAAGTCAATGTCCCCATCTCCGCCCAAAGCCATCGTCTTCCGACGAGCCAAGACAGCAATGCTAGCTGCGTTGTCATCCAGTAGAGGTTTGTCAAGCGCATCGTCATCGTCGTCCAGTGCAGTGTTCGCAGCACCGTTGCGATTGAGTAGTGGTTTGGCTGTCGGTGAGAGGTTGTCCACTTCACGATACTTCCTCAGCCACGTTTTACGCGAGAACAAGGCACGCCAAGCAACTTCGAACCGTGGGGGGGTTGCGGGCTTAATTGCGAGTGTCGTGGGCAGATTTGCGCTTGCTCCGGCCTCGGTGATGGCAGGGAGCTCTGCTGGCAATTTAGCCGCAGTTTTGTTGCCATCTTCAGCCGCTTTGCTTCGTCCGGGAAGTGTCAGACCTAGTTTCTTGGTCGGACTCATAACCCCAGCGGCTTTGCCTCCCACAAGGCCCAACAAACTCTTGGACGGCAGTGTTGGCATCTTGAACGTCTCATCAGCACTGTCGTAGACGCTGTTGTTGCCTTTTCCTTTGAGCGGTGGCAGCACGAACGTCTCGCGCATGAGTTCCGCCTCCTTTTCGAGTGCAGCTTCAGCATCGAGAAAGCCGCCGTCATCGTCGTCGTCCAGCACGTCTTCCTCTTCGTCTTCGGGGGGCCAAACCACCAAGCGATAGTCGTTCTTCTTCCACTGCACGTGAACCGCCAGTGACAGCATCAGAATGAGCGGCGCGAAGAAGGACGAGACCAGGATGAAGGTCGACTGAGTTGACGCATACACGAACAGACCCGAGCAGATGACCAACACTTCGGAAGCCGCAGCTAACATGAACGGCAGTCGGAACGGCCTCACGAACAGATAGATGTGCATGGCGTACTCGGACAAGAGCTGCTCCTTTTGCAGGAAGAACGCTCTTGACGTAGCCAGCGAAAGCCCAACAAAGAGGACGACGATGAAGGCCAAGACGCCGAATATCCAGAGTGGCCACTCCTGGCCCAACACGGGCACGTGGACGGTTTGGTTTGCATCGGATCCAAAGGCGACGCCGAGTAGCAAGAAAAGGTAAAAGAACGACAGGAATCCCAATACAAATTCAGGTGTCGTCCCCACATCCAGTTGCTGCTGACGCTCCTTGTGTGGGTCATGGCCGAAGAACGTGACGCCTCCGGCCTCTTGCTTGTTCATGCGCGGCAAGTTCCGGCCGATGATCTCACGACACAAGGCAGTACCGAAGACCATGTACAGGAAGGCGTGGCCTAAAATCCAGTACTTACCGCAGGTTACTGCTAGACACACTCGCACTGAGCTCAGGAGGAACACCACGTAACCTGCGGACCAGTTGTGCGCGCTCTTGCCTCGATGCAGCATGTACACGCACAGATCCACGAGCACGAGGGTGATGGAGATTCCGACTGCTTGGGTGCCGTACTCCGTCCAGACACTCGCCACGATGCAGTAGATCAAGAGCGTGGCCAACGCACTCCAATAGTACCGGCGATTTATGCGTCTTCGAGTGGCAGCCGGCGTCACAAACGCGCTCTTGAGGATATCCGCGTACTCTAGACCTGGAATCGACTGCTCCACCGTGTAATGCTCCCCCAAAATGGCTGCAAACGCCGACTCCTTCCGCTTCCGCCTGGCTTTCACAGTCGTAGCAGCTCCGTCCTGTTGCTCTAGTGGGGCAGCGTTGCCTTTGGCGGTTGCGAGCTTCAGTCCGAGCGTGCCGAGGTTTTTAAACTTACTTTTGAGCGTCGTGACCTTCTTGGACGCGCCGACGACTGCGATGACTTGTTTGAGCGACTTAGACAGCTTGGAGTCGTTGGTGAAGGCGAGCCAAATGATGGGCATCATGTTGAGCGTGAGGAAGATGCACGACAGCGAGAAGAAGTCGAGGTCCTCCCCGCCGATATAAACTCTCGGGTCGGCAAACGTGGACGAGAAGAGGAACACGAACGCACCGAAGAACGCCAGTGCAAACAGGTGCAGCGTCCTCGCCGTCATGCGCCAACCCGTGCGCATCCACATTGCAGCTCCGTAGATGCCTCCAAGCGCGCCGATTCCCAGGAAGATAAGCCCAAAGCCGAAGGCTGGTGGTGTCACGAGTAGGATGGACGTCACTCCCCACGACACCAGCATCAACATCGGCGACGCGATCACGATCCTCACGGCCCAAGTGGCGTAGAACAAGTTGCGTCGGAACTGCGCGTTGTTCTCCCCGTCCCCATAGCAGAAGAAGAGCTGCGCGACAATGTCCGGCTTCTTGGCCTTCTTCACCTTCACTTTGCCTCTTGCTTTATCTTTTTCCTTTGGATCCGGTTTGTCCTTTGACTTTGCTGCGGTTAACTGCGCGCTCGCCGCAAGCGAGAGCTGTCCATTCGGGTTGACCACCTTCTCAGCCAGAAAAGATTCGACACGCTCGATACGCCAGTGCACGCGCTGTAGATACCGCAGGACGAGTATCATCACGAAGACGAAGGTTATCGCGTACTGGCCTGAAATCTCGAGGAACACCTTCCGAGAGAACTCCTTCGAGTAGACAGCTGGAACAACATCCAAGGTTTCGTGCGGGACGGCGACTATGAAGTACATGCTATAGGTAGTGTCCGTGTAGCTAAGCCGAACGTTCCCGCCCGTAATATTTCCTCGCCCCTCAGCATCTCCGTACTTGTTGATCGAATGAGGCGTGAAGTTCTGCGCCACAGCCTTGAAGTCTCCAGAGACATCCTTCAGCTGCGCGTACTCTCGAGTCTCGGCCCAACCGAACGTCGTGTTGAGCCACTCAGGCGATGAAGCTTCGTCGTCAACGCGCCGAAACACGAACAGCTGAGCAGCGAAGTTGAACGTCACGCGCGCGTACGGAGCGTAGCCGTACGTGTCAATCAAGGACGTGTTGCCTTTGTCGTTATTCGACGTACTCATCGAGCGGATCAGCAGTCCGCCTTGCGAGTCGGCCATTCGAAAGTAGCTTAGTAACCGAGTGTCCGAGCTGGAGTACACTCGTCCATACAGCCACGATTGCTCGTCAGGGAAGTAGCCGCCCATTCCTCCATTAACCAGAGCTCCCGATACGAAAACTTCCTCCGCTCGCATCTGGAACGGAACTGCAGTCATGCGGATGCGCATACACGGAGTGGATGAGGTCTCGTCGCTACAGTCCCCACTCTCGCTCAACGGGACCCAGAGCTCCTCCACGCACATGGGCTGCTCCGCCATTTGCCACGTCGAGCTGTCGTTCGTTGGCACCTTCTGCGTTAACGCTGAGAACGCCGAGCAGTAGATGGCGTTGAGCGTGACTTGGGCCACCAGGTCGTCGCCGAACTCGAGGCCGCTGTCCTTGTCCCAAACGCGGACGATGATCTCCGTCCCCGCGGGGCGGAAGCCGAAGTTTAGGTCGCGCATGAGGTCGTCCGCGCCGGTGCATCCGGGCTCCGTACACGGCGGCCACTTGGGGTTGAGCGAGTTCCAGACGACGCTGGACGTGCGGACGTTGTCGCCGATGAGCGCCTCGACGTACGGGTCCGTCACGAGTCCAGCGAGGCCAAAGCCATCGAGGTCGGGCAGGTTGCGCATTTCCACGATGGTGAGCGTGAGGTTGCCCCCCGCTGAGGCATACTGCCCGGCGTCGGGGCAGTTGCGGGCACCGCCAGTGCAGCTAAACGCCGTCAAACTCTTGGTCGTCGAGTAGCGCGGGTCCGGGTAGCCCACGCTCTCCGGCGTCTGCGCTGTCACCGCTGCGAGCTGCAGCAAACCGAACACCACGGCATTGTGCATATTCCACAGCGTCATTTGAGGGCTCACCGGATCAAGGCGGACATGGATGTGAGGGTCGCGCCGTTGGCCCGTTTCGAAAGTCTCCACGTAACGGAAGTCTGCACTGCAGGATCATGGGCCGCGCAGTACAGTACTCCACTCCATACTCATGCTGACGTCAGCATTGTTGCTGGACGCTCGCAATGCCTTCGTGTGTGTAGCTCAAATAGTGATACATTAATATGCTGTGGTCGCATTTAGATAGGGGGTGTTGCTGGGCTACGGCACGTCTGCCAGGGGCTTCTTGGCTAGCACGTAGTGATACGTCACAGGTGTCTGCTCGGTTCGGGTGAGCGTCGGGGTCCACTCGCGGCCGAAGTGCGTGCCGGGCTCGGCCAGCGCCGCCTGCACCTCCATCTCCCAGGGCAGCTCGCTGAACACGCCCTCGCGCACGTCCTCCTCGCCGTGCTTGAACAGCGGCTGGCCCAGCTCGGCCATGGACAGCTGGCTCACGTCCTTGAAGAACGCGATCTCGCCCTCCTGCAGGAACGCAGTGCCCGTCACGTCGCCCCACACTTCGCTGCCCGGGGCCGACAGGATGTCGATGGTCTTGAGCAGCGCCAGGTTGCTCGCGCGCGTGAGGTACATCATGATGCCCTCGAGCGCCCAGAAGGTGGGCACGTCCGGGTCGAAGCCGCTGGAGAGCAGGCTCTCCTCCCAGTTGAAGGCGTTGAGGTCGGCCACGATGCAGTCGTGGCGCTCGGCCAGCAGCGCCGGCTCGAGGTCCTTGAGCACCGCGCGCTTGTGCTCGAAGAGCTCGGCGCTCTGGTCGATCTCCAGCACGTGGCAGCCGCGCAGCGTCTCGAGGCGGAACACGCGCGTGTCCAGCCCGGCGCCCAACAGCACCACCTGGCGGATGCTCGGGTGCCGCTGCTCGAGCGCCTCGTCCAGGTAGCGGCCGCGCAGCGCGACGTAGTGCTCCGGGTGGGGCTGCTGCTGCTCCCACTTCTTGAGGCGCGGCGCGAGCTGCGGCGCGATCTCGCGCGTGAGCGGCTCGGCGAACTGGTCGCGGATGAGCGCGTCCTCGTGCGTGGCCTCGATGGCGCGCAGCAGCGCGTCCATGAAGCTCGTGAACTGGGCGAAGTCCTCGTTCTGCATCTTGCCAGCAGCAGCAGCAGAGGAAGAGGAAGAGGAGGACGAGGCGTGCGCGTCGAGAGGCTCGGAAACGAAAGTGGAGCTGGAGCTGGCCGCGCGCTCCATCGTGGCAAGTCGAGAAATGCGTCAGTGGCCAACGTCACGGCAGTGTGCTGGTCGACCGAGAGACCGGCCAGCGCTGCGTACGCCATGAGCGCAGCCGGTTGGTCCCTTCCAAGCGAGCTCCCGTCTCTAGCGCTGGGGCGGAGGGAGGGGGCGAGGTGGCGCCACTGGCATGCAGCCGCGCCGGCGCACGCATGCTCCCGGCAAGGGGAGAAACGCCGCGAGGCGCAAGAACCCCGGCCCGACATCGAGGCAGCTTCAACGCGGATGAAAAGATCGCTTCCAGGCCTGGAAGCGAGCGGTCTCCGATCAGCTGGCCGAGGTGGCGACAGAGTGGCCGGGGGCCGGCACGCCACCGCCTGCAAGCACGTCGGGACTCGTTGGGACCGAACACCTTGCGTTTGTTTACCGCCGTGTGGCCGGTCATCGACAATCGAGATGGCCCCGCCTCCAAGCAGAATAACCCGCCCTGGAGCCTCCAGGGCGGGAAAACGCCACAAGTGCGTGGCCGCCGGCTATGAGCAATTCGCTAGTAGCAAAACCAGGCCCGGCAAATCGTTGAACGCCGTCTGAGCGTGCCGTTCGCAGAAGGGTCTCGCGAGGACTCATCGGTCCGCTGAGGCTGGTCGCTGCCAGGCTGGGGATGCCGTCGGCAGAGCTGAATCAGTGTACGGCATCAGCAATGCTGTTCGGCGACGAGCACTTCGTCGCCGATGAGTGCGGCCCCGACCTGTCTGTCTGACTCAGGCGCTGAGCAACTTGCGAGCGCTGCTGGCCAACAGATTGGTCTCGATGAGGCATGGTACTGTAGCGCTTCAACTGTGTCTACCAACCATTTCGGCGAGCTTTTCACTTCAAGCACACACTCATATGGCTACGGCGGATCACTAAAGACGCATGGAACCGGCCCTCAGCACCTCCGCAGCGATTGCTGGACGCTCGGTCGCGCGCTGATGGAGATTGGATGGCGGAGAGCACGGAGCTCAGCTCGAACGCTTCCAGCAACGCGAAAACATGACTCGAGAGGCGGCGAAAACATCGTGAACCAAACGGGGCAGCAAAGCTCGCTCGCCATCACTGCGCCGACAGATGACAAAATGCAGCTGAAGCGATGATCTCGACACACGGCCCATCCAACACGGTGGAAGCAAGAGCTGGACACGAGTTTTGAGCTGCTCAGCGCAGCAAAGTGGACTTATCTGTGCGGTGTAGGCTAGTTTCCAGCAAGACGGTATCCGCTAAGCTTAAAAGTACTGCAGTGCTTGGTCATATAAATGTATTCTTTCTGCTGTTATTGCATGCAAGCTTATAAGAAGATTTCTCTCAGCCGTAGCGGTAGCTCGTAAACTCGAACAACCTACACTCCTGTCGCCGCCGTGTTGGGCTCCGCCACCTTTTGGCTGCTGTTGGTTTGGTCGACTAGAGGTGGCTGCTGCATGGCCATGGGCGTCGGCTGCAGCGTCACGACTGGGACAGCGGTGACGACGCCTGGAGCGTGGCAGTGCGGGTGGCGGCGGTTCCAGCGGCGCTGGCGCTTGCATTGGCGTCGGTACTCGCGCCGGAGCTCGCGGTCGTAGTCCTGCTGGCAGTCGCGCTTGTTGTTGCCGCCCAGACGACGCAGCAGACCGAGGAGAAGGAGGACGCCCATGACAGAGAGCGAGGTGGTAGTGGTGGTGGTGTGTTGTGTAGGAGGCTCGAGTGGTGGAAGGCGAAAGCCGAAGTGAGCGAGTGAAGGCGCCTTCAACCTGGCGGAAGTGAAGTCACCTGTGGTGACTTTGACTCGATTAAAGTATGTGTGCGTGAGCCGGGACAGCTGTAATCAGGCCGACGACGCGATTACGACAATCCACGCGAGCGTAGCCACTTCGCGCTATCCAGCGGCAATTCCAGTGGTGGAAGGCCAGCATATCCGATAGCTTGAGTCACCACGGAGCGTTGGGGGATCGACCCATGCTATGAAGAAAGCCCAACGAACTTCTGTGCTCGTGCACACCACAGTGTCTTGACAGCAGCAACAATATCCAACTTCACTATCAAATGAAGTCCGCAACCTTTTGATACGTTGTGTCAGTAGCGTGTACTTATCGAGGATAGCGTTGTCGGGCTTGACTACATCGCTGGAACAAGATGTGCAGGCAGCAGTTTATGCTACGCAGCTACGAGTTGGGCCGGAGGGGGAGGAGGCGGGGCTTGTAACCTTGACTCGTGGCTAGTTGAACCGGGACGACTTGAATACCAGGCGGTGCTGCTTGCAAGTTATTGCACTGGTCGTGGCTGGCCACGCAGCCTTTACCTTCGTCTTCGTCACTCTTGCCACGTCGACGCCGAAGGCAGTAGCGAACCAGAGGAATGAGGAGAAGAACGCACATCCAGCTGCGGTCGAAGGAGGCGAAGCTGCTGCGAGGAGAGGCGAAATTGAAAGTGAGATCAGCAGCAAACCTGTACTCTTCGATACTGTACCAACGATTCGTTGGCAACGAAGTAAACACACTGACAAAGCCGTTTGCATTTGCGTGCACAAACATTATTCCAACCCAGCGGCGACATGAGGCGTGGGCCAAGCCTGGTTTGAGAGGTTTGAGATATTGTGCCTTTCGGTCATTTTGCCGAGTCCTACGTAGGACTTTGGAGGTCAGTTAATCTGAGGTTGGTGGTCCCTAAATCTGAGATGCAAATCTCGGACGAGTCCGATGAGTGGTCTCCTCCGTTCAATGGACTCCGGTTGGAGTCCAAGTCAAGCAATCTTTGTTTGGGGAAGCAAGCAATGCCGGAACCCGCGAAGGCGAATGACGAAGACTGGAGTGTTTAACGTATCGACTGCATCGTGTTTTCTTAGGTTTATTCTGCGTTTGACATACACCGTATTAGAGTCAGCTCGTATGAAAGTCTTGCCACAAGACTTGGCAGGAGTCCTTCGTAAGACCTCAAACCCAGAATGCCGTGAAAATGGGCGACATTCGGGCTTTCGGCAGTTTGGAGGACCTGCGCAAGTGCTTCCATCGGACTAGCAATTCTTGGTCCTAATTCCCTACGAGGGACCTGCTAATCTGCTCCAATAACCTAGCCCCATCTTAGTAGGTAGCTGTTTGACACGTCCGATTTGCCAAAACAACTGAAAAGCACAATAAATGATCACTCATTAGGGGGAGTCGAACCTTAAAAATGGCGACAAAAATATCAACAGAGACGGGGCCGAATAATCAGCAACGTTCTGCACCAAAAATCAACAAATCAAAGAAGGGTACTCACTCAGTTTTCGCATGTAGTTGGTGAAAACAGCGAATTATCACTTCCTTTTTCGCCAGCACACGCAGGCTCTTGCTTAGTGCATATACATCTTCTTATATTCAGCCTTATACCTAGCAATGGCCGACTCCAACGTAACACTGTCCAGCAGCTCACAACGTCTCCATCATCGCGAGTTGACATCTAAAACTTGTTTATAGTGATAGTGAACATGTTTATTTGGAGAGGATTCGTGTGAAAACTTGCCTAAACACAGTTTCTAATTGAGGAGGGACTTCAAAAACAGCAGAAATTGTATCAGAGGTCGAGGAGGGAACAGCAAGCGGTACCACTTGAAGTTCGAAATCATCATGATGATTTTTCAAATCAACCACCTCCGGAGGTGGTTGATTTTGAGAATCAACAAGAGTTCGCCGAAATAATCAACATCAAATCGCCCTAAAAATCAGCACGTTTTTTTGCCAGGTTCGACTCCCCCTATTTGCTTCATGTAATTAGTCAACTTTAGTCGTCTTCTTTGCATCGTCTGCCTCCATTGTTGCGCTTGGGTGCAGCCAATTCTTATACGAGTACGCAGAGGCGCCGAGCATTTCCTCCAAGTGATGGTCGAGGCACTTCTCGATGCTGCAAAGGTGGCGAATGTATGCCAGTTTAGGCCACACGGCCCGCTGGCCCCCTTCGATGTAATGTGTCATGTCTTGCACAGTCGGGTTTAGGATAGCTTTGATGCCGATCGATTCGAGGAAGCGGAAGTCCGGGATAATCGTCACGTTTCCTGAAAAGTTTTGCTTGAAGTACGAGCTGAACTGGTGCCCGTAGATCTTGGGGAAGAGGCCCAAGAAGGCGAGCATCTTGAGTCGGTGGCGCACGTCCCCGGCAATAACGCTCTCTAACTTGTAGAAAATGCTCTTGCTGTTGCTTGGCTTGTCAATTTCATCGCTGACGAATGGCACCACGTGAGGGTTCACTTGTGACACGATGAAGTTTGTAACGTCAAAGCCACTTGCCATGGTTTCCATCGGTAGATCGTGCTGGATGCTGCCGTCCACCCACTCCTTGTTCAGCGAGGCATAAGGAACGATGTTGCCTTGGAAATCTCTTGCCATGAGCTGTTTCCCCTTCATAATACCAGGAAGAGAGCAGGATACGGCAACAGCACTCCAGAGAAGCACGTGGGGCGTATTGATGTGGCTCAGCAGCAGCTTCTTGGGTCCTTTGTGACCCGAGATATCGGACGCGGAGACGGTAATGCACACGTGGCGGCCAGTCTTCAAGAACGCGTCCTGGAACGTGTAGTACATCGTCTTCTCCTCGGCATTCATGGGCTCGCTGTAGTAGTGCTCCGTAGTGCGCTCAAATTCGGAAGAAGCCACCAGGAACCCAGTCTTCACGCAGTGTGCGAGCTGCTCGAGGAGCGGTGGGAACCAGCGGATGCCATACGAGAAATACCGCGTCGAGATGTCGCTCACTAAGACATCGTTCAACAGCTCTTCATTAGTCCTGCATGCGGTGAAAGCAGCAGTGATGGAGCCGCCAGAGGAGCCCGAGATGACGTTCGGGAGAACGTTGGCATCCAGAAGTGCGCGAATAACGCCCATATGATACATCGCAATGGAGCCCCCACCGCTCAGACACAAAGCCGTTGAGCCAAACGATTGCTTCATCCGCCGGAAGAAGCGCACCTTTTCCGCGTGAGGGAACTTGTCGTCGCTGATTCCGGCTAGCGTGTCCAACGCGCGGATCACCAGCGCATTATACTTCGTGATTGCTGTTTTCGTACCAGAGTTGCATTCCAGGTGAAGACTGGGTGAGTCTACTCCCAACTCGTCACGCATAACCACCGAAGCCACAATATAGCGCAGCTCGTCCACATTCACGTTGTCGCCAGCATCGAGCGCGCGCGTCAGCGTCTCTACATTTCGACGCATCTGCTCGAAGTCGCAGTGCTCCGTGTCCTCGGCGCGTATCGTCGTTTTCCAGTTGTCCTTGCCTTCCAACACGTCCAAATACTGCGCCATCTGCTTCCACTCTCGGTAGCTCTTGGTAGTCTTCATTAGGCGACGCAGCCTCTCGGCCTGCTTGTCTCGCACTCGAAAGAGCCCCACATACACGCTCCGCATGACCAAGAGCACCTGCTTCACCACCTTCACAGTGACATACAGCGACAGCGAGAGCACAATGCGCGCCATTTGATACAGCGCCACGATCCACTGCAAGATGATCACAACCTGCAGGCCGCAGAACCAGCCCACCCACTTGTATTTGCGCACGAGCAGTATGGCTGTGCCCATGATGGCCGCGACGCCCAAGGGACGCGCGACCACCTGCGGATCCGACAAGTCTTCGAGCTTGGTGTGTCGGAGACCTTGCACCACCGTCCAGAACTCCGCCAGCGCCTCATTCACCAGAGCCACAACGATTCCCCGACAGTACTGCACGCACTCGTCGATGTGTGCCGGCGCATCGGCCAGCCGCGCAACCAGCGCCTCGGCCAGATAGCTGCCCAGCCCAAGCACCACGACGATGCCGCCCACCACGTTGGCCACGAACTGCGCAAAGCGGTTCGAGTCCTTCCACTCCGCCTCCTCACGCAGCGCGCGCTGCAGATCCTCGAGACTGCGCTTCTTGTTCATCGGCGAGCTGCGCTGCATCTTGGCGGCGGCGCGCGGATCGCCCTGCCTGCCTGCTGGACGCTCGACGATTTTGAAACTGAGCTTTGCTCGCGGCCCCGTCTCGCGCCATAGGGCGGATCACTTGGGCTTTGTATGCCCCGAGCATGACAGGCAAATGTCATCTTCGATGTTGGTCGCTATCAACATGGCGACAAGGCATGAGACAGCAAGGGGTCTTTGAGCTCGCGGGCCCAGTCTTGATTCAAGATGGAGTCACGACGCTGCGGTAGGTTCGCCCTCGCGAGAGCGCCACGGAGTCGACGAGCCGGACGAGGCGCATGACGGTCTCCACCTGCGACGCGTCTGGCTGCTCGCCTGTGTCGGCGAAGTACGTTTTGAACGACCACAGCACGAGGTTGGACAGCTCCGTCAGCACGATCTCGCGGACCGTGGTCGAGTACACATCGACGGGGCTCCGGGGTTGACCTCCATCAGTTGCTGCTGTAGCACAGGCAACCCATGCGGCTTGAAGCTTTTCCAGCAGCTCAGCGTCTTGCTGCGTGTGGGTCTTCTGCGCAGCGACCTGCAATGCATTGTTGTTGATAACACCGACGTCCGGCTGCGGACGCTTTGTGCGTATCCTCTTGAGCATTGCATCTCTGTGAGCTGCCGCAGCAGGCGAAAGTTTCGGCGGAGAAGCGGGGAGTCGCTCGAGCAGCGCCTTGGCCTCACTATTCAACAGTCTCAGCATCTTCTTGGCCTGCAATACGCCACAACACAACCTATCAGTACCTTCATGATGAAGCAGCAGCACATATCACCACGCGGCTACCTGCTTCAAGCGGTGGTAGATCGGAAACACTGAGGCGAACGTCGGAGCGTCCGTGACCTGCTGGAACTTGGGCGAGTCCACCTCGACCTTCTCCAGCATGAACTCCGCCAGCCGCTGGTAGCCCCCTCTTAGTCTCGCCACTTGGCTGGGGAATGACACTTGAATGCGAGCCACGGGCGCGTCCATCCTGCCCCCTGCCCCCAGCTTCTGCTGCTGCTGCTGCTGCTGCAGGATGAGCTGCCTCCTCTTCGAGCTCAGCGACAGGTGCTCGCTCATCTTGCAGCAGAAGGCGAAGCGCGTGGACGACTCCAACTCCTTCAGCCTCAGATCCTCCAGCTGCGTCTCCAGCGCCTTCAACTTGCGCGGATACTCGAGTCTAACGGCCGGCGGCGCCTCCGTCTTGGGCTCCACCGCCGTCTCCTGCGGCTGCTGCGCCGCCCGCGTGGCCCTGGCGACGGCCAGAATGCCCTGTAGCTGCGTATCTTCGGCGTCCGGAGGCTGCGCGTGGTCTTCTTCACTCTCTTGGTCGCTGTCGCTCCCTCCGGCGACTAATTCCGCGCGAACTTTGCGCGCGCGGCGGATGGCGTCCTGGATCGACTGCTCCAGCGCCGACGTCTCCGCTTGCTGGGCCACTTTCTGATCGACGGCGGAGGTTTCCAGACTGCGGATGAACGCGCACACGCGCTCGAGTGTCTCGCATTGCCGCTGCAGCGCCAGCGAGCGCAGACGCACGTCGGCGTCGACGCTCGAGGTCTTGCGCAGCAGCTCGGCCAGGACGACGTCCCGGTCAGCCATTAGCGAATGTATGTCACTGGGATTCTGCCAATCACGATCACCCACGATGTGATTGGTCAAAGGGCTTCAAGTTGCCTTTTGTATTAGGAATGACGCCAAGACCACCGCACCCCGCAGCACGGGGAAAGCTTGCTGCAGAGATTAACCCGCCCTGTGCTTTACAGTACTACATGTGTAGAGGCAGAAGAGAATGTATCGGTCACAAAATGCGCAACTGGCCTCAAAAACCTGAAGAAGCGTCAGGCGACCATCGCTCGCTTGCCGCTCGCAGCTCAATCGTCAATGAACCGTTGATGTCTGTACGACACGTATGCCACGAAATCAGTCTGGACGGGACAATGTTCTCGCGCAGCGCTGCATGCAGAATCTTTTTTCAGCCATTAACCAGTGGCTCGAGTTGTCCTTGCGCGCGTCAATCAACGTAGTGTTGGTCTCGGAACCAGAAAAAGAAAAACCCTGTGCCGACGAAAATTACATGTTGGACAGCGCCACTGCACTGGCTGACGGCGAAAGCCACCGAGCTTGTAGATACATAGCAGAGTGTTTGCCATCCATAATCCCAAGCCAACCCGGAGATTTGCTCTTTGACTGTGCACGCCGCGTCGTTTTTTTACCGCCGCGAAGCGGCTGGTTATATTCGCAACACTGTTTCGTTCCGTTCTCGCGCGCGCTTCAAGAAGAGGACAGACAGATTGGCACTTTCACTGGAGCGCCGAGCTCGAAAGCGCGGACCCACTCGCTCACTCGCAACTCGCGGTCGCCACGCAAGTCCTCGGCCTGTTGTCTTGCTGCTTCTTCCGTGTTCGCTCCCAGTTGCAAAGACGCAGCGGACGCACAACCGTCGAGCCAACAACAAACACCCCCTCGCAATCCGATGAGCCGGCAAGAAGCCGAAGGCGACGCGCCTCGTGCGCGCGCGAACGCCGCTCGAGGTGAGCTCATGCGAGCTATTATGCAGTACCGTAAGAGTAGGGCCGCGCACGCATCAGGCGTCTCCCCCCAAGTACAGTCGGCGCGACGCCCTCCAGCTTTTTCGTTAGCGTCGCCTCACACTCCCCCACAGAGCGATGACCACGGATGTGTCTGCGTGTGTGGCTTGTGTGTCGTGTGTAGGCCAGCAGCCGCTCGCTGATGTTAATACCAATTCGCAAGGAAGTTACGCTGTTCGCGACAGCCAGGTGGGTGGAATATGATACATACCTCGTGTATTCTCTCGGCTGGGCTGGGCGCCATAGGGTTCTCCACGGTTTAACACACAACGCTGCTGCCCTGCCGCTTTATAATAGATGCGCGCGCCGGCAGCGCCGAGCGTCGGTGCTAGGCCCGCCCCAGGCCAGGAACCGGCTGGGAGCGGGGTGGACCGAAACTGGGGCGCCCGGATCCGCGCGTCCATCGCGCGCTTGATGGAGATCGACGGCCTCTGCTTGAACCCGGAGAGCTACACCAAGGCAGCCGAGAAGAGGAAGGCTAGAGAGGAGGAGCAGGCCTTCCATGCGCGCGTGGACGAGCTGAAAGAGGCAACGGACACCGCTCACAAAGAGTACTGGAACAGGCTGCGAGACGTGTATTCGGCCTCGACAGCAAAGAAAATGAGGCTCACGTCGAACGAGCCGCCGCCGCCCACCGTGGCGCCGTCGTGGCAGCGTAGGAATGAGCACGAAGCCTTGGACACATTAGCTGTGGCTGCTTCTAGCGAACAGTTGAATCCCAACGAGCTCGCGCCGCCTACCGCCAAAACGCCAAAGCCCAGCAGTCGGCGGCACCACGGGCTGCCCTCAGGAGCAGGTGGGTCCACTCTTTCGCCGGTAATTAAGGTACTCAGTCAACTGACGGTTTTGCTGTCTCCATCAGGGACCAAGCAAAACCCGGTGCAAGTACACGACCCAGCGCTTGCGAAGGCCGTTGACAAGCTCGCAGACAAGCTGGGAGAGCTCCTCGGTCAGCTGCAAGCCACTTCGGATGCGGCAGCGGCCGAGCCGATTCTGGCTGCCGCTGCGACAATCGCTCTGGAGGCGACGGAAATGCGTCGTCGCGAGGAAGTGGCTTTGACGCGCATGGTGGAGATCGAGGAGCACCGGCAGCAGATTATGCTGGGGCTGCTCGAGTACGCAAAGCGCAAGGAGCAGCGGGAAATGGACGGTGAAGGAAGCAAAGAAGGCGCCGGCAGTGCACCCGACGCGCGAGACAGCCCGCCGCCGCCTCAAAATGCCGAGGAACAGCAATAGTCCTCGCAAGCATTGTGCTGTAATAAAGTGCGTTCTGCGCGTCATGCCATGTCAGGAGATGCCAGGGTCAAGTGCTTGACGGAAATGTCGAACAGCAAAAGGCCAATTGGGCACACCGCAGCGGCTGGAAACGGGAACGCAAATACATTGCCGTTATACGCTTGAGAAGTAGCCACAAAAATCCTAACGAACTGTTATCATAGCTCTGAACGAGTCAAGCTACAGGTAAGGCGACCAACCCACTGGGAGTATCTCATGTTCAACAACCTAAGAGCAAAACCAATTTTAATTTAATAATTAAAATTGCTTTTAAGCGGTCCTTAAAAGGACCACCACTCGGCTAGCCTTCGAGCACGTTGCGATGCCTTTTTTTTACACGTTATCACGACAAGGTGGATAGCATGCCCACACAGGTCGATCGCACCGTATAAGCATAATATCACCGGAAGTGAATCTCACGCCATCGGTGGTGGCTTGAGTCGCATTCGTGTTTTGGGTGGAGCTTTCTTGAAAACAATTAAAAATTGTGTCATTACAGTTTAAACACACAATTGAATTTAAGCCAATTACTTATATTTGATTTAAAATTGAATTTTGATGTTTGATTCAACACAATTGCTCTTTTGTTGAGCTAAAAAACTTCTGCATGGCCGACGCCGACGCCAAGACCGAGGACGTCGATATGGCGCTGCCGAGCGCGTCGCAGGACACGGAGGACGAGGACGAGAGCAAGTCGCTCGTGGCTCGGCACGGAGACGTGACGACGGACGACGACCCGCAGGAGAGCACGGCGGACGAGGAGGAGGAGGAGGAGGACGAAGACGAAGACGACGACGTGGACAGCGACGATGAGAAGGTCGAGCTCTCGGACAGCGCCTCCATGCTGCGCATGATGCAGAGTCTGCCGGAGGCTGAGGCCCGACGCCACGAGCAGTTCCGCCGCTCGCACTTCGAGCGCGGCGCCGTCAAGCGGGTAACAGAACCATAGGTCGCAGCCGTTCTGAGGCTGCTCCCAGACAGCTACCTAACACGGTGTTGATGCGTGTATTATTTACTGCTGCAGTGCATGGCGCAGGCTATCCACGAGTGCTCGGCCACGGACAAGAAGGCGCCCAGCGTCACCAACGTGATGGCCATCGTCATGGCCGGCATGACCAAGGTCTTTGTCGGGGAGATCACGGCCGAGGCGCGACGGATCATGGAGAAGAACGGCGAGACGGGGCCGATCCGGCCGCGCCACCTGCGCGAGGCGCACCGCAAGTTCTACAAGCGCCGCCCGCTCGCCCGCGGCCGCAATATGCGGAGACTGTTCCGGTAGGGCTGATATCATGCCAACCAACGTGTAAGCGAAGACCTGCTGTGGTTCACATGTCTATTTAGGCGTCATAAGCATCTATCGTGGCCGCTTCTCCTCGCTCAAAAGGCGGTCTTCCTCTCCGGCGTCTTCGTCGTCATTTACTTCGCCGTCTTCTTTGTAGGTGCCGTAGCCGTCGCCACCGACGTGACGAGGCGAGGCGAAGGGGGACATGGCGTTGACGCTGTCCTTACTGCCGCGGCGGTGGCCAGCAGCTGCAGCAGGGATAGTTGACAGCGACGAGGAAGCAGACATGAGCTGCGATGACGGCACGCGTCCAGGCGACTCCGGATAGTAGTAGTCCTCCTCGCCCTCGGCGAACATGGACAGCAGCCACTGATCCTTCAGTATCTGGCTGATCTCCGGGAACGAAGGACGCATGTCCGGGTTTTGATGCCAGCACGAGCGCATGAGCCGAGCTAGTGCAGGCGGGCAGTTGATCGGAATCACAGGTCGAAGTCCGTTCACCACTGCTGTCATCTACAAAACACATCAATGAGTTAGTATTGAAACACACCACAGGGTATCCAGAGCGCAGCATACCAGTTGGAACGGGTTCATGCCTTGGTCGCCGTAGGGCTTGCTACGGGACCAGGTCGAGTACAGCAAAATACCGAAGGAGTACACGTCACCCTTGGTAGAGCATTGGATGCCACCCATGGTAGCCATCTCGGGCGCCATGTAACTGGGCGTGCCAACCTCTGCTGTCATGGTTGTAGCATCAGGCTCAATAAGTCTCGAGAGGCCGAAGTCGCAAATATTCACGTCGTCCGTCTCGGAAATAAGCACATTCGCCGGCTTCAAATCGCGATGTACCACATTTCGACTGTGCAGGAAGCCCATGCCGCTAACGATCTGGTTGATGACCTTCATAAAGACAGCTTCCCCCAGAGGGCCTTTAGCTGCTGGGTTCTCGATGAGCCCGCTCAACGATTTCGGACAAAAGTCTGTCACGATGTACAACACACGGTTGTAGTAGCTCACTCCATAAAAGCGCACAACGTTCGGGTGGTGCAGGCGACTTAGGATGCTGACTTCACGTCGGAAGAAACTCTGGAAGTACTCTTGACCTGTCACGGGGCTGTACAGACGCTTGACGGCCACCACCGAGCTGCCACCGCCACTGTGAAGCAGACTTCGGAATACCTGGCCAGACGTTCCATTGCCTACCTCGCACTGCAAGGAGAGCGAGTCGAACGGGATAAGCCAGTCACGGCTGTCATTGGAGACAAAGTACTCCAGATCTGCCATGTCCGAAATTTCGACATATTCCGACTGCGAGAAACTATTTCCACGGTTTAGGAATGGCCCCTGTAATGCGTGTGGCTGGCGAGCAAGACGGCGCATCGTACACATGCAGAACCCCAACGTTGACAGTGCAATGGTGCCCAGGATAGCCACCATCGCAAACGGAAAATCGTACGATTCACAGCCATCGCCGCCGTAGCGAGCATCGCAGTGACATACAGCTTGAGTGCCTGACATGACGCATTGACCGTGACCGCTGCAAGCAACTTCGCTCTCCATGTACCCAGGGCACAACTGACAGGTCGGTCCGATATATCCTTCCGCGCACGTAGTGCACGGGAGCTTCCCTTCAAGTTTCCAGCCCTCGTGACATATACACTCGCCGGTGCCGTTGCGCCCACTCGAGCACGTGCCATGACCGCAATCCTGCGGACACTGCTGGCAATTTTCACCGAAAAAGCCCTCCTCGCAGTCGTAACAGTCTGTGAGGGAGTCCCAGCCTCGGTGGCAATTGCACTTGCCTGATCCGTGCAAGCCATCGTCACAACGCCCTTCGCCACACTTACGACAAGCCACGCAGGTCTCCCCATAGTAGCCGCTCATGCACCCCACGCAGTTGTTTGAGTCGGACCATCCAACATCGCAGATGCATCGGCCGTCACCATCTACTCCCGAGTTGCAGTGCCCATGCGGGGCACAAATTGGGCATGATCTGCAGTGAGCGCCGAAGTGCTGCGGTGCACACTGGCATGACATCGTCATGGGATTAAAGTCCCAGCCGTCGTCACACAGCGAGCATCGGCTTTCAGGGGTGTAACCTTCGTCGCAAATGCATGTTCCGTCACCAGCATTGGTATCGTTGCAGCGACCATGGTTGTTACACGTGCGGCACGGCGTGCACGACGGCCCATAAAATCCATCTTCGCACTCAAGACATCGAGACTCCGACGAAAACCCTTCCGAACACACACATTCGCCATCGCCAAGAAGACCGTAGTTGCACTTGCCACCGTCGCATGGCTTACATGGCTGGCAGGTTGGTCCGAAAAAGGAGCCCATGCATTCCATGCAGTTATTGTCCGCGTCAAAGCCTACAGCGCATGAGCAGCGGCCGCTGCCCATCAAACCATCGTCGCAGTTTCCGTGAGGGAAGTTGCAGTCGGGGCATCGCTTGCATTTCTCCCCAAAGAAGCCAGGCAAGCAAGTGGCACATCGGGTGTCCGGGTCAAATCCTTCCGGGCAGATACATTTGCCTGTGCCCATTAATCCCGAGTCACAGTGACCGTCGTTAAGGCACGGCTCACACGTTCGCTTGCACTCTGCACCAAAAAATCCGCTAGCACAGTCCCGGCAGTCTGGAGCGGCATATCCATTTCTGCAACAGCCATTCACCAAAGCAGAAAAAAAGTTAGTCGCTATCCACCAACATATTGTAAATACGCTGGTGCATTCGTCGTACACGCATGTGCAGGTACGCGGGCTCATATCATTTGCAGCGCATCCGCACTCGCCGTTGCCAAAGCAAGCCGTGAGCGATGCGCCATCCCAGCCGGGACACTCTGTATAGTTGGCAATCGAATAATTCGCACAGTCAACATCGCCATCTTCCTCATCGCGCTAGCTAGCGTCGCCTCACCCGCATTCGACGTGCCGTACCTGAATTATCCTGCGCCTCTAGATAAATATTGATCTCCGCGTAGCCTGCAATCGAGACGCCCACCATGGAACAAACAGGAAAATCTTCATGGGGGCCCTTCCAGTTGAAGTGGATGGAAATCGGCAGGTCGTCGCTCGTGATCTCGGGAATAATGGACTTCCGCCCTTCAGGGCCAATAATGCCGTTGCCCCAGGGCGGAAAAATGTTGAACATGTCGTTGCAGTGCGGGTAGTTCGCCATCAAATACGCCTGCGACGGGTGCACGGGGCTCGCCAGCATCTCCACGCCATTGATAAGGAGACTGTCCACTGATCCTCGTCCACCTGCAGGTGACTCCCAGTCAATCTGCTTCACGGCTACCGATAAATCTGCCTGCAGCAATTGGCAGCAGTAGAAGAGGAAGAAACAATATGAGTCTCCAATATCCAACTCCAGCGCGCTTACGTCACGCTAGTGCCGTACCTTGCACACGGTCTGCTCCGTGAGTTTAAGCCCTGCAAAGTGCACCGGCTCCAGCGGCGAGAACACGCACGAGTTGTTGGCCCAGCCCAGACACCGCGCGATGACCTGCGTCTGCTGCACCAAGGCCTGGACGCCGGAGGACGCTGCAGCGATTGCAGTCCACAGGACGGCCACGTAGTAGTAGACCAACCAGCTCCCGATCCGCTGCCTCCTAATACGCATCCTGCCGTCCTGGCCCGGCCTCCTGCCCATCCTGCCATCCTGGTGTGTCATGCTGCGCCAGCCTAGCCAGAGTCTCCGTCCCCAGGGCCCGCAGCCGCTGCTCGTGCTGCGCCGCGCCGGTGGACGTGTTGAAGAGATGCCTCGCGATCTCAGCGCTTCGGTCCGTCGGAGGCGCTGCCTGCCTGCTGCCTGCTGCGAACCGGCCGACCTGCCCCTGCCCGCCTGCGTGCCTGTTGCCTGCCTGGAGAGAAGACGCTCGGCGCGCGACCAGCAGCTGAGCGGAGCTGAGTCTGACGCGATCGATCGCTGCAGTGCGGAGAAAGAGAGGAGATGGATGCAGGCAGGAGCTCTTTCGGGCCGAACCAGATCGCATTATGGAAGTCGTAAAAAGGGCCTACCCGACTATAGCGATGGCGAGTGCTACCAACAGCTGAGAGTACCAGGGCAATATGATTGTTTATCAAGATATATAATTTTGATATTCTTGATAACTAATACTATAGCAGAAAACGATTTTGCATACAATATTGCAGGTAGCCTTCTAAATTTCGTTTTTACGGGGCTTTTTACGGATCGCCCGACTTTTTACGGAGCTCAAGACCACTTCAACACCTGCAGCCAAGCCCGAGCGAGGCACCAAGATGGTCGGTCGGTCTGTGGACGAATGAAGGCGAGACCCTGCAGGAAAATTCCAGTGCGGTGACAGTGGTCACAGATTTGCGGGCGGCTTCAACATGCGAGCCTCTCGCCTTGCGGCGCCGCCGTCCATTTAGCGCTGATCGACGGACCCGGCGGGCGGCTTCTCGGAGCGGGCGGGCGGCGATGGGGCTCGAGCGATGTCGCCAGTCGACGATAATACAGGTACAGGTGAGTCAGACCGTCGGACGACGTGACACTTTTACTTGCAAGGTTCAAGGCGGCTAAGACGACAACAATGCGTCGACCCGAGTCGCAACGGAGCTTGCGCGTGTCGGGCATTGCGCAGTCCGGCTGATTTCCGCGAACGGAGTGCTGGCTCGGGCTGTTATGGATAATTGAGCTGGGGTTTGCGAGTCGCTTTGACGCACATGTTGAAGCTTGCTGTCGACGAATTTATACGAGTCGAGAAATTATCTTCAAGGCTGTGCTGCGTGCACTGCAGCACGCTAAAGAATGCAAGAGTGAGAGAGTACGGGTGTATTGTGTTCTATTGTGATCAGCTTATGATACTTGCGCTGCGGCGCATTTGTACAGGGCTCTTAGCCCGTGGGTTATTTTATGTTTCTATGGTTTTCTAATGTGTTTCTCTTCATCTCGACCACCCCCTTCTGGCTACGGCTCATGCCAGGTCGAGGAGCATGTCGAAGCACTCGTCGGAGATGTCGCGGATGCGCTTGTTCCAGTGGGAGGTGGCGTTCTCGTGGAGAGCGGAGGCGATCTTCTCGCGCAGAGCCTGGTCGCAGGATAAGTACACGCTCATGAGCTGGAAGTTGCCGCACATGTTGCACGCCTCCTGGGCCACCAGGAAGTGCGTGGACCGGATGCAGGCTTGAATACGCGTGAAGGCGCGGTGCACCACATCAGGGGGGAACATGAGCCCGATCTGCATGAACTGCGAGAGCAGCCCCGCCGTGAACCGCACGAAGAACAGTTGCAGCTGCACGTTGCGTTGAGGCCACTTGAGCAGCATCCAGCGGAGGAACTCCTCGCCGTGCATCGGAGAGAACGCAGCCATCCGGTTCACCAGGTCGCCCATAGCGCGGTACGTCGTAGCCTCTGCGGAGTCACCGCACTCGGCGAACTTTTCCAGCTGATTGCGGTTGGAATCTGCGCTGCCGCTGCCTCCAGGCGAGCTTCGAACAAGCAACCGGATCGCGCGCATGATCTGGCTGCATAGTCCGCCGATGGTGTCGCTGATCTGCTCGTCGCTGCTGCCGAAGGTTTCCAGGTTGTACCGCGCGTCCCTCTCAATGACATCCATTGCAACGTTCAAAAATGCAAGCATGCCCTTGACAGTGACGAGGTTCTTGCCCGAGTTGCGGGGCTCAATGTCTGACAGACCTTGGTGCTGGAAGATGGCGAGGGAAGCAGACGCCGCTGCTGCCAAAATACAGGGGCGCATCTCTGGAATTGTGCGAAAGATCGCGTTCATCACGGCGAAGCGGTCGTACTGGGCCAGCACGTCCAGCTTGACCATGTTCAGCATCTCGTGAGCGATCCATTGCGGCGTAAAGAACATCCCCTGTAGGCTCTCCGCAGATGTCCCTCGAGCAGGCATCTCCTTCACCGAGGCGTCCGAACCGAAGAGCATGGTCGTGAGCGCAGCCTGAAACTTGAGCAGATCGATGTCCAGGGCGCCGCTCTTGGGCTTGCGGGCGGCCGGAGCATCGACAATGTCGTCCTCGTCAAAGTGGAAGACGTCCTCGTGCTGTCCGCCGCCGAGCAGCAGCAAATTCAGCTCCTGGGTCACTTCCACGTCGGGGAACAGCAGACACATGAGCTCCAGCACGACTTCGTCGGGGTTGAGCGCGTCCACGACGTTGGCGCGCTTGCTCTCGTGTTTGCGGCGTCCCACGCGGCGCTTGAACTTGCGCTTGGGGGTGCCCTCGGCGACCATCTCGGGGGACGACCCCAGCTCGTCGAAGTTGTCGTGGCTCAGCAACTGGCCCGACTCGTTGAAGATGCGCGCGCTCTCAAACAGCGTCATGGGCCGCGCCTCTCGCCTGTGCTCGTCGTGTCGTCCTGTGTAGGCCGTGGACGGCGCCGACGACGCGAGCGTCAGCGAGTCCATGGCGTCGTCCAGAAGCTCGTCGTCGGGAGCCGCCATGGCCGGGGGCCACGACGTCGCGGAGGGCCCGGAGCGGCTCAGCTGTGACGCGTTGCCGCGCGGGGCTCCGGTGGCCTGCCGCATTTGCGCGGGGATGCTGCGGTGCGCGCTCTTGGTGGGCGTGGGCAGCCACGCGTCGCGCTCGAGGCGCATGACATCGGCGCGGTGCTGGTGGTGCGCGTGGTGCTTGAAGCGCGGCTCGGCGCGCCCCTCAGCGGAGCGACGACCGGCGTCGCGCTGCAGGTGCTTGAGCTTGCGCTGCAGCTTCCAGTCCGTCTCCTGCAGGACGCGCGGCGACTGCGGTGGGGGCGCGGGCGAGGTGTCGGCGGCGGGGGACATTGTGGCGGCTGCGGGGTGCGCGGGGGCAACGGGCAGCGTCAGATCGGCGCGGGGTGCTGACTTGGGAGGAAACGGTAGAATGGCGACGTCAGCAAGACGACCGAGTGCAAGTCGACGGTTTGCGTGCCGATGTGTCAACTCGCTCACTTGGACTTTGTATGCCTCGACCGCGTTTCTGTCCGTCGTTCCGAATGGATTCCGTGTTTGGGCGGTATGCGACGCAAAATAGGGAACGTGGGTACATGTATTGGGTGCTCGGCTCAACCCTACCGCAGCTAGAATTCAAACTTGAAATTGCGCGCGAGCAGAATCCCCAGATTCCCGCGAAACGACCGCCGCCTCCGGCCGGCCAGGGCGCAGCTGTGGAGGAAGATACATTTCTTCCCTACGGACGCAGTTCTTGCGTTGCGCGGCGGACAACGCGATCTTTCCGTCGTTGTCGGTATTGAAGCCATCAGCGGCGGACGGCGCCGCGAGGCCGGTCTCTGCGTGGCCGTGAACAGCGCCGCGAGCAACGTTCTCCTGGCGCAGCGGCGAGATGGCTCCCCGTCCCCGCGAAGCCTGCAGAGCGCGGCGGCTGTGACATCGCCGACGTGGTGGGCCAGCCCGGTTTTTGTGGCGACGTCGCCGATTGCTTTTTGCAGCAGATCCGCTTCAACTTGCGTGCAGCCGTTTCTTCCAGCAGTCGAGCATAAGATTCCGCGTGAATCCCCAGATACGACGACCACGCTGGACAAGCGCGTTGGTTGGCGAGGACGCTGCCTTGAGCCCGTAGCCGCAGCTGCGGGGTCAAGCATCGATATACAATATGTACAGGTTTCACCAGCGTTGTGGTGTCTATATGTATTTGATCGCCGCTTTTTTAGAAGAAAAAGAAAAGAGCGACCCGAGCAGCTCCTAATACAATACCCATCCAAATAGGACAACCTTGAACAAGGTATAATATCGCGTATATTATTGTGCCTTTCACGTATTTTGGCGGGTGAGCTGTTAATTCAGGCGGAATTAGAGTCATAAAAGGGCGATCAATGCTTACTTAGTGCCAATTCTGCCGAAGATTGTAAGCGCTTCCCCTAACATCGCGATCAGCATTTGAGAGCCAATCGACGGAGATACGAGCAGAATGGCATGGATTGGCGGGTAGGAAACCGCCAATCGCTCTGTTTCCGCCTAACGCAGGCTTGGATTAGCTTATTCCGCCTTAACTCGGCCCCACCATCGCCGCTCCTAATTCGGCCACGGAGGGACGACCCGGAATTAACATGGGAATTAGCTAAATGGGGGCGTAATTAAGGTCGATAAGGGATTAGAGTTATGCCAGAATTATCACGGCAGAATAAGTGAAAGGCACAATATAATACATAAATAATACCATTCCCCATAAAAAATCAAGTATACAAGTAACGTCTTCCGATTAGTATACTCTCCGATTATATGACCCTGTTTTCAGGGTATACTATTGCTATAATACCGGTACACTATTCGGAAGAATCCGTTAGAATCTTTCTATGAGAGAAAACTAGGGCCCCGCGAAGGCTGGGATAGTATAAACATCATCTTTTATTTTTGGGGAAATTGTGTTTCGGGTCCGTTACTGTATTTTAAAATACCTTACCGACACCCGAATGTTTTACCAGTATTTACGGTAATCTCTATATATGAGCCTTCAGCAACTAAAGCCGCCTTAATGTTACTCTAAAATCACCATCTCCAATGCTAGTTCAAGTCACCCATACAAATTCCTATTCACCCGTAGAACCTTAAAGTCGCCCCTACAAATTCCAAGTTGAGGTTAAAGCTTGAAGTCGTATAAGTTTTCAGTTGTATTTAGTACTTAAAGTTGTCGCCATAAAATGGCGGCACCAGCAGGCCGCCATCACAATTAACACTTTCATATCTTATTTAAGTCACCACTGTGAGGTAGCTCATTCAAACTGCTAGAATCTCACAAAATGCGGCTGTGAACTAGAATTCCTACAGTAGTATATTGTTGCCATGATTGGTATGGAAATTGCTAGAACTGACAAAGCTATTTGAGGTTGATACTCTTGTAGATTACCGAGCGAAGGGTTTTGAACTAGCTATCTCATAACGCTGCTGATCTACTCTAAGTGGTTCTTATCAGTCTTTCGATTTGGGTCACATCATCAGCGCGAATGACAGAGGAACGAGAATTACACAATGTCACATCCAAAGAACCCGCAAAATGTATCGATAGCGACTAGTGGTCCAATCATAGTGCGGAACGCGAACTTTGCCAGTACTAAACCATCATTCCCCATTTGTGACCCTAGACAACGACAATGGTTAAATGCGGCTACTTCCCCGCCTGCTCCGCTACTTTCAAGCGTACGACGCTGAAGGACACCCATGTTTCGAAACATCATGGAGGTGCTGAACGCATTTTTTGCGACGAGTGCGCCGATGAGCTTCGCTTTTTCCGTAAGTCAACACTCGTTGACCAACCACATAGGGACCACACCCTGCTGTCCTGCCCCAAGGCTGGGTGCGGGGTTATGGTTCAACCTTCGAACATTGCTCGGCATCAGACCCCCCCCCCCAGGGCCGCGACCTTAGCGTGGAGAACGAGGAGGATCACCCACAACCATTTGAGCCTGCTGAGACGCTTTACCGCCCCGAGTCAGACGAAAGCGTATGCCGGGCATCGCACCGTGCAGTACCAGCTGACCTGATGGTCGGGCGCTGTCAGGCCTTCCTTCTCTGGTGCAAAGACCCCAACTCGCTCGGCAACCACAACCTAGGGGTGAACTCCAACGACCACGAGGCCAAGTTTCGCACCGTATTTGGCATGATGGGTGACCACTTCAAGTTGTCTCGCCTGCGGGGTCATGTCTGGCGTGAATGGCTCTGGGCGCGACCTCCTCAAGTTCTTTGCACCTGAGCCTTTCGACGGGTTCATGCGATGGATTGGGAAGAGGAAGGGGGTAGTGACCTGTCAGCCACCCACGAGGTACAACCAGCTGAAGCCACTCGTCAATTTCCTCCAATTCCTCGTGGAGATCAAAGGCTTTTATTTTTAAAGAGATCCTTTAAGATGGCCAAGGTCACCTCGATCGAGGTATCAAAACAGCGGCGAGCCGACCAAAATTACGAGGCAAGGCCATTCGTATCGATAATATGCCCTACCGCACCTATTTCTCAGCCTGCACCTCAGACCTGCATGTCGAATCACGGACTTCTGGGAACCGTGCAGGATCTCATCACGTTTGCCAACACACATTGGTACATAAATATGACCCTCGTTCTCTACTGCATCCGCTCGTTAGTCGTGGGAAACATTGACACTGACCTGGGACGCTCTCCGCGGCATTTTCAGCGCACGTGGTACGAGGGCAAGCACCTCTTCGGCTCAGCGTTGTAGAATGAACGTATCTCGCATAGCCGTCATTGGTGTGGAGGGGGTCCAATTCCACGGAGCTGAAAACTCTGGTGTATCAGCGGCAGCAGGCTTCAAAACCGCATATGCCTCCAAGAAAATCGCCCGTATTAATTGTAGTTGTACTGGTGTGGAGACAATCAATGCAACTTTTTGTTGAGTACGCTACTACTTGTGGCCACCTCGCCTAGACGCATCTAGGGCCCCGACCACCCGGGCCTGGTAGCTACAGAGCCACCCCGGCCTGCTCACTACAGCGCATACCTAGGTATCCTTCCTATATCCGTTCTACCTGCTAAGTACGCTACTACTAGTGGCCCACCCGTATTACAGGTTCTTCACCCTAACCGGTGGGCAGAGTCAGACACTTTATATATGGTCCAAGCATAGTGCGGAACGCGAACTTTGCCAGTACTAAACCATCATTCCCCATTTGTGACCCTAGACAACGACAATGGTTAAATGCGGCTACTTCCCCACCTGCTCCGCTACTTTCAAGCGTACGACGCTGAAGGACACCCATGTTTCGAAACATCATGGAGGTGCTGAACGCATTTTTTGCGACGAGTGCGCCGATGAGCTTCGCTTTTTCCGTAAGTCGACACTCGTTGACCAACCACATAGGGACCACACCCTGCTGTCCTGCCCCAAGGCTGGGTGCGGGGTTATGGTTCAACCTTCGAACATTGCTCGGCATCAGACCCCCCCCAGGGCCGCGACCTTAGCGTGGAGAACGAGGAGGATCACCCACAACCATTTGAGCCTGCTGAGACGCTTTACCGCCCCGAGTCAGACGAAAGCGTATGCCGGGCATCGCACCGTGCAGTACCAGCTCGGGCGCTGTCAGGCCTTCCTTCTCTGGTGCAAAGACCCCAACTCGCTCGGCAACCACAACCTAGGGGTGAACTCCAACGACCACGAGGCCAAGTTTCGCACCGTATTTGGCATGATGGGTGACCACTTCAAGTTGTCTCGCCTGCGGGGTCATGTCTGGCGTGAATGGCTCTGGGCGTGACCTCCTCAAGTTCTTTGCACCTGAGCCTTTCGACGGGTTCATGCGATGGATTGGGAAGAGGAAGGGGGTAGTGACCTGTCAGCCACCCACGAGGTACAACCAGCTGAAGCCACTCGTCAATTTCCTCCAATTCCTCGTGGAGATCAAAGGCTTTTATTTTTAAAGAGATCCTTTAAGATGGCCAAGGTCACCTCGATCGAGGTATCAAAACAGCGGCGAGCCGACCAAAATTACGAGGCAAGGCCATTCGTATCGATAATATGCCCTACCGCACCTATTTCTCAGCCTGCACCTCAGACCTGCATGTCGAATCACGGACTTCTGGGAACCGTGCAGGATCTCATCACGTTTGCCAACACACATTGGTACATAAATATGACCCTCGTTCTCTACTGCATCCGCTCGTTAGTCGTGGGAAACATTGACACTGACCTGGGACGCTCTCCGCGGCATTTTCAGCGCACGTGGTACGAGGGCAAGCACCTCTTCGGCTCAGCGTTGTAGAATGAACGTATCTCGCATAGCCGTCATTGGTGTGGAGGGGGTCCAATTCCACGGAGCTGAAAACCCTGGTGTATCAGCGGCAGCAGGCTTCAAAACCGCATATGCCTCCAAGAAAATCGCCCGTATTAATTGTAGTTGTACTGGTGTGGAGACAATCAATGCAACTTTTTGTTGAGTACGCTACTACTTGTGGCCACCTCGCCTAGACGCATCTAGGGCCCCGACCACCCGGGCCTGGTAGCTACAGAGCCACCCCGGCCTGCTCACTACAGCGCATACCTAGGTATCCCTCCTATATCCGTTCTACCTGCTAAGTACGCTACTACTAGTGGCCCACCCGTATTACAGGTTCTTCACCCTAACCGGTGGACAGAGTCAGACACTTTATATATGGTCCAATCATAGTGCGGAACGCGAACTTTGCCAGTACTAAACCATCATTCCCCATTTGTGACCCTAGACAACGACAATGGTTAAATGCGGCTACTTCCCCGCCTGCTCCGCTACTTTCAAGCGTACGACGCTGAAGGACACCCATGTTTCGAAACATCATGGAGGTGCTGAACGCATTTTTTGCGACGAGTGCGCCGATGAGCTTCGCTTTTTCCGTAAGTCAACACTCGTTGACCAACCACATAGGGACCACACCCTGCTGTCCTGCCCCAAGGCTGGGTGCGGGGTTATGGTTCAACCTTCGAACATTGCTCGGCATCAGACCCCCCCCAGGGCCGCGACCTTAGCGTGGAGAACGAGGAGGATCACCCACAACCATTTGAGCCTGCTGAGACGCTTTACCGCCCCGAGTCAGACGAAAGCGTATGCCGGGCATCGCACCGTGCAGTACCAGCTGACCTGATGGTCGGGCGCTGTCAGGCCTTCCTTCTCTGGTGCAAAGACCCCAACTCGCGTGGCAACCACAACCTAGGGGTGAACTCCAACGACCACGAGGCCAAGTTTCGCACCATATTTGGCATGATGGGTGACCACTTCAAGTTGTCTCGCCTGCGGGGTCATGTCTGGCGTGAATGGCTCTGGGCGCGACCTCCTCAAGTTCTTTGCACCTGAGCCTTTCGACGGGTTCATGCGATGGATTGGGAAGAGGAAGGGGGTAGTGACCTGTCAGCCACCCACGAGGTACAACCAGCTGAAGCCACTCGTCAATTTCCTCCAATTCCTCGTGGAGATCAAAGGCTTTTATTTTTAAAGAGATCCTTTAAGATGGCCAAGGTCACCTCGATCGAGGTATCAAAACAGCGGCGAGCCGACCAAAATTACGAGGCAAGGCCATTCGTATCGATAATATGCCCTACCGCACCTATTTCTCAGCCTGCACCTCAGACCTGCATGTCGAATCACGGACTTCTGGGAACCGTGCAGGATCTCATCACGTTTGCCAACACACATTGGTACATAAATATGACCCTCGTTCTCTACTGCATCCGCTCGTTAGTCGTGGGAAACATTGACACTGACCTGGGACGCTCTCCGCGGCATTTTCAGCGCACGTGGTACGAGGGCAAGCACCTCTTCGGCTCAGCGTTGTAGAATGAACGTATCTCGCATAGCCGTCATTGGTGTGGAGGGGGTCCAATTCCACGGAGCTGAAAACCCTGGTGTATCAGCGGCAGCAGGCTTCAAAACCGCATATGCCTCCAAGAAAATCGCCCGTATTAATTGTAGTTGTACTGGTGTGGAGACAATCAATGCAACTTTTTGTTGAGTACGCTACTACTTGTGGCCACCTCGCCTAGACGCATCTAGGGCCCCGACCACCCGGGCCTGGTAGCTACAGAGCCACCCCGGCCTGCTCACTACAGCGCATACCTAGGTATCCCTCCTATATCCGTTCTACCTGCTAAGTACGCTACTACTAGTGGCCCACCCGTATTACAGGTTCTTCACCCTAACCGGTGGACAGAGTCAGACACTTTATATATGGTCCAATCATAGTGCGGAACGCGAACTTTGCCAGTACTAAACCATCATTCCCCATTTGTGACCCTAGACAACGACAATGGTTAAATGCGGCTACTTCCCCGCCTGCTCCGCTACTTTCAAGCGTACGACGCTGAAGGACACCCATGTTTCGAAACATCATGGAGGTGCTGAACGCATTTTTTGCGACGAGTGCGCCGATGAGCTTCGCTTTTTCCGTAAGTCAACACTCGTTGACCAACCACATAGGGACCACACCCTGCTGTCCTGCCCCAAGGCTGGGTGCGGGGTTATGGTTCAACCTTCGAACATTGCTCGGCATCAGACCCCCCCCAGGGCCGCGACCTTAGCGTGGAGAACGAGGAGGATCACCCACAACCATTTGAGCCTGCTGAGACGCTTTACCGCCCCGAGTCAGACGAAAGCGTATGCCGGGCATCGCACCGTGCAGTACCAGCTGACCTGATGGTCGGGCGCTGTCAGGCCTTCCTTCTCTGGTGCAAAGACCCCAACTCGCGTGGCAACCACAACCTAGGGGTGAACTCCAACGACCACGAGGCCAAGTTTCGCACCATATTTGGCATGATGGGTGACCACTTCAAGTTGTCTCGCCTGCGGGGTCATGTCTGGCGTGAATGGCTCTGGGCGCGACCTCCTCAAGTTCTTTGCACCTGAGCCTTTCGACGGGTTCATGCGATGGATTGGGAAGAGGAAGGGGGTAGTGACCTGTCAGCCACCCACGAGGTACAACCAGCTGAAGCCACTCGTCAATTTCCTCCAATTCCTCGTGGAGATCAAAGGCTTTTATTTTTAAAGAGATCCTTTAAGATGGCCAAGGTCACCTCGATCGAGGTATCAAAACAGCGGCGAGCCGACCAAAATTACGAGGCAAGGCCATTCGTATCGATAATATGCCCTACCGCACCTATTTCTCAGCCTGCACCTCAGACCTGCATGTCGAATCACGGACTTCTGGGAACCGTGCAGGATCTCATCACGTTTGCCAACACACATTGGTACATAAATATGACCCTCGTTCTCTACTGCATCCGCTCGTTAGTCGTGGGAAACATTGACACTGACCTGGGACGCTCTCCGCGGCATTTTCAGCGCACGTGGTACGAGGGCAAGCACCTCTTCGGCTCAGCGTTGTAGAATGAACGTATCTCGCATAGCCGTCATTGGTGTGGAGGGGGTCCAATTCCACGGAGCTGAAAACTCTGGTGTATCAGCGGCAGCAGGCTTCAAAACCGCATATGCCTCCAAGAAAATCGCCCGTATTAATTGTAGTTGTACTGGTGTGGAGACAATCAATGCAACTTTTTGTTGAGTACGCTACTACTTGTGGCCACCTCGCCTAGACGCATCTAGGGCCCCGACCACCCGGGCCTGGTAGCTACAGAGCCACCCCGGCCTGCTCACTACAGCGCATACCTAGGTATCCTTCCTATATCCGTTCTACCTGCTAAGTACGCTACTACTAGTGGCCCACCCGTATTACAGGTTCTTCACCCTAACCGGTGGGCAGAGTCAGACACTTTATATATGGTCCAAGCATAGTGCGGAACGCGAACTTTGCCAGTACTAAACCATCATTCCCCATTTGTGACCCTAGACAACGACAATGGTTAAATGCGGCTACTTCCCCGCCTGCTCCGCTACTTTCAAGCGTACGACGCTGAAGGACACCCATGTTTCGAAACATCATGGAGGTGCTGAACGCATTTTTTGCGACGAGTGCGCCGATGAGCTTCGCTTTTTCCGTAAGTCAACACTCGTTGACCAACCACATAGGGACCACACCCTGCTGTCCTGCCCCAAGGCTGGGTGCGGGGTTATGGTTCAACCTTCGAACATTGCTCGGCATCAGACCCCCCCCAGGGCCGCGACCTTAGCGTGGAGAACGAGGAGGATCACCCACAACCATTTGAGCCTGCTGAGACGCTTTACCGCCCCGAGTCAGACGAAAGCGTATGCCGGGCATCGCACCGTGCAGTACCAGCTGACCTGATGGTCGGGCGCTGTCAGGCCTTCCTTCTCTGGTGCAAAGACCCCAACTCGCTCGGCAACCACAACCTAGGGGTGAACTCCAACGACCACGAGGCCAAGTTTCGCACCGTATTTGGCATGATGGGTGACCACTTCAAGTTGTCTCGCCTGCGGGGTCATGTCTGGCGTGAATGGCTCTGGGCGCGACCTCCTCAAGTTCTTTGCACCTGAGCCTTTCGACGGGTTCATGCGATGGATTGGGAAGAGGAAGGGGGTAGTGACCTGTCAGCCACCCACGAGGTACAACCAGCTGAAGCCACTCGTCAATTTCCTCCAATTCCTCGTGGAGATCAAAGGCTTTTATTTTTAAAGAGATCCTTTAAGATGGCCAAGGTCACCTCGATCGAGGTATCAAAACAGCGGCGAGCCGACCAAAATTACGAGGCAAGGCCATTCGTATCGATAATATGCCCTACCGCACCTATTTCTCAGCCTGCACCTCAGACCTGCATGTCGAATCACGGACTTCTGGGAACCGTGCAGGATCTCATCACGTTTGCCAACACACATTGGTACATAAATATGACCCTCGTTCTCTACTGCATCCGCTCGTTAGTCGTGGGAAACATTGACACTGACCTGGGACGCTCTCCGCGGCATTTTCAGCGCACGTGGTACGAGGGCAAGCACCTCTTCGGCTCAGCGTTGTAGAATGAACGTATCTCGCATAGCCGTCATTGGTGTGGAGGGGGTCCAATTCCACGGAGCTGAAAACTCTGGTGTATCAGCGGCAGCAGGCTTCAAAACCGCATATGCCTCCAAGAAAATCGCCCGTATTAATTGTAGTTGTACTGGTGTGGAGACAATCAATGCAACTTTTTGTTGAGTACGCTACTACTTGTGGCCACCTCGCCTAGACGCATCTAGGGCCCCGACCACCCGGGCCTGGTAGCTACAGAGCCACCCCGGCCTGCTCACTACAGCGCATACCTAGGTATCCTTCCTATATCCGTTCTACCTGCTAAGTACGCTACTACTAGTGGCCCACCCGTATTACAGGTTCTTCACCCTAACCGGTGGGCAGAGTCAGACACTTTATATATGGTCCAAGCATAGTGCGGAACGCGAACTTTGCCAGTACTAAACCATCATTCCCCATTTGTGACCCTAGACAACGACAATGGTTAAATGCGGCTACTTCCCCGCCTGCTCCGCTACTTTCAAGCGTACGACGCTGAAGGACACCCATGTTTCGAAACATCATGGAGGTGCTGAACGCATTTTTTGCGACGAGTGCGCCGATGAGCTTCGCTTTTTCCGTAAGTCAACACTCGTTGACCAACCACATAGGGACCACACCCTGCTGTCCTGCCCCAAGGCTGGGTGCGGGGTTATGGTTCAACCTTCGAACATTGCTCGGCATCAGACCCCCCCCAGGGCCGCGACCTTAGCGTGGAGAACGAGGAGGATCACCCACAACCATTTGAGCCTGCTGAGACGCTTTACCGCCCCGAGTCAGACGAAAGCGTATGCCGGGCATCGCACCGTGCAGTACCAGCTGACCTGATGGTCGGGCGCTGTCAGGCCTTCCTTCTCTGGTGCAAAGACCCCAACTCGCTCGGCAACCACAACCTAGGGGTGAACTCCAACGACCACGAGGCCAAGTTTCGCACCGTATTTGGCATGATGGGTGACCACTTCAAGTTGTCTCGCCTGCGGGGTCATGTCTGGCGTGAATGGCTCTGGGCGCGACCTCCTCAAGTTCTTTGCACCTGAGCCTTTCGACGGGTTCATGCGATGGATTGGGAAGAGGAAGGGGGTAGTGACCTGTCAGCCACCCACGAGGTACAACCAGCTGAAGCCACTCGTCAATTTCCTCCAATTCCTCGTGGAGATCAAAGGCTTTTATTTTTAAAGAGATCCTTTAAGATGGCCAAGGTCACCTCGATCGAGGTATCAAAACAGCGGCGAGCCGACCAAAATTACGAGGCAAGGCCATTCGTATCGATAATATGCCCTACCGCACCTATTTCTCAGCCTGCACCTCAGACCTGCATGTCGAATCACGGACTTCTGGGAACCGTGCAGGATCTCATCACGTTTGCCAACACACATTGGTACATAAATATGACCCTCGTTCTCTACTGCATCCGCTCGTTAGTCGTGGGAAACATTGACACTGACCTGGGACGCTCTCCGCGGCATTTTCAGCGCACGTGGTACGAGGGCAAGCACCTCTTCGGCTCAGCGTTGTAGAATGAACGTATCTCGCATAGCCGTCATTGGTGTGGAGGGGGTCCAATTCCACGGAGCTGAAAACCCTGGTGTATCAGCGGCAGCAGGCTTCAAAACCGCATATGCCTCCAAGAAAATCGCCCGTATTAATTGTAGTTGTACTGGTGTGGAGACAATCAATGCAACTTTTTGTTGAGTACGCTACTACTTGTGGCCACCTCGCCTAGACGCATCTAGGGCCCCGACCACCCGGGCCTGGTAGCTACAGAGCCACCCCGGCCTGCTCACTACAGCGCATACCTAGGTATCCTTCCTATATCCGTTCTACCTGCTAAGTACGCTACTACTAGTGGCCCACCCGTATTACAGGTTCTTCACCCTAACCGGTGGGCAGAGTCAGACACTTTATATATGGTCCAAGCATAGTGCGGAACGCGAACTTTGCCAGTACTAAACCATCATTCCCCATTTGTGACCCTAGACAACGACAATGGTTAAATGCGGCTACTTCCCCGCCTGCTCCGCTACTTTCAAGCGTACGACGCTGAAGGACACCCATGTTTCGAAACATCATGGAGGTGCTGAACGCATTTTTTGCGACGAGTGCGCCGATGAGCTTCGCTTTTTCCGTAAGTCAACACTCGTTGACCAACCACATAGGGACCACACCCTGCTGTCCTGCCCCAAGGCTGGGTGCGGGGTTATGGTTCAACCTTCGAACATTGCTCGGCATCAGACCCCCCCCAGGGCCGCGACCTTAGCGTGGAGAACGAGGAGGATCACCCACAACCATTTGAGCCTGCTGAGACGCTTTACCGCCCCGAGTCAGACGAAAGCGTATGCCGGGCATCGCACCGTGCAGTACCAGCTGACCTGATGGTCGGGCGCTGTCAGGCCTTCCTTCTCTGGTGCAAAGACCCCAACTCGCTCGGCAACCACAACCTAGGGGTGAACTCCAACGACCACGAGGCCAAGTTTCGCACCGTATTTGGCATGATGGGTGACCACTTCAAGTTGTCTCGCCTGCGGGGTCATGTCTGGCGTGAATGGCTCTGGGCGCGACCTCCTCAAGTTCTTTGCACCTGAGCCTTTCGACGGGTTCATGCGATGGATTGGGAAGAGGAAGGGGGTAGTGACCTGTCAGCCACCCACGAGGTACAACCAGCTGAAGCCACTCGTCAATTTCCTCCAATTCCTCGTGGAGATCAAAGGCTTTTATTTTTAAAGAGATCCTTTAAGATGGCCAAGGTCACCTCGATCGAGGTATCAAAACAGCGGCGAGCCGACCAAAATTACGAGGCAAGGCCATTCGTATCGATAATATGCCCTACCGCACCTATTTCTCAGCCTGCACCTCAGACCTGCATGTCGAATCACGGACTTCTGGGAACCGTGCAGGATCTCATCACGTTTGCCAACACACATTGGTACATAAATATGACCCTCGTTCTCTACTGCATCCGCTCGTTAGTCGTGGGAAACATTGACACTGACCTGGGACGCTCTCCGCGGCATTTTCAGCGCACGTGGTACGAGGGCAAGCACCTCTTCGGCTCAGCGTTGTAGAATGAACGTATCTCGCATAGCCGTCATTGGTGTGGAGGGGGTCCAATTCCACGGAGCTGAAAACTCTGGTGTATCAGCGGCAGCAGGCTTCAAAACCGCATATGCCTCCAAGAAAATCGCCCGTATTAATTGTAGTTGTACTGGTGTGGAGACAATCAATGCAACTTTTTGTTGAGTACGCTACTACTTGTGGCCACCTCGCCTAGACGCATCTAGGGCCCCGACCACCCGGGCCTGGTAGCTACAGAGCCACCCCGGCCTGCTCACTACAGCGCATACCTAGGTATCCTTCCTATATCCGTTCTACCTGCTAAGTACGCTACTACTAGTGGCCCACCCGTATTACAGGTTCTTCACCCTAACCGGTGGGCAGAGTCAGACACTTTATATATGGTCCAAGCATAGTGCGGAACGCGAACTTTGCCAGTACTAAACCATCATTCCCCATTTGTGACCCTAGACAACGACAATGGTTAAATGCGGCTACTTCCCCGCCTGCTCCGCTACTTTCAAGCGTACGACGCTGAAGGACACCCATGTTTCGAAACATCATGGAGGTGCTGAACGCATTTTTTGCGACGAGTGCGCCGATGAGCTTCGCTTTTTCCGTAAGTCAACACTCGTTGACCAACCACATAGGGACCACACCCTGCTGTCCTGCCCCAAGGCTGGGTGCGGGGTTATGGTTCAACCTTCGAACATTGCTCGGCATCAGACCCCCCCCAGGGCCGCGACCTTAGCGTGGAGAACGAGGAGGATCACCCACAACCATTTGAGCCTGCTGAGACGCTTTACCGCCCCGAGTCAGACGAAAGCGTATGCCGGGCATCGCACCGTGCAGTACCAGCTGACCTGATGGTCGGGCGCTGTCAGGCCTTCCTTCTCTGGTGCAAAGACCCCAACTCGCTCGGCAACCACAACCTAGGGGTGAACTCCAACGACCACGAGGCCAAGTTTCGCACCATATTTGGCATGATGGGTGACCACTTCAAGTTGTCTCGCCTGCGGGGTCATGTCTGGCGTGAATGGCTCTGGGCGCGACCTCCTCAAGTTCTTTGCACCTGAGCCTTTCGACGGGTTCATGCGATGGATTGGGAAGAGGAAGGGGGTAGTGACCTGTCAGCCACCCACGAGGTACAACCAGCTGAAGCCACTCGTCAATTTCCTCCAATTCCTCGTGGAGATCAAAGGCTTTTATTTTTAAAGAGATCCTTTAAGATGGCCAAGGTCACCTCGATCGAGGTATCAAAACAGCGGCGAGCCGACCAAAATTACGAGGCAAGGCCATTCGTATCGATAATATGCCCTACCGCACCTATTTCTCAGCCTGCACCTCAGACCTGCATGTCGAATCACGGACTTCTGGGAACCGTGCAGGATCTCATCACGTTTGCCAACACACATTGGTACATAAATATGACCCTCGTTCTCTACTGCATCCGCTCGTTAGTCGTGGGAAACATTGACACTGACCTGGGACGCTCTCCGCGGCATTTTCAGCGCACGTGGTACGAGGGCAAGCACCTCTTCGGCTCAGCGTTGTAGAATGAACGTATCTCGCATAGCCGTCATTGGTGTGGAGGGGGTCCAATTCCACGGAGCTGAAAACCCTGGTGTATCAGCGGCAGCAGGCTTCAAAACCGCATATGCCTCCAAGAAAATCGCCCGTATTAATTGTAGTTGTACTGGTGTGGAGACAATCAATGCAACTTTTTGTTGAGTACGCTACTACTTGTGGCCACCTCGCCTAGACGCATCTAGGGCCCCGACCACCCGGGCCTGGTAGCTACAGAGCCACCCCGGCCTGCTCACTACAGCGCATACCTAGGTATCCTTCCTATATCCGTTCTACCTGCTAAGTACGCTACTACTAGTGGCCCACCCGTATTACAGGTTCTTCACCCTAACCGGTGGGCAGAGTCAGACACTTTATATATGGTCCAAGCATAGTGCGGAACGCGAACTTTGCCAGTACTAAACCATCATTCCCCATTTGTGACCCTAGACAACGACAATGGTTAAATGCGGCTACTTCCCCACCTGCTCCGCTACTTTCAAGCGTACGACGCTGAAGGACACCCATGTTTCGAAACATCATGGAGGTGCTGAACGCATTTTTTGCGACGAGTGCGCCGATGAGCTTCGCTTTTTCCGTAAGTCAACACTCGTTGACCAACCACATAGGGACCACACCCTGATGTCCTGCCCCAAGGCTGGGTGCGGGGTTATGGTTCAACCTTCGAACATTGCTCGGCATCAGACCCCCCCCAGGGCCGCGACCTTAGCGTGGAGAACGAGGAGGATCACCCACAACCATTTGAGCCTGCTGAGACGCTTTACCGCCCCGAGTCAGACGAAAGCGTATGCCGGGCATCGCACCGTGCAGTACCAGCTGACCTGATGGTCGGGCGCTGTCAGGCCTTCCTTCTCTGGTGCAAAGACCCCAACTCGCTCGGCAACCACAACCTAGGGGTGAACTCCAACGACCACGAGGCCAAGTTTCGCACCATATTTGGCATGATGGGTGACCACTTCAAGTTGTCTCGCCTGCGGGGTCATGTCTGGCGTGAATGGCTCTGGGCGCGACCTCCTCAAGTTCTTTGCACCTGAGCCTTTCGACGGGTTCATGCGATGGATTGGGAAGAGGAAGGGGGTAGTGACCTGTCAGCCACCCACGAGGTACAACCAGCTGAAGCCACTCGTCAATTTCCTCCAATTCCTCGTGGAGATCAAAGGCTTTTATTTTTAAAGAGATCCTTTAAGATGGCCAAGGTCACCTCGATCGAGGTATCAAAACAGCGGCGAGCCGACCAAAATTACGAGGCAAGGCCATTCGTATCGATAATATGCCCTACCGCACCTATTTCTCAGCCTGCACCTCAGACCTGCATGTCGAATCACGGACTTCTGGGAACCGTGCAGGATCTCATCACGTTTGCCAACACACATTGGTACATAAATATGACCCTCGTTCTCTACTGCATCCGCTCGTTAGTCGTGGGAAACATTGACACTGACCTGGGACGCTCTCCGCGGCATTTTCAGCGCACGTGGTACGAGGGCAAGCACCTCTTCGGCTCAGCGTTGTAGAATGAACGTATCTCGCATAGCCGTCATTGGTGTGGAGGGGGTCCAATTCCACGGAGCTGAAAACCCTGGTGTATCAGCGGCAGCAGGCTTCAAAACCGCATATGCCTCCAAGAAAATCGCCCGTATTAATTGTAGTTGTACTGGTGTGGAGACAATCAATGCAACTTTTTGTTGAGTACGCTACTACTTGTGGCCACCTCGCCTAGACGCATCTAGGGCCCCGACCACCCGGGCCTGGTAGCTACAGAGCCACCCCGGCCTGCTCACTACAGCGCATACCTAGGTATCCTTCCTATATCCGTTCTACCTGCTAAGTACGCTACTACTAGTGGCCCACCCGTATTACAGGTTCTTCACCCTAACCGGTGGGCAGAGTCAGACACTTTATATATGGTCCAAGCATAGTGCGGAACGCGAACTTTGCCAGTACTAAACCATCATTCCCCATTTGTGACCCTAGACAACGACAATGGTTAAATGCGGCTACTTCCCCGCCTGCTCCGCTACTTTCAAGCGTACGACGCTGAAGGACACCCATGTTTCGAAACATCATGGAGGTGCTGAACGCATTTTTTGCGACGAGTGCGCCGATGAGCTTCGCTTTTTCCGTAAGTCAACACTCGTTGACCAACCACATAGGGACCACACCCTGCTGTCCTGCCCCAAGGCTGGGTGCGGGGTTATGGTTCAACCTTCGAACATTGCTCGGCATCAGACCCCCCCCAGGGCCGCGACCTTAGCGTGGAGAACGAGGAGGATCACCCACAACCATTTGAGCCTGCTGAGACGCTTTACCGCCCCGAGTCAGACGAAAGCGTATGCCGGGCATCGCACCGTGCAGTACCAGCTGACCTGATGGTCGGGCGCTGTCAGGCCTTCCTTCTCTGGTGCAAAGACCCCAACTCGCTCGGCAACCACAACCTAGGGGTGAACTCCAACGACCACGAGGCCAAGTTTCGCACCGTATTTGGCATGATGGGTGACCACTTCAAGTTGTCTCGCCTGCGGGGTCATGTCTGGCGTGAATGGCTCTGGGCGTGACCTCCTCAAGTTCTTTGCACCTGAGCCTTTCGACGGGTTCATGCGATGGATTGGGAAGAGGAAGGGGGTAGTGACCTGTCAGCCACCCACGAGGTACAACCAGCTGAAGCCACTCGTCAATTTCCTCCAATTCCTCGTGGAGATCAAAGGCTTTTATTTTTAAAGAGATCCTTTAAGATGGCCAAGGTCACCTCGATCGAGGTATCAAAACAGCGGCGAGCCGACCAAAATTACGAGGCAAGGCCATTCGTATCGATAATATGACCAACCGCACCCAAACATTCAATTTGGTCTTCAATGTACATTTCAGCACGCCTCCCTCTTAGCATGAAATTCGGCTACTTCGAAACCCCAATAGTGGTCAGCCCCAGCATGTTCTGCAGACGCAACTTGTTGAGCGTGTTTGTGAAGTGCCAGCAGAGTTCACGCCCCCTCCCTATCTTGTGCAGTTCAATCACACCACGCTCAACTTACTCGCGCACAAAGTGCCAGCGCAACTTTATGTGCCGGATCCGACATCATCTTCGACGAGCTCGCCGGATTGTACAAAGTGCAAAGTCTCCAATTCAACATACTCCACACTTACTTGGTGCTTGTCGCGGTAAATCCCATCCTCTGCAACAAAGAGGCCCGGCACAAAGGGTCGCCGTAGGATTGTCGGGGGAATACACCTTGCAGCCTATCACGCCCTCAGCATGAAACCCAAGTTGGCGTTGGCGTGGTCGTTTTACCTTCCTGGTGTGACTGGCACGTGGACATATGCGAGCGCCCCAAACTAGCGTACGTGAAGCAAGTCAGGCCTCACACCAAACAGCATCTTATACGGGACCCCACCCGTGCCTTTGTTGTAGATTCAGATTTTGATATATATCGCGTTCCGTAGCGCCTTAGTTCATATACTCTTGGGCAATCCAGCATCGCATCGACGCGTTCATCATCGCCGCTTGCACAAGTTCAACTGCGAACTCTTCGGGCCTACCAGAACATAAATAACATGTGCCTTATGTAATGGGTCTACTTTCGCTCACTACTTTAGCTTACACGTGTGCGCACGTGTACGAGGAAGCGTAGCTTAGTTTAACCTAGAGTTAATTATATTTGGCCCTCCGAGTATAGAATAATCTAAATAAACGATCCAAATAATGTTTTGGGCTAAAATGAGATCTGCTATTTTTGTTTTTATGTTTTCTGACTTTCTCTAAATGTAATATTCTAAGTTAGAAATCTGCCAACGGCTGGTTGGCAGATTTCCACTGTTATGCATGTCGCTCATTGGCTAAAAGATGCTGCTTTCAGCCAATAGGAATCCTAAGTCTCTATGCACCACCAGTCATGGTGATCGTAAATGTATGCAGCCACTTGTGCGTGTAACCCTGTTACACCCTATACCATGACTCCTTCTCTCCATTCGCAAAATTCACCACTGTTCTCCGTCAGGATCTGCCAAACTTCGTATTTGAGGTGGAGTGCCTAGTCAAAATTTGTCGAACCTTATGTCGACCACTTTGTATTTTCGCCAATAATGCATATTCCTTAATCTTTATTCCCCAGGTCAAAAGCGTACGTACAATCCTACCCGTAAAATTGGGCTTAATATCAAAGTTTGTATACCCTAGCATATGTAGCGCATAAAACGTCAGATTGACGCGGGTGCGAGATGGATACAAAAGCACTTACGCTTGGATCTTGGACCACAGACGCCAAAGAATGCGTTCAACTGAGGGCTGGAGCACACAACACAGAAGTTGGAGAACGTTTTGCTGCATACATCAGACGGACGCTGCGCACACTGCCCTGAACGTTAGAGTGTTGGCTGTAAAGCAGTAGCATAGTTAGAAAACAACCAAAGATGTATCCGTTGGTGTAATCCTTGCCTCCTCGCCGATCGCATCACAGTCTTCGGGTCGTGCTGATGGTTTCGGTGTGTACTCGTTGAAGAGGGATTTAAGTAGAAATACTCCACTAACGAGCGTTCACCAAGTTGCAGGTGCACAGGCCAACGAAATATCATCGGGCGTACGTGCGCTGCTGGATCGACTAGTACCATGCCACATGGCGACCAGAGCCGGCCATGAGCGATCACCAGACCACTTAAAAAGTGGCAATTGCCATTTTTCCACTTTTTGCTTTAAAGTGACAGTTTTGCTCGCCAGGAAGTGGACAAAGTGAAACATATATTAGCCAAGTACAATTGCTACAAGTCTACGAAGCCAGCGGCGACAAAAGCTGCCTACGCCTGTTTGTTTTCTCGCACCCGATCAGCGAGAAATCATCCTCAACAGTGGCAGTGTTGGGAAACACACTGGCGAATCCCCCACACAGGCTTGCCAATGTTGGAAACCTCTCAGCGTCGTCAAGCTGCCACATCTGATCAAAGCTGGCAAGGCGGTGATCAAAGCTGTCAATAGCTTTTCGAATCGGTTTGCCATCGATATACTCGACCCTCAGCCGCTTGAATTCTTGTCCGATTTTATCGATGCCTTCATCTCCGAATGTCCGGAGGATTCGCTCGCGGTGGGTGTCAATTAGCGACACCAGCTCAACCATTGAACTAGTCGCAAGCTCTTTGGGAGTGACGCGCGGGCTGGTGTGTGCCCGTTCCTTGAGTGCGAATATGTTTGAGATAGCGAGGAGATACATTCGAGCCACTGCATTGACAACAAATGTTTGCTGCCCTTCCGCGAGAGTCTTAAGACCTTCGCAGACCCAAAGATTGAGGTTGTTCAAGTACGTGGCGGGCGCTGCCTGGGAAATGGCAAAGCTCCCAATGATTTCATACTTGCCACTGTCCAACTCCAGGATTGCGGCTTCTTCCAGGGGGCCAAGGGCCCCACTAATGTTGAGGAGGCGTTGCACAAGACCTCCAAAGCGGTCATCTTGTTGTTTGACAAGCGTGGTCATGTCTTGCAACGACACAAACACAGCATTGGCCTCACGCGCCAGCTCATGAAGAGCAAAGAGGAATATCCACCACACCAAGTTTGGGGAACACTCTGCCTCTTTCTCTGACAGGTACTCCCGGACACGAAACCCGTTCGAGCACAGCCAATCCGCAACGGCGTACATCGACAACCATCTCGTGCTTGCGACCTTTGGACAGGTTGTCTGCATGTCGGCGACGACGTTCTGCTGGCGTCTCAGAAATCCAATTAAGGCAGTGAGTTTGGTCAGATAGGTCTCATTGAGGGCTTGCTCAAACACGAGTTGCATCTTCAGGTCCAGCTTGTGTAAACCGCACCACACCCGAACAATCGTGTGCTTGGCTTCCTTTTCCAAACGAGTAGCGACTCCATTGACACAGCCAACCATTGTTGCTGCTCCGTCAGTCGCGACACCAAGTAGTTGATACCGTCACCGTGGTACAAGAGCACCTAAGAGCTCAACAACAACAGCAAAGATGTTGAGCGCTGTGTGTTGCTCATAGAGTGGGATCGCAAGCAGGTGGTAGTTTTCAAGCGACCCGTTGGTGTAGTATCGGCACCGAACGTCCACATACGACTTGCCCAAGTGAGTCCCGCAGTCAAGGGCCAGCGAGAACGCCCAAGTTGCTGAGAGGCGATTTGTCAATGTCTGCAGCGATACCGCACATACGACCCGAGCATAGTGCGCCACTACCCCCTCACTGCAGCCGCCATACCGGCCGATGCCCGTCTCCTCCCTTGTATCGTCCATTAGATTGGCTGTCATACGGAACGATGCCCCGCGACCCAGGAAGCGCACACATAGCCGGAAACGAGATGGTCGCTTTATTGTGATTTTGTACTGAGGCCCCTGTGGCACAAAGGATGACAGTGCTTTGGCGCGAGATTTCCCGTCCACGTCATCGGGGTGAAATAGTAGTCCCCCAACGATCTTGTCCACAATGGCGCGGTTGACGGCAATCACTAGCACATCTCGCTTTCAAACACGGAGCCCAACGTCTCGCTGTACGGCACTGGGACAGACGTGAAATACACGCGCCTTTCGTCGTCCGTTGAGAGATCGCAGTACTCGGCCCATTTGACCGGTTGCTGCCCCACCGAGTGCTTTTCAAACAGGTCCGTCCTGAATGAAGTGAAGAGCTTGGGGTTGGTTGTCCGTGCGCGTTTTGCATCAGACTACCGAACGTTGTGCAGAAACGACAAACTGCCGTCTCGACCGCACTTGTTCCGCATTACGGGACCCGACCTTCAAGCCGTACATGGTGCAGAACCTCCCGCCGAACTTGGAGCCTCTCTTCGTGACCTTACGGGGTGCTGACGCCTTGCTCCCAATCTTTGTTTGTCGCATTGTCTTCTTAGACTTCATTGGGATGAGAAGTTGGGTCTTGAGTCGGTGTTTGAGGTGTATCGAAGAAATGCGAAACTGAGGTCGAATATGTTGCCAAAGATAGGTGGATGGATAACAGATCCAACCCAGGTCCTGATGCTCTCCCAACGAGCTCAGAAAACGCATAAGCTGCATATTCCCCGCTTCAGCACTCGAATGGCAGCTAGTACTGGTGGTTAGGATTATTTAGCATTTTCTCGAGAGCAGAGAGCCATGTCTTTGCCCATCAGGTACTTACCACATAACCAAAATCCTTCCACCTTCAAGGTTCAACTAAAAGTGGAAAAAGTGGAAACTTTTCTGATTTTACCACTTTTAAAGTGGGCTGGCGATCACAGTACCATCATCTTCCTCCTCTAAGTTGGTCAACACACTATCATCTTCATCTTCATCGTCTTCCTCCTCGCTGGACGAGACATCATCGTCTCCAAGTACCTGAGGCAACCCCTCGATAGTCCCAAGCAGCTCTACAAACGACGTATCACCACCACCACCACATTGCTATTGGGTGCCCGAGCCGTTTTCAACGCACAGGGGTCGCCCAGAGACAACCCCACTACTCGTGCTCCCCACTTGACCTAATACACGTTGCCGGCGCTCTTGATCATACGAAGGGCCGTTCCGGTCTTCCTTTGGTGCTTCTTGTTTATCCTACGGATGGGGAATAGAAATTAATGTGTTGATTCACAACGTCGCTGAACTTGCTCGTACGTGTGCGCACCGAATCTCGAGAATCCATCCATGATGACGAGCGCAGCATTGACGCTTGTGCCGTTGTCCTTACTTGGGACCAACAGCTCCGCATAAACCACTCGGTTCGGTACCTTTCTGTTGCACTCAAACTTCCCCTGGGGGGGGGGGGGGGGTGTCTGATTCCGAGCAATGTTCGAAGTTGGGGTCTTTGTACCAGAGAAGGAAGGCCTGACAGCGCCCGATCATCAGGTCAGCTGGTACTGCACGGTGCGTTGCCCGGCATACGCTTTCGTCTGACTCGGGGCGGTAAAGCGTTTCAGCAGGCTCAAATGGCTGTGGGTGATCCTCCTCGTTCTCCACGCTAAGGTCGGGGCCGTGGGGGGGGAGGAGGGGATGTCTGATGCCGAGCAAATTTCGAAGGTTGAACCATAACCCTGCACCCAGCCTTGGGGCAGGACAGCAGGGTGTGGCCCCTCTGTGGTTGGTCAACGAGTGTCGAGTTACGGAAAAAGCGAAGCTCATCGGTGCACTCGTCGCAAAAAATGCGTTCAGCACCTCCATGATGTTTCGAAACATGGGTGTCCTTCAGCGCCGTACGCTTGAAAGTAGCGGAGCAGGCGGGGAAGTACCGGAATATATGCATTTCCTGCAACCATTGTAAAAATATCAATTAATAGCGACGTAAAAAATGGAAACACGTAAAAAGTGACCAACATGGCTCTCTGTCCACCGTAAAAAAAACTTGCCCCCTACACGACTGGCCGTGGGGCGGTGAGTCGAGCTCAGTTTTAGAAGAGCAGCCACGCGCTCATGCGCGAGGCACTTCACACTAACGCTCACCGCTTGGAGGCGGTCAACGCCGCAGTCGCCGCTGGCGTGACCACGGCCCTTGCCCAGGTCAGCGGCTGCCACCGCACAACGTTGTACCGCTGGAAGAAGCGGCGTGAAGAAATTGCGGCAGCTGCTTCGTCCAGCACTGTGCTGAAGCCAGGTCGACGTGGACCCAAAGTCCGATTCCCTGACCTCGAACAACGGTAAGGAGCACGAAATTGTTAAAACTTTATCATTATATTTATATTACCGTATTGATATTAAATAGATTGATGGACTGGATCGAAGATATGCGGTGTAACAAGGTTCGCGCCGTGACAACGCGGTGCTTGCTCATGATGAGCATCAAGCTAGAGCAGCAGTTCCTTGAGGGGCGCTCTGAGGCTGCCGCTATTCAGTATCTCCGTCGCTCCCGAACGCGAAACCAGCTTTCGATACGCCGCATCACTCACAAGGGGCGTCGAAAGAGGTCGGAGGTACAGCTAAGCATTTTTTATTAATAATATTGAATGAGCTGTATAACAGGGGATATTAATTACTGTTACAATAATTATTTTAGATTGTAGCGGACGAGTTTGGACACTCAATGCGATACAAATTAGAAAGTTGCTCGGGCGTACAGGGATACGAGAAATACGAGCACCTTTTTAACATGGACCAGACTTCAATTTACGTGGACATGAACCCCAAGATGACGATCACGGTCCAAGGCGATCGAGATGTTGACGTTGTTCAAGGTATGGATAATTTGATCTCCATTTTTTTTAGTTTTTTTTGTTCTAACTTTTGCTTATGTATGGGGTAGGAATGTCGGAAAACTCATTTCTCGCAAGTGTTTTTTGTGTGCCTCGGCGACCGGCGTGAAGTTGCCACCGTTCATCGTATTTGCCGGGGTGCAGGGGTGCAAGGTCGAGGCGGAAGTGCACATGAACACTCTGCACAAGGAAGGCGAGGCCGTGTTAGCAGTGCAGAAGAATGCATATTGCGATGAGCGAGTCATGTTGGAGAGGGTCAAGGAGGTAAATATTATTTTACTGTTTTTGCTTTTGTATTTGCTTACTAATTGAAATTGTATTGGTTTAAGGTATGGAAGCCGTCAGTGACCTTCTGTCGTGTGCTCCTGTTGGGCAGCTTAAAGGTCCACAAGATGAGCACCGTGCGTGCTCAGCTTGAGGACGCCATGGCCGACGTGGAATTCGTCCCGCCAGGCGCCACGACGCTGGCCCAGCCCATGGACGTGGCCGTGATGGCCGGCTTCAAGCGCGAGTGTCGTGAGCTGTACGCCCAACAGCACTGCGACAGCGGCCACAGTGCAACCCCGCGAGAGCGGCGTAAGTTTATCACGTCGATAAAAGTGAAAGCGTGGGAGTCCATTTCTGATGTTACCATTAGGAGAGGTTTTATGAAAGCCGGCCTTGTTCCGATCGGCGCTTGCACTAGTTATGGCCGTTTCACTGTTACGAAGCCACCAGCAGCCCAACTTGAAGCTAACACTACCAAATAAAAATGTTTCAGTCGCAATTTGCACATAAATAATATTTTTGCTGCAGAGCAGATGTTGGTTGGGTGACGGGGTGTCACCCTTACATTATTACCGGTTGTTGCACGAAATCCGTGGTTGCAGGAAATGCATCTATTCCGGTAGCCGCATTTAACCATTGCCGTTGTCTAGGGTCACAAATGGGGAATGATGGTTTAGAACTGGCAAAGTTCGCGTTCCGCACTATGCTTGGACCATATATAAAGTGTCTGACTCTGCCCACCGGTTAGGGTGAAGAACCTGTAATACGGGTGGGCCACTAGTAGTAGCGTACTTAGCAGGTAGAACGGATATAGGAAGGATACCTAGGTATGCGCTGTAGTGAGCAGGCCGGGGTGGCTCTGTAGCTACCAGGCCCGGGTGGTCGGGGCCCTAGATGCGTCTAGGCGAGGTGGCCACAAGTAGTAGCGTACTCAACAAAAAGTTGCATTGATTGTCTCCACACCAGTACAACTACAATTAATACGGGCGATATTCTTGGAGGCATATGCGGTTTTGAAGCCTGCTGCCGCTGATACACCAGGGTTTTCAGCTCCGTGGAATTGGACCCCCTCCACACCAATGACGGCTATGCGAGATACGTTCATTCTATAACGCTGAGCCGAAGAGGTGCTTGTCATCGTACCACGTGCGCTGAAAATGCCGCGGAGAGCGTCCCAGATCAGTATCAATGTTTCCCACGACTAACGAGCGGATGCAGTAGAGAACGAGGGTCATATTTATGTACCAATGTGTGTTGGCAAACGTGATGAGATCCTGCACGGTTCCCAGAAGTCCGTGATTCGACATGCAGGTCTGAGGTGCAGGTTGAGCTTTGCCGCGGTCTAACGTAAAATTGTAGTCGGAGGACCCGGCGATGAGCGCAGTCTGCTGATCTACCACATAGAAGTGTATCTCAGAGATGCGAGTGAAGCGACAACTGTACAAAATGTTGAGAAACGTGATACCACCCAAACCCAACACCGCAGATGTCGGTTATTCTTTTCGCCTTTCGTAGCTCAGAATATGGGGTTGAGATGATAAGGCTCCGGGATGTAAACCGACACCAGGTGGAAGTTGCAACACTTAGCGTGACGATAGCGTGAAGTGCGCTGCCTGCTGTCCCTGCTATTTGCTAGGGGCTGAACCCCATAGTGGCTCGACATTGTCGACAATGCCACCTCAGGTCTGACCCCTGTCGAGACGGAGCCGGTGGAAAACAGCGCAGGTGACTCGTGTTTCAGGAGCTGTACTACTTCGTTGTACAGCCCACTCACGCGAGCCATGGCTGTTTGGACGTGGCCGAAATCGTCAGGTTTCTGTGCTTGGCGTGATGAGCTTGGAACGATTGACATCACGAAAGTACCCCCGGTGACACCCGGTACAGTTCCTGGGAGTGCGTGAAACCCACCGGAAACAGATGCTGGAACGGCGACAATTCGAGCGTCTCGCGGGAAAGAGCGACTGACCAGGCATGCGAAAGATGGGCGGTGAAGCCTAATTAGCCAACACGCTCACTAGAGGCGAAGCCAGTGGCGTCCCGCTGTCCGTTGTAGTGTCAGCACGGGTAACACCGGCGCAACCAGCGCCGAAGCTTCAGTGGAACCGGCCATGTGCGACAACGATGAAGCTACTGCCGATACCGGGGGTACTGACCGCGTTATCAATGATTCAGTAATCTCCGGTTAGGAGGCGCGACGGCTCTCGTGAAGAACAGGCCCGCTTTTTAGGTGTTCTAAAATTAAGAAATCATAAAATGATGAATACAAATTTACTCATTTCTGATAATTGCAACTACAAGGCCACCCATGTAGCAATCTGCACTTTCCGTCGGTGGGAAAAACCACGAACACCACATGTACTCATCCAAGTACGACTCGAGTCGGTCATTGCTCATCCCTCTCATCGACTTGATGTGCCGTTTGATCCTCGTTTCCCATAGGCCCTCGATAGTGTTAGTACGCGTACCATAGACAGGATCGACAAAGTTTAGGCTGTGATTCACCCATGAGTGCGAGTAGCGCATGCTCAGCAGCGTCCTGTTGTTCTCCAGCGTGTGCTGCTTGTTGCCTCGCTCGCACACGTATGTTGCGAACATGTCCGACATTATGTGCGTGCTAAACATGGATACACAAACGATTAGCAATGTAATAGCATAGCCCCCATAATTCATACGTACCGATGTTCGATGAACCGTTTAATAATAGGAAGCAACATGGCTTTGGTGCGCACGACCCGTCCAAACCAGCGCCCCGTGCCCCGATCTACACCACCGAAGAGCCAGAACTCTTCGTAATGGCGACCTTGGTTGTACTTCCGCTTCTTTGACAGACTCGTTTCATCAATTTCGACGACCATGCCATCTCCGCCGATCTAGACAACATAGAAAGCAATATGTAAAACAACATTATCGTAACGGTAAAGCAACATTGAGTACTAAACTGTAAGCATACCTTAAACTCGGATCGAAGCAGCTCTTTCGAGCATGTCGAGCGGCAGTACGCATAGTACTCATGTGTAGTACGTAGCGACGTACCCGCCCACTCAGCCGCTTGCTCTTGCGGGAGCCGCATGGCCCAGCCAAGGAGGAGGCGCACAGTACTGCACAGCTGCAGCTTGCTCTCGTTAAAGAACGAGTCCGTGAGCAAGCCGCGGCTGGCCTCCTTGCCATCGGCATGCTGTGTGCGCCGGCAGCATCGCCAGCGCTTCCGCGTTGGCGCTCGGCGCATGAGGAGCTGGCACTTGGGGCAGCACTTCTCCCTGTCGATTAGGCCCACCACTATGCACCACTCGACGCAGAGCGCCTGTTCGCTGGTTACTTTTAGCACCGTGTCCATAGCGAAGAGGCTCTCGTCGTCAAGGTGGTACTGGTAGGGGCTGGCGGTCGACATGACAGGGAGGCGAAGCGTGGCTGGGGGCTTGCGGAGGAGGCGGCTGCTTTGCGAATGAGAGTGTGGGAGCCAGAGTGTGAGGCGAGCCGGTGGGGCGGCTTCGAAAAGCGGGCTCAGCATGATGGTTGCATACAAAAAAATATACTTGCGTTTTGGCGCGCCCCCGTTTTCGGCGCGAAAGCTGGCCTGTACTTCCAAACTCGATGGATGGGACGCACATCTAGAAGTTCGTGTGAACTACATCACAAATGACGACAATGGTTGTCCGATTCTAAATTTAATCTGGCTCTTCAGATTTAGGAAGCGGGCCTGTTCTTCTCGAGAGCGACAGTGCCAAAGTTTGGGTACATATGGCGCGACCAGGAGCTCTATCCATGTGGGCCGAACTCGAGGGGTGTGAGTGTCCCAGATCAGCGTCTATGTTTCCCAAGACAAACGAGCGGATGCTTAGTCCTCGCCCTCGGAGTAGACACATTTCTATACCCACCACTTCTTTCGTCGCTCCAGAGAGCCCACACCGCCACCAATGAGGGTGATAAAGCGCTGCTAATGCACCGGTACTTTGTAATGCAGACGTTCGTCGTAATAATATTACACCGGAGTCTTTGAGTCACTCTGAACCTGTGCCCGAGCAGCCCCATGTTGATCCTATCTTGGGATGGTTACTACCGAAGGCTCGGTTCCAGGCGTAACTGCCGAGCGCTCCACCCGATGAATTCTCCGTTGTGTCTGCCAGGGCGTACGAATCCATTTTGGGACCGAAAAGAAGCAAAGGCTTGTTTTCAAATAGAATGAGTTTTATTTGCTTTATACACGCATCCTATCTAGTGGCCCACATTGGCTTCGATCTGGTTAGCCTTCTTAGCATCTTCTGTCTCCTCTTTCTCATTACGCACTTTCAGTAAATCTTCCAAATGCGAGTCTCGTTCATAGCAAATGTTCTTCGTGTTGGTTCCGCTCATGGTCGGTCTAGCTAACTCTGTTTTAAGTGACGCGTTTTGGTTGGGCCTTCCGGACCTAATTTCCCTAAGAACGTTTCCGTGTAAATTGCTTACCAGCAATCCCCAAAACTGCATGGGGTACGCTTCGTTTTAAGGAGGTTTCATGAGCGGATCAATTGATAAAGGTTTCTGTTAGCTTCTGGTGACAAAACTTCTAAATTTAATTCGTATAATGGGCATGGCTGGTATAACATCAGCCCATAAAATAAACTAAATGAGCCGCCCTCGAGAGGAAAATGCTTGACACGTCGCTGTGAAGGCCGACATGAAGCAATGTGTACACTGCTGGTCACTACCATGACATCACTGTGATTGTGTCGTGTTGGAACACGCCGATTTTCTAGTAGAAGTAGACACAATCCCTTAAGACAACACCCACCGAGTCGCGATGAGTAGCAATGACTCAGCAGACTTGTCGGGTAGTTGAAGCCCTGCTTCACACCCGTTCCTCGGGTTGGTTGTTTCCCCTTGTGCACCGTGGTTTCTATAGGCAACCAGCAAAGCCTCAGCACCTCCATTCACGAGCGACGACTGGAGTGCTCACACGCACACTAACCCCACGGTCCCTCCAAAGGAAGGTTTCTGGCCTCCGGTAGGCTGTTCGCGAGGGTGTCAGAGAAATCTCCGACGGTAAGATATCAATGGGAAGCACTTAAGCTCTAACCCAATACACGACGACAATTCACCCTTCGTATACACGGCCAATCTCCTTCTACTCTGCTCTTGACCCTGCCGGATGAACACTCGCTACGATACTAGTAGGCGTGCTCACCGACAGGCATGATCCCCCCTAACCAGGTTTACCTTGGTCACGGGTCGTCCACCGTGCGCTGGCGTCTTCCTTGCGCGGTTTAGAGGAAAAGCTGTTCTGTGTTGTTGCCCAAAGGGCTTATCTGTTCTATCTTATCTTTCCTATATTCCAATACAAATACTAAGTCTAAACGTGTCCGTTTCGGATCTTCTAGCACCAACAGTCGCCATCGAAGAGTCGCCGAAGACTCGTAGGTACGCGAACCTAAGGTAGGTGCGTCTTAGGTGCGAAACCTCTACGCATCGACGTCACGATCCATCGCCGACATGTGGTGTGGATCACAACTTCAACTCCGGGACGTAGCCATCCGCGACGGTGCTTGCGACGAGGAGACCATCACTCACGGTGATCTTTGAGGCAATTCTCGACACCATAATTGAGTGTCCTTGCAGCTTACGATTCTGTTAGATCCTGCGCTCAAAATCGGGAATTATAATTTGACTTGAAAATTGTATATACATCGTACTTTTTATATAGACCAATAGAGACATATATATCGAACGGTAGTCACCCCACGTTATCTTCTAATTTGGATGGGTCTTAGGTGACAGGACATATGCCTCAGACGGGACTGTGGCTACTACGGCAACGTGGCGACGCCGCCGGCGTTTGACCCGTAAGACCGCGCGCTTTACTACTTTGTGCTGCTGGCGACTGAGCTCCAGCACAGCATCTTACGCCGCATTGTCTTCACTCGCGCGTTCGCGCGTCTCCATTATCGCCAATTCCCCGATCGCTGGGCGGCCGACGGAGGCGGCGACGGTGGCGGTGGCAACGGTGGCTTCAGTGCTAGTGGCGAAATCAGTGAGGGAGGGGATAGTATGAGCGGCGGAGACGGTGGAGTCGCTGGTGGCAGCAGTATTGGTGGCGATAGCGGAAATGGAGCTGGAAGCAGTGTTGGGTATGGAGGTTCACGCAGTGGCGGAAGCAGTAGGGGGAGCCGCCGACGAAAAGCCCCCGCTAAGCCAAACAAGCGAGGGCACCCTCGCTGTGGTCCACAGCGTCACACCCACGGCGGAGGTAAACAACGGCATGGTGGAAGTGGACGTTGTCGCCGAGGCAGCAATTCTAACCGTGGCCGCCTCCGAGGTCGAGATGGCGGATCAAGAATGTAGCCCAATGGCCCACTCGACCCTATAAATGAATATGGCCCCCTGATATATGGAGAAACAGATACTTGTGAATCGGGAGTGTACATGCTGGGGCTACCGGAGCTGACTGTGATGATAAGGTGGCGTGATTGCAGGCCGTGCGGCAAAATTTGGGAACAGCCACGATGTGCCTGAACGGACTACCAATGAGGGGCATTTGGATCAACTGGGGCGTATGGATCTGTGAGGCGTATGTGGTACCTGAGAGTTCGTGAAGACCTTCGGCTTCAAGTCGAACAAGAATTACGGCGAAGGTTTCAGCTTGCCGGTCTTTTTACTCATTTTCTGGACGCTACAGGTAAACAAAAGGTCGAATCGATTGCCTACATGCCAATACAGCTAACTTTGGTGCGAACACGTTTCTTGGAGGTCTACGCCGATTTGAAGACTGCTGCCGGTGATACACCGGGGTTTTCAGCTCCGGGGCACTCGACTCGCCCCACCCCAATCACGGCAATACCAGATAGGTGCATCCTATCCATGTACTGCTACATTCGCGACAACCGTCTTTCAGGAAGAGTCTCAAGAAACGTAGTAGAGCTCAAGGAGAGTTTGACATTGAGGAGGAAAAAAGGCGGGAGTAGGTGATAATGAGGACGAGAACGACGACGAAGGCTCAACGAGGTGATAATGAGGACGAAGACGACGACGAAGGCTCAACGAGGTAATAATGAGGACGAGGACGACGACGAAGGCTCAGCGATCAGCGAAGAAGAACAAGAGGAAGCCGAAGAAGAAAAAGAAAAGAACATGGAGCCTGAAAGTGATGGGAACGTGGATAGAAGCGGGCATGGCGAAGATCATGATACCAACGAAACCGAATCGGAGGCGGGAGAAGCGTTCGTAATTCAAGACCCGACGGTGGTGACAATCTTCAACATTTCTTTCAAGAACTAGGATAGAGTAGGTAAAAACGTGCGCCGAGCAGCTGCGTTCTGAGGTTGCACATGATGCGGCACATCTATACACCTGCGCTGCACGGTCCTACAGGAAGAACGTGCGTACTCCGCACTAAACGTTCAACATAGGAATCTTGCACTCATACTGAAGGCCGTGTGTGGCTCGTCTTGATGTCTTGAACGTGGCGATGATAGACAACCAGTTCGTCGTTGACCGTGTTGCTGTTCTCTACACCATGCGACTGTACCAAAGCCCTCCTACCGTGCCACGTACTTCGGTTTCTTATTCGATACGAGCCATTATGAGATTACAGACGCGAAACACCTCGCACGTCATCATTGGTCGGCACTCGCTTTATTTTGGTTCTACTGAAAACTTGCATGACCACTTGAATTTAGTTGACTGGGCTAAATCGCCTCAATTCATCTGCAATAATTCTATATAGCTCCTTTTTGTGCAACCAAATATCGCTTTAGACCTGTGTTGCTCGGTGGATGAAAAATGAATTCGGCTTGCATAATAGCGGTTGAAGGAACGACCCCAACTTGCCAAACTTGGACAGAAATCAGAATATTATTTGTCCAATGTCAAACAGACTGAATCAACTAATATTAGTGTGTTTAACAAACCAGACGAAGGCTCCACGAAAAAGTTGTACACTATCTCACAAATTGGCTAAAATTGTGTTCGGAGCCACCAACGGGACCACACCACTATAGATCGGCTGCTAAAGCCACATACAGGAAGGCGACGTGTACTTACTCCGACGTATACTATGTAACATATGCTCCTGCGAAGTTACTCTCGCAAGCCTACACTTCACTATAGATTTCCACTAAACAATCAGTCGTATTTTTAACCAAGACAGGGGCAAGAATCAAGGTCGTAATCGTCGAGCGATTGTACCTCAGTTGGTTAGTGACAGACCAAAAGCGAGAGCAAGAAATGGTGTGTAGCGATATGAGACTGTAATGGGATTACACGAGAGTTACCCGAAGGGTTACGAAGTGGGTACACAATGTCTAACCTAAATCAGTAGGATAATGAGTACACGGCTTCAGTGCCACTGATTATGCATATGACTAGGGTTCAATATGCTAGATAGTGAACCGGATACATTTACACCGTAGGCGGCTTGGCCGCGCTAAAGGGAAATACATGCAGTGTGAGATTCACACAGGTAAGAGTTAAGGGCTAACTCTTGGAGTCCGTAAGGTGTACGGACTCGTACGTTCTGGTATTAGAACGGGCTATCTTAAGCTGAGACTCTGTGAGTCTGTTACGTCTTCCTCTGGCGCTAAAGCTACGGTAGCCCCGCTGCACTTCGTAGCACTTGTAGTCAATCCGACACCTGAGTCTGTATAGACTGACCCTCTGTGGAGAATGGAGCAGTTCGCTCACTTGCCCCCGAACAAGCAGGATGCGCTTAAAAAGCTTATGTCCTTGCTGGGCCCGGAGGGTGTGACGCAACTTGCGCAGCAAGGCCCCGACGCGGTGAACGCGCGTCTCGAGGCGTTTTCATGCTACGAGAATGCTCTGCTAGAGCACCTCAAGCAGAGGATGGCGACTGCCGTGGCGCCCCCTTCGTCGTCCGACGCGGGAACAAGACCCAAGCCGCTCATGTTGAGCGTGAAGACCTTCGAAGGCAAGGAAGGTGAAAGCTTGATGCTTTGGGCCCGTGGGGTTGAGATGGCTATGAGCTCAGCTCTACTCCGGACGGAGTCGCAGCGCGTGGCACTAGCTATCTCGAAGCTCGGTGGGCGAGCGAGAGAGTGGGCACTAACGTCCGGGATGTCGGTCGAGGTGGCCTTCCCGACGTGGGACCAGCTGAAACAGCAATTGTCCCGAGTGTTTGCTCCGCCTAACGAGGCGTATCGCGTGCGCTCACGCTTCCTGGCGACCAGGCAGAGCAAGAAGGAGTTGATGGACTATGTCCAAGAGTTGAGAACTCTCATTGCTGGCATGTCTGCGGACCCCCCGCCGGAAGCAGTCACCGTTACGGTGTTCATGGAGGGCCTCCGCACTGGCGTTGCCAGGACGGAGGTGTTCCGAACCCACCCGAGCTCTTTTGAAGAGGCTGTGAGCGTCGCATTGAATGCGGAACACAACTTTAAGTCGTCGAGACTTGGGTGGAATGCGTCTTACGCTAGCGCGTCGAGTGGTCCGGAACCCATGGACCTCAGCTATGCTGAAGACGAAGAAGCCGAGCTCCGTGCTGCTCAGCAGCGTCGCGGTATCCGCCGATGCTTCATCTGTGGTGACACCCGTCACCTTCGTGCTGGGTGTCCGCTGCGCCATCAGCGCCAGGCTTCGTCAAGCCACTCTTCGAGTTCGAGCCAGGGCTCTGGTTCGTCTCGGGGAAACGAGAAGACCCAGTAGGCGCGGGGCGGCCTACTGGGGAAGTACTAAGATCTATTGAGCCTCGGCGAGGTCGAGTTCGACAGGACTTAGCCCCGAAGAGAGGAGTACTCTCTAACACGGAACGTGTATGCAAGCCGGGCTTGCTAGTTGTCCAAGCTTGGGTGAAAGGCTTCGCGAAGCCATGGACGATTTTGATCGATTCGGGAGCGTCGGGTAACTACGCCCGGCGTTCTACGATGCACGGAAGTCAGCTTTATGCTGAGGTGCTGATAGCGCGCGGAAGTGACATCGTCACTGTTCGTCTCGCGTGGACCTGGGCGTGAAGGTTTTGGATTTCGATAGCGTGGAACGCTGTCTGGTCTTAGCCCTCGATTCGAGATAGGATCTCATCCTTGGTATGGCATGGCTGGAACGCCACGAGCCTTGGATCAATTGGAGGTCGGAGACCCTTGGTGCTACGCACTTCTCTCCTGGTGGAGCTTTGGCGAGTCATGAACCCACCTCTGCTAGGAAGCAGAAGCGCTTTTGGCGCGAGCACTGGACCGAGTCGGTCAATGTGCTGGACATCGGAGTATCCGAGTTGGTGGGGACTGCGTGTGTCGAGAACGAGCGTTCCGAGCTTGACTTGCGGACGGCAGGTGGAGCGGCACTAATTCCGCTGAGCGGGGGTGCGTCGGAGGGCGGCGCCCTGCTGCGTGCCAGCGACGGCGCGGTCGGTGCGATGCCGAAGGACCATGGGCTTTGCCCGGATAAAGATCGTGGGGGTGGCACGTAATCCACTGAGTGGAGGCTGCGGATCGTGCAGCTCTTCGCTGAGTGTCGATAAAGACACTGGAGCTCCCCTGGAGCTGAACGAGGCGGTGACACATGGCGTCAAGACGCACGCGAAATCACGGAGCTCTTCAGGGCGGACGGTGTCCATGAAGAGGAGGCAGCGCTGCAAAGCGCTGGCTGCGAGACGCAAGGCGTCTGCGATCTCACGAGTCGAGAAGGGTGTGTCGAGCGGTGAGGCTCCACCCGAGAGCGAGCAGCTCTATACATTCGTGAATGGAGTGACGGGAGACGTCGACGGAGGTATCAACCTCGACGACTTGCCCTCACTGTCTGCTCTCCTGGAGCCGGACGAGATGTCTTTGGCCGAGTTCGGCGAAGCCTTGAAGGCTGGAGACTTGGCCGATGTAGTGGTCATACGACCCGAAGAAGAGTTGAACTCGTCCTCGCTTCTGGATGAAGCTGTCCTGGAAGACACCAAGAAGGCGCTGAATGCGCGGAGCGGATCGGCGATCATGAAGGACCCGTCGGATCCCTTGTATCAAGTGGTAAATGATTACCAGGACGTGGTCTCGAAGGAGCCGCCCTCGGGGCTACCTCCGGATCGAGGTGTTCGACACGAAATCGATCTTGTTCCGGGAACGAAGTACTGCGTGACGAGGCAGTGGCCCTCGCCGAAGGAGTAGTGTGACGTCATTGACGCGTTCTTCCGTGCGAAGCACGAGGCGGGCATGGTGCGTGAGAGGAAGTCTCCACACTCTACGCCGACGTTCTGTGTTAGAAAGCCGAATGGCAAGTGGCGTATCGTGCATGCTTTCAACGAGCACCATTCCGGCGCAGACGCCGATTCCTCGGAAGGATGTTCTTCAGAACAACATGACAGGATGTACGATGTACAGTGCGCTCGACTTGGTCGGTGGATAGTACCAATTGCTCATGAGGACGAGCGACATGCTCTGGGAGTGGTTGGTGATGCCCCAAGGGCTTTCGAACGCGCCAGCGACGTTTAATCGTCTTGTGACGCAGCTCTTCAGGCCCCATCGGGCGTACGCGCAAACGTACTTCGATGACATCTTTGTCCACAGTCGTGCGGAGCACGGAAAGACTGATATGGAGAACCATGTGGAGCACCTGCGTGCTGTGCTCGAATGCATGCGTCAAAACAAGTTGTACGCCAACATTGACTAATGCATCTTCGGAGCGGAAGAGATCCCCTTCTTAGGGTGCTTCATCGGGAAGCGTGGCCTGAGGGCCGACCCGGTCAAGGTCAAGGCCATTGTTGACTGGCCACTTGCGAAGAACCAGAAGGATCTTCGCAAGTGGCTTGACTTGGCCAATTACTTGCACAAGTACAGCGAGAACTACGCTGAGATGGCTCGGCCACTCTCCAATCTCCTGAAGAAGGATGTGGAGTGGTGTTGGGACACCGAGCATCACGATGCGTTCGCGGCCATTAAGGACAGTCTCCTTCATGCGCCTATTCTGGATTTGCCAGACCCCGCTCGTCCGTTTAGTGTCGTCTGTGACGCCTCGGACTTTGCCATCGGCTGTGCACTGCTGCAAGCAGACGCCGAGGGGCGCGAGCGCGTGGTTGCGTTCGAATCTCGCCAGCTGAAGGCTGCACAGGATTGGAGATGCGCCCACCTGATGAGCCCTCATATTCGGTGTGGAGTCACGCATCCTGTCCGTCCGCCGACTTCCCTAACTGCAGGATAGGCCCAAGGCGCGAAAGTGTGGCCAGCGAACGTATCCTGGCCACTGCCTGCATTGGCTCAGTCAAGTTGTCGGGCTACCCCACTGAATCGGCCCCCCAGACACGATCATGCGCACGCAAGACCCTGCTGGATGAAGCCTCGTGTTGTCCG